CTTTTCTGCTTAGCTCAGGCAGCGCAAAATTGAATAGAGTGAGGTTTGAATCCTCACAGAAGTCGATCCACAATCTTATTCTGCTCAGTTGAGACAGAACAAATTTAATAGAGTGAGGTTTGAATCCTCACAGAGGTCAATCCACTATCTTTTTCAGCTCAGCTCAGGCAGAGCAAAGTTGAATAGAGTGAGGTTTGAATCCTCACAGGAGTCGATCAACTATTATTTTCTGCTCAGCTCGGTTAGAGCAACATTGAACAAAAAGAGGTTTGAATCCTCACAGGAGTCGCTTTGAAACCTTTTTCTGCTCAGCTCAAATAGACTATTGATAGCAAAACTGAACGGAGTGAGGTTTGAATCCTCACGGAGTTGATCTATTATCTTTGCCTATGAGTTCCTAGAGCATTGGATAATAAAGTGGATTAGAGTAGAGTTTGAATCCCCACAAAAGTCGATCCACTTTCTTTTTCTGCTCAACTCAGGCAGAGAAAAATTGAATTGAGTGAAGTTTCAATCCTCACGAGAGTCGATCCGCTATCTTTTTCTGCTCAGTCGTCAGAGCATTGGATGGCAGAATGTGTTAGAGTGAGGTTTGAATCCTCACTAGACTCGAATCAATATCTTTTCCTGCTAAGTTGTAAGAGCATTTGTTAACATAATTCAAAGGAATGAGGTTTGAATCCTCACGATTGTCGACCCACTTTCTTTTTCTACTCAATTGGTTGAGCAGGTTAAATGCGATGAAGTGAGATTTGAATCCTTGCAAAGGTGAACCCAGTTTTTTTCTTTTGCTTACCAACTCCAGAAATGTGAATTTTTCTTAATGTATCTTTGTATTTTAAGATGGCAAAGATAATTAGTATTTGTAGACCTTGGATGATTTTTTGAATCATTTTTGTCCGCGCTCAGCTCCATAAGTTTCAGTCGCCTCTACTTTTTGGTTTGAAAGTTCCAAGTATTATAAACTGGATATAATTTTTTTGGATTTTGACTTTGAATGCCAAGAGTGCCGGAGAAAAGAGAAAATACAATCCCTGCTTGAGTACAGATACAGTCCTCTGGTGGTTACGGACGACAACCGAAGTGAATCTAGCACCCTCCGGGTTTAATACCTGTATCGACTATTCTCGTTTTGATAAAAAAAAAAACAACAACAAAAACAAAAGCAAAAGCAAAAGCAAAAGCAAAAGCAAAAGCAAAAGCAAAAGCAAAAGCAAAAGCAAAAGCAAAAGCAAAAGCAAAAGCGAAAACAAAAGCAAAAGAAAAAGCAAAAGCAAAAGCAAAAAAAACAAAAACAAAAAGCAAAAATAATACGAGCGTACGCCGAGGTACCAAAGGGTGAGACCGAAGTATGGGCCATCGACTGCACCTTTCCTCGGGACGCAAAAGTAAACAAGCACCGAATGGAACGCACGAAACTTTCCACCCAGCTGGGATCGTTCTCTTTGGGCTGACTGCTTGAGGTTTGAATCCTCACAGGGTAAGCTGATTGTGCTTAACTAACTATTTCTTGTTTCTGTTCTTTTTATTTCATTTCTTTCGAGTAAGTATTTTTAAGTTTTTCGAAAATAATATAATAATAGTAGTGTTTAGTTATTCTTAAATTCATATTCGTTACCCTAACATACGAGATATGGCACCAAGTGCACTCGGGATTCAACTTGCCCGCTGAGGGTAAACTTTACTTTACAAAATACATTCCTTCCACTGGAAAAGAAGAGAAATTGATATAAATGCCTTGCGCTGTTAGACTTTTTCACAGAATGAAAAACTCTGCAATGAACACCTGCATTCATGTACAAGGGGATTTAGAACCTTCAAGGTGAACTGGGAATGAGATGAAAAAAGTACCAAACAAAAGTGAAAAACCTGTTCATCCTACCAAAATTAAGCAGGCAGTTACTAAAAAAACATTGAAATTAAAAGACAGTGGCCTTTTTCCCCTCTGGCGATCCCTTTTCTATGAGAGGTGGTGTCAAACATTATACGCATCGTACAGTACATCATTTATACAAACACCATAGTCTAGTTTTGTCTGGTTTCAACTTGTCAGTAATCTATACTTTACATTATTTTCAGGAAAAAGTTAAGAATCTCTTATGAATAGCGACAGTCTAGTTACTCATTAAGGTACCCGATGTATAAGAAACACATCAGCCTATATCCAAAAATCATGGTTAGGTTCTTTCATGCGGGTGTTGATGGTATTCGGCGCGCTAAAAACACTCCAAATTAGAAGGATTCTCATGACAAACGGTGAATACGTAATTTCCAGCAATTGGAAAGAAAGAGGAAATATCTTAAGAGCAAAACTGCATTGCCATTTTTGTAGCACATCAAGTTTCAGTTGCAAGTTTCAGTCTAACGGCTGCTTTGATTCGTAAAGTACGGTCAAGATTTATGAGACTGACTAAATATGTTTAATTAATTTGTTTTTTGTTTTTTTATTGTTATATTTTTTTTTGCTTATTTTTTTGGTACGATGTTTTCCTAAAAATGTTTAGAATTTTTGTTTTTCTCTAGAAATGTTGACTGCCGGGGTGCGGTTACAGCTCCAAAAGTTCAGCTTCATGTGATGTCTTGGCTACAGCCGTATATTTCAAAACTTAAGAGGCGAGTTTTTGGCAGATTTGAAGAAAAATTTCAAAACGATAGGCGACCATTTCGAATTTTAAAACACGACTAATAAATAGATCTTTAACATATGATCTATTATGGCAGAGATAAAACTTACTCGACTTACTTCTCCGTCTAAAAAGAGAAAAAGGCAAACTTACTTTTGAGTCTCTAATTGTGTTCCCAAGGAGCATCCAGGCTTTCCATTTAGTCTCAATCTCAGTGTCTCAAGCTTTCCAAAACTTCCACCAGTCCACGATGCAACTAAATTAGCACAGCTGTTCCAAGAAGAAATCATCTAGCCTCTCGTTGATCCTCCACCAATGGTCAGGAACGCAAACTTCAGTCGCTTTCTTTCCATAGGAGGAGTGTGCGCCTCGGTATTGATGCACAAATAAGATGGCAATATCCTAAACAGAACTGGCCTTATCCCACTTGTGAAAGCCTTCAAAAAAATCAAAAGAAAGTTAAAATCGTTTAAATTAGGTAGCAATGATTTTAAGTCAACCCAAATTGTTGCCCCGGATTTTTATGAAATGTTACCAGAGGATTTGTTGACATCAGTAGAGGCACAATGTTTGGTCATTCATGTCACTCACCATCTTTGAAATTTTATTCAAAATTAGATGTAGGTAACGTAATAATTGTAATATTATCGAGATCTATGAAATGTTTTTTTTAATGAGCATTAGCTGGTGAAAGTTGGACCACGTAAAGCCAGCGAGGGAACTTTCTTCCTGTCCATGTTTTATCTTTACTATTCCTACGATGATATTTTATCATGCTGCCACTTTTCAATAATCAATAGTTGCTTTTACCTTGTTGTAACTTTGAAGTGTAGATATTTTGCAGAAAAGCCTAGTCTTATTCCTCTTGTGTCACTTATTCAAGCAGGTAATTTGCACCACTCGTATTTCAAGGTAGTTTGACGTTGTGAAATGCTGATATCTGAGTGATGATCTGGTAGAATATAAATTCGTGGGAATTCTACCAGAAAAGTCTCGACAAAAATCATCTTGTGCATGAATAATTGCTCGATGTTGCTTCACTTTCTCGCGTCTGCAGTGGTACAAATAGCTACCAGGCTTGAAGTTAGCATAAAGGACATCTAGTAGATACCGTTGAAAATTCAAAAATGCTTAGTTCGGCTGAGCTGCGCATGACAGTGGACAATGTTGTCGGAATTTCGTGAAGTTGACCGCAATCAAAGGCGCAAAATATTCACGTACACCGGTACACCCTTAATTTTGAATCTCACCTCGTTCATGCGATTTTGTGCTTCGCATTTGTATACGAGATGAAAATTTTATGTTTTGGCCATGACAATACATCTTTTAGTAAGGAGAGCTAAACTGGAATTTGGCTTCGTTGAATGCACTGCAAACGAGCCATTCCCTACGGGATAGCACTGAGAATCCAGCGTGATTGTTTCACTAGCGAATTGTCAAATAAACTAAGTGAAGAAGATTAGAATGTCACAGATTCTAAAATTATGATGCAGATGTGGTAAATTCACAATTCAAGAAAGCTTTTAACAAAGAGATATCCGAACTCCCACTGAAAAGGAAATCAGGCCTGAAAAGAGTTCTTTCTGTTAACGCTAAGAGCAGAAATTTCGTCGGAAATGTCAATTAGAAAAAGTGTCTCTACTTTCTTTATTACAATTGACGGTTTGCTAAATCGCTTATACGCTACGATAGAGAAACCATGTTTCCATCTTCGCGCAGTAGAAACGATCTTTCTCAAGATTCATTTCATTGTTGCAAGGCTAGCCAATATAAGCTCGCATACTAAGATTATCTCGTTGTCATTTCCTTTTATGGTGTAGGAAACTCCTTGATTTTAACTGCAATGTTATAAAAAAACAGTGAAAAACACCACTCTATTTCTCTTACTTGGACAGACTTTCACAGTATGTTGAACTGATTAGTCAAAGGGACACAAATTTCACTCTCATTAAGTAACAAAAAACGAAATTAAAAGATGAAGTAATTGAACCTGTAACGAGCAAAGTTGGCACTCAAGCTAATAATTTGTTCTGGAATCTTCTTCCTCCCCCCTTCCCCCATTGGCTGTTTTTGAGCTCTGCAATTGTGGTACTAGGGCAAAATACAGTCTTGGCCACCACCCCACACTGCCACTTTTCCAGATCGAGTTCGAGCTGCCAGGTAAGACTTGAATCAGATTGACTTATCTAGAAATCCGCTATTACTTCTTTTTCGTTAGCATTGCCTCTTGGACTCCTTGGCTGGAAAAGAAGTGATAAAAACTAACTATTCGAAGCGGAATACTAATTCACAGTTCTCCGCGTACCTTCTTGTACGAAGAGCGGACCTATATGTGGCTCAGAAATTGAGAGAGACTGAGACAAAGTGCAACCGAGAGAAATTGGGTGCTAAATATGGCGGACGTTTGTGTAGGTTCATAGTTAATTTTAGTGATTTTTTGGTAAAATTTCAAAATGCCTTCGTTTGGCCAGATTGTCATTGGGCCTCCGGGCTCTGGGAAAAGTACATTTTGTGCTGGGATGAGTGAATTTTTAACAAACTTGGGCCGAAAAGTGGCTGTTGTAAATCTTGATCCTGCAAACGATTCGCTGAGTTACAAATGTGCCGTAGACATTTCCACGCTTATCACTCTTGATGATGTGATGGAGAATCTTAAGCTTGGTCCAAATGGTGGGCTTGTATACTGCATCGAGTATCTCGAAAAGAATCTTGACTGGCTGGAGAGAAAGCTGAAAGATCTGAAAGGGCATTACTTCTTGTTTGACTGCCCTGGTCAAGTTGAACTGTACACTCATCACACATCTGTGAGGAATGTGGTCAGGCAGCTTGAAAAGTGGGACTTCAGAGTAAGTGAATGATAAGGCCTGTTCCGAATGCTGTTCTACTCAAGCGTTAAACCAGAAGCCTAGTAAGGCTGAAGAGCTTAATTTAAATCTGTTTGATTTGGCAAACAGTTAGTTGTTCAGGGGTATCTTGCAAACTAAGAGTAAAGACTTCGAAAACTAAGACTTTGAAAACTTGGAAAATTGATGAACTGGAAGGTATTCGAGGTCAGCACTCCTTGTTGGGATTAGTTCGTTTTAAGTGTCAAAGAGAACCAAAGACAGTTTATCACTAAGTTTCAAAGGTGTTGGTTTTTTAGGTCTTAGTTTTCCAGGTCTTAGTCTTAGATCCTAGTTTTTGAGACACCCAGATGTTTGGCAAAGTCCTTCATATTGTGCAAAAATTTCAGCAGCCACTCATTCACTCAGTGTTTTGTTGTATGCTAGACCTAATGCATTGAGTTGGATGATTTTTAATCTTACCAGATATCTTCAAATTTTGCCCTTATTCAAGAACATGTGCCCCAAAGTCAAAGCCCCCACCCCACCCCCTGTCTGTGCAGAGTATGGCAGATGTATTACATGTTTTACACCTCAAAATCGCCTTTGCATGCTTGAGATCTTGTCATGTTTGGCCTATTTTCTGGGCTCTTTTTATTTTCAATTTAGATAATTATTCAGTTTGGTGCAGTTTTGTGTTCCTTCTTGTTTGGGTAACTGGTTCTCTCTAGAACTTACATGAATAGAAAGCTAATCATTTTTAAGTGATTTGTATTGAATACATCATGTTTATCCTTTCACAGCTTGCTGCAGTCCATCTTGTTGATTCACATCATTGCAGTGATCCAACAAAGTTTATTTCTGTTCTTCTCACATCTTTGTCAACCATGATTCATGTTGAGCTCCCTCATGTTAATGTCCTTTCCAAGATTGATCTGGTAGAACAATATGGAAAGCTAGGTGATTGACTATTTGTAATACATATAATGATGTACATGAAAAAATTACACACGTTTGATTGGCTTAAAATGAGTGCATTTTCACTTAACTCAAGTGTCATTCTTTTTTGCATGTAAATTATTATCAAGTAACAGCATGATTTCTCCTGCAGTTTGGTGTAAATATGCTCTTATTCATTTTTCAAAGACTAGTGTTGTCTTAGAAAAATTTGCTTGTACTAATTAACATTATGTTGCACTTAAAATCATGTTATTACCTATATTAATGTTGGTCACTCTGTGACCTTTTGTTAGGCAAGACACAGTACTCTCACTACATGCATCTCTCTGTTCAAGAGTATAAATGTAAATGAATGCCAACCTGTCTGGGTAATGTGGTCAAGTGGTGGGTGAGAGACAGCAGAGGGGAAGCCTGTGATTAATATTCAAACCAGGAGAATTAGAAATACTTAAGGGATAAGCACTGGCAATTATAGGCCACTTGGCCAGTAAAACTTGTGATTATTGAAGAAAAAACATTTAAAATGGGATTTGTGACAGGGTTCTTAGTAAAATTGCTCTCAGTCTAGGGAGTTTAGAGCTGAAGACACTCAGATTGATCTGGCATTTATTTTCTGTTGTAATTCAAAGTTAAGTGTAAGATGACCACCAGAACAATGGACCAACATATCATATTTGTAGATTAGATGTTAGATTCAAATGATTTTGTTTCTGCTTGAACTAATGATTTAAGGAAGATGCCTTTGGAAATGTAAATATGTTTTCTCTGAGGCAGTAGTGTGTTGGCAATGCTTGAGTCTTTTTTTCTGGAATTTTATTGTTGACTTCAATTATTTTGATTTCTTGTCAGCATTCAATTTAGACTTTTATACAGATGTTTTGGATCTGAATTTTCTCCTGGATCACATCAAAGATGATCCATTTACTCGAAAGTACAAAAAGCTGAATGAAGCATTAGTGGGTTTAGTTGAGGACTATGGCCTGGTGTCTTTTAAAACACTGGATATACAGGTGATTGCTGAAATATTAGTGGAAATAGGCCTGTTTTGTACTTGATGTTTTGTTTTTTGTTGCTGCTTTTGTCAGGATCTCTTTGTTCAAAGTATAAAGCTTGTAGAGCAAGCAGAATAAAGCAACCTCACTTGAAGTGGCAAGGGGGAAACATATCAAGCTTGCTTTTTTATGCACCTGATAGTTAGAAAAAAGTGGTGTGAGTTTTCTTGACCAATCACAGAGCACTGCAAACCGAAAGTGCTACAATCTCAGATCATTTTCATTTTGTTTTAGTCAAAGGAGAGTATGTATCAGGTGACCAAATCTATTGATCAGGCTAATGGTTTTGCTTTTGGTGAACTTGAGGATGACAGAGGGAATTTCAGTAACCTAATGTCTTCAGCTGTAGGAACAGATTTTGAATTTTTTAGGTAAGTTTATTTACCTAGGCACTGTCAAGTGTCATATGTATAATTTGTTTCTCTCCCTATCCATTCCTTCAATCATTTATTTGCGTTATTAGGTTTGAGACGGGAAGGAAAAATAGTGAACTTAAGAATGCTAAAAATGTCTTTGACTTTGCTTTTGTAAGGACAAAGTTAAGATCATCTTCATGTCCCAAGTTTTTAAAATTAGAGTTTTAATACATTTGGTCCTATTATCTGAACAAATGTTGTTTTTTTTTTTTGATAAGTCACGTTAAAACTTTAAAGCTTCTTTAGTAAAAATTTCCTTTACAGAAAAGTAATAATTTTTCAAAATTTTCAATGATATCAGTCGCATTTATTTGGAATACCATAGCGAAAGATTGACTTAATGCCCAATAAGGAATATCCAGGGGTATACTCTAGGACATTGCACACAGGGAAGCAGCACACCCTAGGGGTTATAGGTGTCAACAGCCCAGTTCCCCATCTGCCTTAACAGACTCGTCACCAACCAAATAAAATAACTTTTTGATGGTGTTCAATTTTTTTAGGACGGCAGCAATTCAAGAGAAGTACATGAAAGATGAGGATGAAAACTCCTAGAAAAATAATGGCTCAGTAGTGTTCATTAAGGACAAGAAAATATCCTGCTTTGGAGAGAAGGCATTACTCAAGGTGTTGATGTGAACAAACTCGATGTGGTGAAAAGAAGAGATGAGGGCGAGACATGGACTCGCTTTTATGTCTATTTACAATTAGATCTAACTTCAAGGAAGAGGCGACACTGATAGCCCTTGAGTCCCTAAGAGTTATATAGTTTTTCCTAACAATATCACCCTTGAATCAAACATTTAAGTTGGGAGAAAAAAGGAAATGATCACCACCTATAGAAGCTCTTGATTGTTAAACAAATTCTCCTTGTCAGCACCTTAGGAAATGTATACAGAATAGTAGGGAGAATATGCATACTGATGCTAAGCATACTAAGGGTTAGGTGCTAGTAATTTCTTGACTGCTCACTATTTTATGTGGTCCTTTAGCACTGTGGAGTTTATCACAGACTCCTAGCTTCGAAATATTTTTATGTAAATAGTGTGGGCAGCCTAGGCTCCGTATAACGTATTAGCACTGAAAAAACTCCAGCTAAACATCACAAAGATGGAAAAATTCGTCTTCGAAACCGATAATTTTTCATTCACTTTCCTTGCATTTAGAGTTAGACTAGGGGTTAGCCTACTCATGTGACGAGAATAACTGTCTAATGCAGTACGAGGCTGATTCTTTGGATCCGCGCGTTTTAGCATACCTGAATTATAAGATTTGTTTGTTAAGGATTTAAAAATTGTAGCACCCAGAATCTCCTTCCTCTTGCTTAACGCCAAGGAGTATAAACTATCAACTAGATTCCCAATGAAAGCGCTACAAGATGCATAGGTGTTGACTGTATTTTATTCGTATGTTAAATGCGATCGTTTTGATCTTGATACAGATTAATGAGAAACGTAATTAAAACCTCAGCCAAAGTACGAAATTATTTTCATGACAAAGATTACTTGTCTGCTTTCCTAACTAACTGATTAAGATATCCAACACACGGACAAGAAACGCTTTTACTATTAAAATGGGAGGAAGGTAAATGATACGCGTCGTCGCAAAAAGTACTCGAGTGGAAAAAGGGGGTAAAAATTTTCAAATTTTCATTTACACGTGACGTAGATGAATATATGTTTTATTTCAGTGGCTAAATTGTTTCGTTTCCCTCCGTCAGCAAGTCAGTAAAGTCAGTTCACCCGTCCGTCAGGTCAAGAGCCAGGTGGCGTAAACTCCTTGGGTCACGTTTGGCCCTTTTACTTTGGCAGCTGCTTCTTCAGTGATAATTCTATCAGCAATGTTTTTTTCAGATCTTCAAGGACTTTATCACCTACCAACTTGAACGCATATTCATCCTGCTTATGGGCCATCAATGCCTTGATCTGTTTAACAAGATCTAAGAGAGTAACAAGTGAAGAACGGAGTTACTCTTATTGATTCATTTTATCACCATGGCGCTAGTTCTAAGTGGCATGCTGAGGTCATAAATACCACGATGTTTCGGTCAGTCAAAAGAGACATTTGTTCGAGTGAAAAAGACTGATACAAACCCATTTTTTGTTTGGCACCCAACATCAGGAGCTTGTGAAACTTTCCGGTTAGCTGTTTTGCCTATGAAATTATAAGATGATTTAAACTGGTGTTAGGTTTGTTTTCTTTCTTTCTCCCTAATTTGGAGAGCAAAGTATTGCTCTCAGAATGTTGAAATACGTATCTTTTATCAACAGCTTAATGCATTATCAAGAAATCTTCGCTGAAGGGATATACAAGTAATTCAATGACATTTAAATAAGGAATTCTCCAGATGCTTACCGATTTGATAATTTTCAGTTGAAGCAGGACACTGGGCACTAAACATACAAAGAGAAATACCAAGTTAACGGAAAAAGGAAAAAAGGGTGAAAATATTTACAGACAGAAAGGATAAAGGAGAGAAATATGGAAATGTTTGGGCGGAAAGGGAAAAGGGAAAAAAAAAGGGAAAAGGAAGAATAATATTAAGACTTATAATTGTTTTTGTTGTTGTTGTTGTTGTTTTTGCTTGTTTGTTTTTGTTTCGCTTTTACCGTGTACATGCCTCCAATTCCATTTAGTTCAATGGTAACTTTCAATTTTTTTTTCATGAATAAAGATCAGTGTTCTGAATTATTCATTTTCTCTTTAAAGTTGTAAGCTTTCTGGTAGTTGTCATTGCTATACGAACTTTGAAAGTAAAAAAAGATTTCTGTACACTTACCATCTTTGCACTGTTCCACCTTGCTCGTTTTAAGAACGATTGACAAGAATTTTTTCTTAAGGGAGTTTGGAGGCTTCTCAATGTTTTCAAGCAAGCCTGTGAACATGCAAGAAAACGCTAGTTACATAAGACGTAGTCTCGCAGATATTTTTCAGAAAAAAAATTGCTAGCTGTTATCCTGTTAACGAATTTTGTTACTCAGATTAACAGATAACTTGTTACTAACAACAACAACGTAGGCGTATATAAAGTTTTTTTTTCTTAGTGTGGCACAGAGGGCTATTTACACCATCTGGATTCCATTAGTGTTCAGGAACATAGATGCGCTCATTACCATATGCGTTCGAGTTTCTTCGACCTACAGTTTCTATTCTTAATACATCAATTTATTGATCGGGATATATAAATTTGTAGGCTAGAGGGTGCTGTAATGATCACTCATAGGACCCCATTTATATTTTAGCTTAAAAAAGGTATGGTAACTTGAAAAAATAGACTTTGGAAGTTTTATGGAAAAAGGCTAAAAGCAAGTCCTGGATTAAACCTAGTGCAGGACTAAGATAGAGATACAGAATTATGATTGACAAAAGTTGTGTACCTTTGCGCTCTTTGCACGGTATATTTGGTCCATCAGTGAGGCCAAGAAACTCAATTACTATATCTCCTAATTTAGGGAGAGGGTTCTCGCTCGGCTCTTTTCCATGCACTATCTTTCGGAGTAATTCAATCATTCCTGAGAGAATAAACAAAGTAACGAGATAATTAGCTAATCAACTCATTTTCTGACACTCAAATCCATCCTTCGTGCCAACAAAAGGGTTCGGGAAGATAATATTGAATCAAACTCATCCTTTCTAAAGCTTAATTTTTTATTTTTTAACGCACTTTCGAAAACATCACTGTGACTTGAAACTAAAAGGTTCTCTAAAGTGATGTCACAGACGCTGGTTTTTTGACGCAAAGTTCTCATTGATGCGTTTTAGTAAACTATTAAAGTAAGACAATATCTTTGTTTGAAATTTGTTGTTCCCTCGTCACAAGTAGTCTAGAGCAACAATGACTGGAAATCGCCCGTCTCTGTTGCAATGCAATTTGGGAGTGAATAGCACATCGCAAGCTGTTGCTTCTTTTTTTTTGATGTGTTTGTATTTGATCCTCAAAATATGATGCAATTAATTAAGACTTGTAAAGAACCAGTCCAAACAGAATAAGACATTCTAACATACCTTTAGTAGGATTACCACAAATGGATTTTTGGAAGAGTTTGCTCAGCACTATGAAGCCCTTTAGGCTGGGTTTTTCTTTCCTTTCTTGTTCCTCCTCTTCTCCACCCAAGGCCTCTATCAAAATCAAACCCCAACAAAAATTGTAGTTAAGTGCTATTGTTGACAAAGGATCCTATCACGAAATAATGTGTTGGGAACGCAATAACACTTTCTGAAAAACCCTTAAAAGCCCTTTTTGTTGGATGTCTAGCCTTAAATCGTCTCTCTTTTGATAACGATCTGATGCTTATCTTTCTCTTTCTTCTTTTTTCGGATAAGATCGAATATATTCTGAACTTGTATTAGCTGAAAATTAAGTGTTGGCATTGGACACATGAGTTTACCACCTTAACTCTAACTTCCTTAAGTGATCAAGACAGAATTTCTCCTCATCTTACCAATACAGTGTCAAGCAGACAAGTGATGAGAATTAAGAGGCATGTCAATTCGGGGATTATAAATTCTCAGAACTAATATCATAAAAATTGTTTGGCAGACAATGAGGGGAATTACTTACTAGATCCTGGGAGTGAAAGGGTTAAGGCTATTTGCCTAAGCACACAAAACTGTTTGACATATCCATTCTTGCTCGTAACTTTCTAACAGCTGTATTAAAACTTGATGAACCAGTATCAGTGAAAAAGATTCTCTATTTTGTTACGTTTCATGAACGGGTTGAAAGTACTCAATTCATAAATATCTACACCAAGCTTCGTTACCGGTTTTCGTGCGAGGCTTGATTTAAACGAAAATTCTCACCGAAAGCATCACTTTCATTTTCTTCCTGCAAAAGTTCATCCGACATTTCAGCTTCATCGAGGTCATCTTCGTCACCTTTAGCCTTTCGTAATTTTTTAAACAACCCTGATGGATAGAAAAAAAGTTGACTTGCTTAGACATGGAATTTTCTCTCGATTTGCCATTTAATACGATCGGTCAACTGGTAATTCAGTCATACGGTTAGTCAGACCTCGGGTTAAGCGATCAGTCACTCAAATCATACATCAATTTGTTGGTCACTCGGTTATTCGGCCAGTCGACCAATCAGCGAGTCAGTCAGTCAGTCCATAAGTCATGTCTATGAGTCAGATGTCGGCCAGTCTGCTAGTCAATCAGTCCATGATTCAATCGATCTATCGGTCAGTCAGTCTACTGTTCGTCATTCCATCATTCCACCCTTACAAAAGAGCTGACCAGCCAAACCAGCCAGCCACGCTAGTCAAACCACACGTTTCTGTCAGAGTTAACAAAAAAAAATCAACGAATGACTTGATTAATTCTATATTTTCTAGAATCAGTCTTAACGAAGGATAACAAACCTGTCTTATTTGCGTGTGACAAAAACTGTTCCTGAATCTCATGACACTTTCCGTGCAGTTCCGTAACAGATCTGCCAAGAACGACCTTGAACTTTTTAGCTTCGGCTTCCTCGTTGAGCAGCTCAAATAATCCATGGGCGTATTCTTACAAAAATATAACAAAGAGAAATCAAACATTCTACATTAGAGAGTAATATGCCTTTTTGATCGCTAAATGCAAACATCAATATAAACTATAAGCTAAGCCGGCGGTTTGTCATTTCCATCCGTCCAACTTTCTCAATCCTGTGTTTTTCTTCTCTGTGCATTTCGGTTTTATTATTATTATTAACCCAGCAATTTATACCACTTCCTTCTAACTGCAGGGAGTTTTGCGTACTCAAGTAAATGCGTTTTGTGGGCCCCTACGTAGTAATTGCAGTAACTGTCAGCAAATACCACAAGTCACACAAAGTGCGCATTTCGATTGAGTGTTGTAGAACTAAAACTAACTAATCAAAACTGCCATTCAGAACATACTGTTGGCAAATGTCACAAGGAATTGATTGGGACTCAAAGTAAAATGAACAAAGTAATTCACGATTTAACCCTTTGAGTACACCCGAATGTAGGAATGCATTTTCGTTACACTGTTTTCTACATATTTCTTAGGTGCTAACCGAGAGAATTGGTTTAACAAGCGAGAGTCTCCTTGACAGGTGATCATTTCCATTATTCTGGTGACCTTAACGTGTGATTCAGAGGTGATATTGTAAGGAGTAAGGAGAAATTAGATACAGGTGACTTTAAGGGGTCAAAGGGTCGAGCAGGCAAAGAGTATTGCCGGCAGCCAACCATATCTTTTGATATGAATTTATCTGAGACAGCCCCGGACACTGTTTTCTCTTATGGTATAGGGGCGTGAGACCGGGTCCGAGCGAGCGGAAACGTATATGTCTACTCACTCTCGCTCTGCTCTTCTTTAAATTTTTCGGATTTTTTCAGTGCAGGAATGACCAGATGAAGCTGAAATTAAAAAGGTAAAAAAGTAAGTAAGTGATGAAAAATCATTTGATACTTAACGATGAAGCATTTTGCTATTGAAAAGTATTTTGTAGTCAGACAAAGCTTTGATCTTTGCGAATTTAAGTGGTCACTTTGTAACATAATCAACTGCTTTATGAATCACAAATTAAAACTGGTCTTAGAAAATGGAACTTACAGAATGAGTTTAAGTCCCCTGGGGTATTGAATATTGTTTAATTTGTTGAATATTCCGTGGCTCACCTAAATAAAATTAATTATTAGCGTCCTTTGTTTTCCAGAGGAACAATGTGACTTAAAAGCTGGCTGCACGAAGTCAGCGAGTATTTGTTACAGCCTGATTAATTCTTTGCAACTTAATCTTACCGATTCCACTATATCCTCCAATGCTTTCAAATCTTTCTTTTTTTCTGGATCAGGTTTGTCGTGATTTTCCTCCCTTTTTCCTTCAGCGAGGACTGTTGCTAGTTTGGTTGTTAGCTTGTTGTTGGAATCCTCAACTATTAGATGGAAACATAGAGTATTTAAGTTAACAAACCTTTAGCCAAGTTCAACAAGTGCCAAGAGTGACGATTTTTCATCACGCGCGAGAAACGCGCGTTCGGTTCCAAACGCGTGCGCGTAATACATGCATCTTGAGTGCTCATTCTGAAAGCTGAACGATCGATCTGAAATCGTCTAAGCATCTGCTAAATTTAACCAATTTTTGAAGGCTTCACTTGAGTTATCCGCGTAAGTCGATTGATCTCCGGCTAATACTAAGATTTTGGGGTTTCATAAAAAAAATTATAAATATTCTTCTTTTTCATTTATAACAGCGAATACAGTTCTATCCAAATAGCAATCTTTCAAATTATATGCTTTCTCTAAAATTTCATAAAAGAATCAATCCTCGTGGTATGTATCTACCTTCATTCCATTTTTGTGTGAATTCTCTCAGTTTTATCTCGGTGATGTCTTCAAAAGGCGTAAACGAACTGTGGATTTGCACCACAGCTATGCATAACAATAAAAGAGCAGATAAACTTTTCATTTTTGATGCTGGGGGAGTAGCTCTTTGGTTCCTTCCTAGAGCAGGTCAGGAAGAACTGTAGCTAATGAACCTTTCATAAGTTCATTTATATGTCGGAATGTAAACCATGACGTAATGATTAACATTTTTGATTGGCAGTTCAAAATGATAGTTCAGAAAACTTCTTCGTCTTCGAGGGAGGTCAGGCCAACGTTTTCAAAGCTTGTCCAAATGCAGTACAGTCTAATCTTTCCCAACCTCTCCTACATTTACCGCGCTCTGTCGCATGCGAACTGTATTTGCACTCTAATACAAAACACATTTAAAACGCCCGAGACCCAACACGGATAATCCTTTGTTTATTTTGTCAGTCACTTTGTAAACCTAATTAATAAAATCAAGATTCATGAAGAGTTCAAAATTTTCTTAAACTGAAAACAGCTCCAACATGGAATGTTCAGGAATGTTTTTCGAGCCTGGTCTCCTTTGGTAAACTTTGAAAGGCGTGTTCAATCACATGGAAACAAATAATTAATAACCGCATACAATCATGCAATCTATGACAAGAGCAAAAGCGAAAAAGAAGAAAAAATAAAAAAGATACTTTTTTACGCTATTGTTTTCGTCCTTTCATTATTATCAATCAGCGCTCTTGGCTGGAGAAGCAATTAAGACGGCGAACAGTCATAACTGTTCTCTTTTCGATGTTCTTTTCACAGTACTTCAAATACTCAATGTTGGAGAGGAAGATGCAGAGAAAATAAAACGCTTTTAAAACAGCTCTCACTTGATCGCATTTTTTGCACTTAAATTGGAACTAGCCGAAATTAAACAAAATAATTGTGCACTCCTTTGTTTGTACAAACCTTTTAAAGTTTTGTTGTAAATTAAATTTACATTTAAAGAAAAGATCCCTTTCCTGGACCATCATGACAAAAGCCTTTTCAAAAAATATTTACCCACTTTGGTATTTTTAATTTCAGATAACCAATCGTCTATTAGTTTTCAAAACTGACTGCTCGACTTCAAAATATTCGCTTAATTGAGTGCCTTCCTGTCAGCGTACAGCTGCAAAGGTGTTTGATAATTTTTTTTCCTTTTTCCATCAGTTTGTTCCCGAGGTTTCTGCGAACACTAATTATCCTGGATCTTGCGAAAATGGAAGTATCATGACATAATCCCCTTGAGAATTATGTCATGTCTTTATGCCTCTCATAAAAAAATTGCGCTTACGTGCTGGAAAACTTTGCGCACTTTCCCAGGCCTATTTTTGGGTGTGAAAGTACCTAAACAAATTGTGTCCGCACCGAAATTAGGAAGTGCTTTTATTCTCACAAGGTTAAACAATTGTTCATTTTGAAAGCATTCAGGCTTTCCAAGGACGATCTTTTTTTTCCTTTTAAAAATCCCTTACATGATAAAATGCGTAAAAAGGAAGGTGGAGCTCGCCTTAACTAACAGCATGAGAAAATGGTGGGAGCATTATTTTCTCTCGTCAACAGGAATCATTTGTGCGTCATTTATTTCGTAGAGTGAACATTTTAGATCTCGGTCAGCCAGTTCGCTTTTTCTCTTCATTCTATTTGTGGATGGCAATTTTCTGTGTCATAGCGATCCATGAATTCAGCCCACGCCTAGGAGTACTTAAGTTAAAACAGAAAACTTCCAGGAGCTAGGAAAATTTCCCATGTGCAATACATTTCTTTCTTTATCACTGACTCGGTAATAAACAACCGCTTTACATTATCCAAGTTGCGGTCCTTTTGTAAATTCTGAGCTCTCTTAAATTCTATTCAAGATACACTAAATATTTTCCAGAGGTATTTCATTCGTTTCAGATCAACTTGATATGACTCTACGGGCGAGTCTTAAATTTATCTCCGGGTGCGGTTATACCGGGAATATACGATGTCAGTGTGGATAAACAATCTACAATAAAAGGTAAGAAAAAATAGCCTTACAAAATCTAGGCTTGATTGGTGTGTTGTCAATTGTATCTTTCGTCTGTTTGGTTTGCTTTTCTACACATTCAGTAATTACAAGTGTTGCCGGGGGGAGGGTTTGTCGGAATGCTTTTGTTCAAATATTTTCGGTGCCTTTTATCTTTTTTTCCCTTTTTCCTCTTTTTCACCCCTGCCTTGAACAATTGATGTGAATGTGTTAATCCAAAGATTCTTTCATACGGTGCAATTACCATAACAATAATGAGAGGTAGCAGTAGGATTTTTTTTTTCGATTTTGGCTTAATTGTCTCATCAAACTTTGAAATTTCTGGCACATATGAACTCTTTTGGATCAAAGTAACATTTTATCATAGTTCCTTCAATTAAGGTCTATTTTTAAGATTTGAAATTGCAGAAAACTTTGCCATTGTCCATTCCTGATTTGAGATATTCAGATAGATATTGCCAAAGTTGTTGTCAAACAACAAAGGATTACATTTTTCTTTTCAAGAAGTGATGTAATACCCCTGAGAAGGTAACAACTGAAACAATGATCCGTCATTTCTCGCACATACCTAAAAAGATCCTTGATCAATTTTCTCTCCGTGCACTAAAAATTTTACCAAATACATTCCACCCCTGATTAAAAGAAAGAGCCACTTAAAAATCATCCCTTTCCTAAGAGTATTGCTCGAATACGCGTGGTCTGCAGCACTACCATTCCATCGAATCTAAAGAATGCACTTCATTCCTAAAAAAGCGATTTAATGACTGGCTGAAAAATTAACACCTAAAGAAAAGTACTTAATTTAACTTCTGTGACAATAGCTTTTAAAAAAAACTGGCAAAAATGACGTAATCAACTGATGTATAAAAGCGAACTTATTGCTCTAGATAGCCATCCTTTTAACTTACCCTGCAGGCAGGAAAGAGTCTGGAGAGATGAAGGTTTTCATTGGGTTTTTGCTGTTCGCCTTTGCAACTGCTGATATCTATAAGTGGGTCGGCCTTCCCGAACAGAATTTTAAACTGCTTGATAACTTGCTGAACGGTGAGCACTCTGCAATTTACCTCAGAGTTAAATTTTGCTGGTGCGAGACCTCAAATCTTCGTTCGCTATTTACTAAAAGCATTTATAGGCATAGTTCTCGCTTGCTCGTACTTTCTGCAAACAGCTACATGCTGCAACGCTAAAACTGTTTACTAGTCAGGTCTGAAAATCATATGCTTAGTAACTATAAATGGCGAGATTTCGCTGGCAAAATCAATTGCTTTTAGCAATAACAAATTCGGCCCATCAGTCTCGGAGGGTTACGCCCCAATTAATTCCACTTTTTTTTTTATTGATTTCGCTCGCTCGAACTTGCAATTTCTGGTTCAACAGCTGCAGCGAAAGATTCCTCAGGAACTTCAACATGTTTTCGATTGAATAATTCGACTGTTGAGTTCGTGACTGGTTAAATCTCCTGAGGGTTTTGTTAAATCTTATTTCACCTCAGAGCTAATCGAAAGTTATCTAGTAAGCCACAAGGAACCCAATATAAATAATCGACGAAATATCTGCACCAATTTCGAAAGAAATTTTACTTTCTTAAAATTGAGAATAGCAAAATTCTGATATGCCCGTTTATTACAATACGATCCATTTACCGCTCAGGAAAATTCAGGCATGCGCCAAGGTTTATAATTTTTCAAAAGGGATTATCAGAGCAAAAATTATTCTTTAGTATCACGTGACTGTTTATTATTATGAATATAGCCTTGATGCTTTTTTGCTCGTTTTTTGTGCGTGTCGTTTCCTTTACGTCGAATCACTCCTCTATCGAATTAAGGCTTCGTGGAGTTGCCGCTTTCTGAAGTTTTACTAAACAATTTTGATTGTGTTAAAAAATGTTCTTTGTTTCATTTGACAGATGAAAAATTCACAAGCAAAGGATCGCTCGAGTCATTAAAGCCTGGCCTTGGAAATCTGCGCATGAGCGACGATGGCGAGGAGAAAGAGGGAAGTGGAGAAGGGTCAGGGGAACCAGAAGGCTCTGGAGCTGGGAAACCACCTCCATTTAAAGAAACCATCGAGGATTTAGTTGAATCGGTGAGATGATAATTGTGTTAAGAAGTGCAACCTAAATGACTTCTGACTGGCGAGCTAACAGAGTTGGGAATATGCAGCCGGGAACTGGCTCGAGTACTACACGAGTCTTCTTCAATGATTGGTTCGGTGGACTTTTTTTAAGTCATTGTTTGTTTATTGTTGAACTGTCGCCTCCCTGGCAATCCATTTGAACTCAGCATTTCAATTAAAAAACCACATATTTCTTTTCTTTGGGTCTAACCGACTAGGAATAGGTTTGGAGTGCGTCTGATACAGAGGGGCAGAGGTGAAGTTTACAGTTGACTGAACCAACCGAAAAAGGATCACTTTTTATTTTTTGTTTCCATTTCTGACCCATATTTTCCTGTGCTGTCAAGGAATTTTCCTTTTTCTCTTGCCCTTGTAAACTTGTCTGTTTCTTGTCAGCAATGGTTAAAGGTGTCAAAAGTTTCTGAACCGTTTACTTACATATTTTTCTTTGTAACTGCAGCTTCATACTATCATACCAGCTTTGAAAATACTGAAGGAGGCAAGGGACAAAAAAAATCACGGTAATCTTTATATTCAAACATTCCACGTATCTTCGTGCAGATTTCGACCTTTCTACCACAATCGACAAAAACTTGTGTATTTTAAGGTTAACTTGTGTCACTTTGTCGAGAAAATACCGTTGCAAGTGATTAGTTAGAACGGAAATAAAAGTTAAAAACAAACAAGCAAACAAACAAACAAACACAAACAAACAATAATTTTCGTAAATAACAGCGATATTCTAATTAAGTATATTTTCAAAGTTTTACATAAAAACCTTTCTGCACAAGACGACAAACTAACTGGACAGGCTTTTATTTTCAAAAGCGCAATGAAATAACTTGATCATTTCTCTAACTGGGAATGAATAAAATCTTTCAGAGTATGCACAGGAGCTTGTAAAAGCGATCAAGAATGGGGCAGATGATGAATCCATCAAAAAACTTTTGGGATATCATGTGATGAAACTGCACGCACGCTGTCATCTCCTCAAACTGGCGTTTGCCCGCCATGCAAATCAATCAGGTAAATATGGTTTCTCATTCCACGTTTTGAGTTATGTTTGTATATTTTGTGGCTCTTCTCAGTTGAGAATCTAAATGCATTTATCTTGGTTTTTCGTTCTTGTCTGTTGTTGTTGTAGTTGTTGTTTCTGATTCAAGAATTCGATGAACAAAACAAGGACTTTATGTCGTTAAATTATGACAACACACCGAGTAAATAATTTCGAACTCGGTTGGGCCCTCAGTTTACAAGTTTAAACTTGAGTCGTGCATGCTTTATCGTAAAATATACCAGATGGGAATTAAAACGTTTATATTATTAAAAAAAAATTGTCCATTCATAAATTTGTGTCAAATTTTCTGCAGGCTTATTAGACCACCTGAGTTCGGATGACCTGGATTTCACCCAAATGATGGGGAAAGTCATTGGAGCAGCTGAAAAATACGGCTTTGGTAAGAAATTCATACAAGTTTATTCTTGTGAAATGCAATGATTTCCTTCAAGTATTCATCTATTCCACAATAAAAAAACAAACAAGAAAAATGGTAAAAAAAAAGTATAATTGAGGCAAAGTCAATTTTGATAAATATGATAAACGTTTAAGATAAAAACTCTATAAAATTGGAGTTAAACCTAAAACTATTAGCAATCAAGAATTTTTTTGGAAACATTTCAATATTTTTGGGTATCGTAGATATGCTCTGTATCGGTATTACAATAAAGCATTAATGATATTTTAACACTAAAGGTACCTAATGTTGTTCAAATCGTAAAAATGAAAAAGGGATAAAGTTCTCTCTCCACAGAGGATTTGCAGAAATTTGCCCAAAGAAAGAGACTGACAGGACCCAAGACTCAGTTTGTTTTTTTCTTTGCTAAGATGTGTTCCAAGCATTTGTGCACATTGTACACCTAAAAGGACTTCACAACCATCCTGGAGCAAGGGCTATCATGGCAGTTGGAGGTTTGGTGGCCGATGTAGCATGTGAAACCAAATTAGATGGTAAGCATAAATTTGATTGTATGGGTCTATGCTTTACTGCTTTTAATTTTGGTACTGTATTATCATTTTCTGAAAAATAATGGAGGTTCAAAATAATTAACTTTTTATTCATTTATAACTGTTTTTCGCACAAAGCAAATCACACCTGTCACAAGAATCATCGAGACTAGAATAGGAAAGTTAAGAAGAAAGAAAGATAAAATGCAAATTATCAGACGGTAGTTGAAGCCACGAAATGAAAAAAAAAACACATGTGACAATTAATTTTGAACCATGGTAACAAATACAAAATGACAGTTTTTCTACTAGTGTAGAAAAAATTGCAGTAACGGAAATGTTTTCTCGTTTCTCTTGTGTTTCCTTAACCGCCATTCCAGTCTGTTTAACAATTCAAAGCGTCCTTTCTGCGCGATTTATGCATGCAGATGATTAAAATTGTTAAAATGATTTCATCGTTCTTAGGTCTCTTAAATATAGTTGGGAAAATGATAGAGAAGGAGGACAAGGACGGTGACTACGACCTCTCGGACAAGTTTATTCCATTCCTGTACAGCCAAAAGAGCAAGTTTTGCAAAGGAAGTAAGTCAGACATCATTCTCCATTTTCCCCTCCCTTATTTAAACATACTTTTTATTTTATTTAAAGACAGCTACCATTATAAACTCATTACCAGTTCTCCGGAAATCTTCCACATTTTTTTTATCAAACAAAGCTCTTTTATTCCCTTTAAAAATTTTTTCTTACGTGTAATAGTTTCAACTTCTACTAAGCGAAATCTTTTTACAGTCACCTTTTTTCTACAATTATCGGTTAAGATTTGTCAATTCACGCACCTAACGGCTACATTGTTTCACCGTTGTACATGCAGCGATCGGTTATCCCCACGGAGAGCCTCGTACAAGGGCATAGGAATTATTTACTTGTGGAGGGCTCTGCATAACATTCAATCATCTTATTTGCAACCATACTTTGTCTCCTAGATTTGATCCAGTCCTTGAAACCAGAAAAAAGCATGAAAGCCAGATTTCTCAAACTCGTATTTTCATATTGCAAAGAAGGTATGTCTTTACGTTTTTCGTACTCTGACCCTACCTTTCCTATTAACCCTATAAAGTGACCCAGACGGAATTTCGCCTTAAAAAATCAATATAACTGATATCAAGCCGACAAGTGATGAGAATAAAGAAAAACATTATTTAAGATATTAGTGGTTCACCCAATGCCAATTTCTTCAGACGTACATTATCAGAATATTGTGATAGCCAGTAAGGAGAATTGATACAAAGGTCTTGAGAGTAAAAAGAAATTGCTCGTTCTTACTGTATTACAACCTCTACCATGATCTATAAACGTTAATTACGGACAGACAGAAAGGTAAAGTTGTAAATGGGCTGCAGTTGGAGTAAATAAAAAGGGAAGATTTATTTTCCTAAACTGTTTTACTGCTGTCTTTTCCTTTTAGTGAAATTCGTCAGATTTGCGGTCAGCACGTTGTTGGATGTAAGTAATCTGTTTCATCAGTGCATGTCTCCATATATGGATGATGATAACGATTATTGATATAAATAACCTCTTTAATATTAAAAAGAAGTCGTTAGTAGAGACGCCCCCCTATGTTTGAACTCATTGATGCCCCCTGTATCTGTTTAACTCACTTGTCAGAGCTTTATTCGGACACAAGACTTCTTCAGCTCGGTTTGGCTGTTGTCTCGGACAATAATGTACCGTAACCATATCAAACAAATACATAATTTTTTCGAGAATAAATAACACGTTACATAACTCCGACATATTAATTATACATATCGAGATTAAGGACATGGTCTCCACGATAACAAAAACAAACAATTATGAAAATAATGACTGACCTCATCTCTTTCATAAAACAATTACAGGCAATCAAGCTCTCCAAAAAAGTGCAAATTTTGCATAGGGTGGAGGGGAAACGCTTTCAAGGTATGTTATTACCCCAATATACACCCTAAAAAGACACTTTAAAGTTGGAGAACCTTGGACACTACTTATTAAACAAAATGACAAGTATACCCATCAAAATTGTTGAAAAATCTTGGTATCAACGCAACCACTTTGTACTCTTTTTGGGCAAAGAGCACCCTCAGAGCAAAGGACGCGAAATAAGTTTCTTTGAAAACTAATTCGTTCAAATACCAAAAAAGTTTTGTGAACATTTAGTGTAACATTTCTCTTGTGAAAGATCCTTGGGAATACCCCACCCCCTTGATTGGGACAAACTCTCTATAGAAAGGCATAATTCTGTTTCAAAGTTCTCCACTTTCGTAATGGCTAAGATTATTTTTTTGACAAAAAAACCGTAGATTTAAAATACTATTTCCTTCTACAGGAATGATGAAAGCCGTAGCAGCCCATATGGCAAGTAATAAGAAAGACAGAGCTTTCTTAGTCGTCGGTGACTATGTTGTGGACAACATGAGAAGAGCGCTTCTGATTGGTCTTGCTGTGCACAAAGAACTGAAGAAGGGCGAAGAGAAGAGCGAGGAGCCTGGCGAGGAGAAGAGCGAGAAGCCGATAGGTGACAAGTTGAAAAGGCTTGCCGATTTCGTGGAGGAGGAACTGGATCAGCTACCCGACACTCTCAAACCCGCTTCACACCATTAATTAGTAATCGTGTGAGTAAGGTAAAGTTTCCTATTTTCATTTACGTGTGCATTCAATTCTACTTCGAGATTCCTAAAAATAGATAAAAAAATTTCATCACAAAGATGCGTTTATTTTGATAAAGAAAGAGAACGCAATAACAACAGCATTTAATAAAATCTTGCCGATTTTTTTCATGTTAGATTAACTCCTTAAAGCAGGAAAACTTTTTTTTGGATCTTCAATTGTTTTCCAACTTCCTTTGGCCTGTTTTGACCTCGAACCGCACTTTATTTCAGTTTCTGTCCACTCCTATAGACAATTAGCGCAATGTTTATTTGCATTTGCAATGGTATTTTCTGCTAGTATAACACAAACCTTTGGATTTTCTTATTTCATTTTCAGGTTTGCCTATCAAGTTGGATCACATTTTTGATAAATCACCAAACACTATCAACATTAAACATACGCTGGCTTCAAAATATTTTGTTAATACACACCTATCGCCTTAAATTCATGATTGCTTGGTTGAAATCCTAATAAATTTCATTATTTCCTAACTCTTTTGTTTTGTTGTGTATCATTACTGAATTCTGTTTCTCGCGAGCGAACTAAAAGTAAGCGTCTCTCTACACTTGACTTACCAAATCTTCCCTAGTGATACTTGTCAATCAAACTTTAAATCGCTTATCTTAAGATAGGAACATTGTAAACCGACCCGGTTTTTAAGGTTATCTAGATTTAATCTTAAAGCAGCCTTCACTCTTTCAGCATACGTAAACAAAAACTGTTTTTCCTCGCGCAATTTGAGAAAGTTCTGTTAATGTACAGCGAACTTTAATTATCCTTTTGGCCAACTAACTGCTTCGGTAATTTCCCTACCACCGATCTCAAAGTTACGCTAGCTTGCTTCGATTTTAGAAGTACTTTGTAGTAGTTTGCGCTTTACATTTAATTTAAACAAAGCCATAAGATTAATTAATCACGGTGGGAGATAACAATCTTAGACAACATTTCATCAAATTTTGCATTAGATACTGATTTGCCAACATAAGACTTTGTGGTGACAATTGACAAAAATGTTTTTCTTCTTGTCACGAGCGAGGGACAAAGAAAAATTCTGAGTCCCCATGAGGAATCGAACCTCAGACCTTCGGATTCTGCGCTCCGATCCTCTATCACTGAGCCACAGACTCCACCGTGAGCGAGGTCTATTACGAAATTCGTATGACACGCGTCCTGCACACTGCTAGCATCAGCTACCTCTGTCTAGAACTTTGTTTGTCATTTATAAACTCAAAAGTGCTTCTAAACACTCAGATTTACCAGACATGTTGCTTTCGGCCAGCTCGGAAAAAGGCCGACCGCTTTCAAAAGTAAACTGAAGCCTGCAGAAGGGTCATTACTGTGACTTTAAAACAATAACCTAACATTACCGAATCACCTCACCTTACGTGGGAGCGTAATAACAATGATGCAGCAAGAATCGAAGGAGCACGAATGACTTAAAATGCTCTCGATCATTTCCGCTGGAACAAACATCGACATTCAGAAGATTTAATTCACATATATTGGTGCATTTTCTGTTAAGTTACAAAATTTGTTCAAACAAAACCAAGATATCTTTACCTCGACGAATTTGAGTTTTTTCCGCTTTGTAATACACCTGTTCCCTCCCCCTTAATTTACTCGGAGGTGGACATTTTTTCCGCATTCAGGAAACTTCCTGTTTTGTTCTTAGCGTTTTTTGAAATCTACGGCCCATTAAAATGATGATCGATATCACGAGACAGTCATTTATCAGCGTGATATTTTCCGCATTTGGGTTAGGAACTTTGTTTTGAATACTTTGATGACAGAAATGCAATTTATGAGAAAACGTACACATAGACCTATCTATTTATCAAACCAATGAATTGCTTAACAAATCCTAAAGTGATGGAAATTTGAGACCTCGAGCTCCCCTCAACCCACAAAATATTTTTGGGGGGGAGAGGGTGAAGGCCAACCATTTTCAAAACTAAAATGAGGCCTCTCACTTGGTAAGTTTTTCACACGCCTCCCATGCACTGAACTGAGTTAGCATCTACGTTGAAAATCTAACTGTCACGCCATAACAAGACAACAGTTACCTCATCTTACGTGGCATTGATAACAATGTGCAAAGTGAAACATTCTAACGGCTCTTAATCAGTTCTCTGTTTATTCAGAACTGCTGGAATATACATCAATAATCAAAAACTAGATTTGCATAAGCAAGCTTTATATTATTTTCTGTCAAGCTGCGAATGTAGATAAACTTTAGCGTGACGAATTGAAGTTTTTTCCGCTTTGAAAAAAATTGAAATCCCTCAGGAGTTGAAAAACAAAAAACAAAAACAAAAAAACAATTGAAAGAATTAATTGATCAGGACATAATTTGATCGCATGTCAATAGGTAGACTCTCCCGTCGCATAGCAACAAACCTCTATGGAAGAAAGTGGGGAGAATTTAAAAAAAATCGCCAACTTACTGCTTGAGTGAGTGCAACACTTGGTGCGGTAAGGAGAAATTAAACCTTAGTAACACTTTGCAATGTAATGGATGGATGAACCGGGCACAAAAGCAAAATCCGAGATTGTGTGGATCAGTTTTCCATGAGGTGGGCTGATCGTGCACGCTGTGGAAGAAAATGAAGTTCATCCTGACAACGTTGCTTATTGCCTCAACTGTTGGTGCATTGAAGAACCTGGTTGATCTCTCAGCGGCGAGGTCCAATAGACTGCATCATTTGCTTAAAGGTAAATTTCATTTATGTTCATGTTTTCACTTAAACATAATTGTTTGATTTGTTGATAAGTTAACCAAAGATACATCTCTCTCTTCCCTTATTTATGAGCTACGAGTCGATATCATTTTGTCAAAACTTTTTTTTTCGGTAGATATTAACTTATAGATATTTTTTTTTCTGCCCAATCAGTCGTATTTATTTTAACTATCTCATCGTACTTAACTTTCTCGTCAATCAGCATATTGCAATGGACTGTTAATGCTTTTTTCCCATTCATTACATATGCCAGAAAACTTTGCGCACAAAGTGCCTCACATACCAGCGCGATAAAAAAAAATTAAAAAAAAAAATTAAAAAATCGGTTCATTTCGGTTCACTTGTCCTATTGACAAAATTAATTTAAAAATTCCTTCTACCGTGCGACTCTGTGAAAAAAAACCAGCTTTATTGTATCTCAAGTTACAAAACATATTTTGCAATAGGCTTTCCAAGCCAAATCTACCTTGAGGCCGACATTTTTTCCGCTTCAGACAAAAGCCTCCTTGTGTTGCCTGGCAACAGTGTCAAGTGTTTTCAGATTAAGGGCCCTTTAGAATACGAAATAACGAGCTTAAGGTTGCAAACATTCTTTCCACGTTTAGGACAGTGCGTCTGATTTTCTTCGACAATGGACAGTCTGAGTTTTTGACAAACAAGGTTCTTTTAGGTTATCAAGGCTTTTTGGATGAACGAGTTTCTGTTGAGCGGGATTCTTTGAGGCTGACAAATTTTCCGCATTCAGGGAAACCCTTTGTTTCGCTCGTACAATAGACATTCTGACACTAAGATCGACTGTTCTTAAAATTGATCAGGTTTATAAATAGATCTGGAGACAAATGGTAACTAGTAATCAATTGCGAATGTAAAACTTCAGCAAATCGTTGTTAAGGTGGATCAAAATTATTTAATTATTTTTAAACATCATTTCTTGATTGATCCTGCGCGAATCTTTCACCGTTTTTAGTTTGTTAAAAATTTTCTTCAAATCATTACTCGACAAATTGTATCAATTTTTCATTTAAGATTAACACGGCACAATATTACACCAATTATTTTATCTTTAGGGACCGTAAATCAAAAACAGTTTACATGATCCCATATGATGGTAAAAACTGACTGCAATTGGTAGTACTCTATGCTAGTAGCTCATGCAATGAAAAAAAAGCTAATGAGCTAATTGTTTCGACTGCGGCCATAGTTATTTGGTATCGCGTACCCGAGACAACCCACCCCCTCGAGACTACTTTATGGAGCGTTTATCTGAAGTTGTGAGTTGTAACAGCTGTCCCCTCATCAGTCTCTTCCCTCGCCTAAAACACATGGTCTCGGGCTGTCGGGCAGGCAAGCCGAAGTGTGTACGCGAGAAAACGATGTCTCGCCAAGGCGAGACAACACTCCCTATCGAGTTGTCCCACCCCCGAGACAAGTTCGCCGGTTTCAGGTAAACGGTTGGTTGAATTTTCCAAAGAAATCAATCAAAAGTTAGCTCGGCTAGGGAAACTGGGGGGAAGGGTTGTCTTGAACACTTGAGACCATATAAATGGGCCTTGAATCTTTAACTGCCTTTGGTTCATAAATTGATAATCATGATCATGGTAAGCCCTGTTAAACGCGTCCCTAAACTCGACTTGCTCTCCATCACTTAGATTTCCTCATAATGTTTTGTTCATCCCAGATGGGCCCATTAATGCCAAGAAACTCATGGAAAAGCCTTCTCTAACCGAGACAACAGCTCACCTTGCTCGTCTGTTGAAGAAAGGAGAACAAATGAATGACCATCACGAGGTGGGGGAGGAGGAATTTGGATCGAGATCTGGATCAGGATCGGGGCCGGGACCGGACCCCGAAAAAACTGCAGTGGTTGCATTGGCCCATGTGGTAAGAAATTCACTTTTAACATTTGACGGAGTCTTTGATGAATAATTTTTGATTCGAACACATACAGTTTGCATAACTGCGAATATATGTAAAACATATTTGTGAAGAAACTGCGAAGATCGCCTTCATATTAATTACATACAGCTATGTCTGGGACTCACATGAAAATTAGGATAAATACAAAATATTGTTAAATCGAAAGTTTTAGTTTTAAAATTTAAATTTAGTTTTATAAACTTTGGGGACCAATAATAGCTCCCTTTTTTGAACTGCAGATACAAAAAATCAGGCGAGCTTTGAAAACATTGAAGGACGCTAAGGACAAACAGGATAAGGGTAATTAACAACATCTTAATTTGCGACCGTCAGCAGCTCTGTACCGATAGTTAGATCAATCTTCTTTTTTTCCCACGTGTTCTATTTTTTTTGTAGATGAGATATGTTTTTCATTCAGGTCAGGTTTAAGGTTGAATCCCAATTCAGATGGAAGCATGGGGATATAAGGCATTCTATCAAAGCTGAAGGATTTGAATTTATCAGAAGAGCAGCTTGAAATATTTGTGAATGTCGGGGGTTGTGTCATATTTTGTATTTTTGCATTTGAATGATTTTTTTTTTGGTTTATTTTGCTTTGCTTTGTGTTTTTGTTTTGCTTTGTTAGTTCGTGTTTAATTTGTAGATGGGCTTAAAAATTTCAAATACACTGCACGAGGATTTTTCAGCTATTAAATTTGTATTCTTTATCATACTTCAGTTCGTCTTCAATAATAGGCTCTTATGCTTTTAATTTTCAGCTGATGCTGAAGCTTTCCTAAACGTGTTGAAGCACGGAAACGTTACTGAGGTCAAGGAGATTTTGGGCCAACATGCGATGGAACGGCACATCAGATGCCAATATGTCAAAAAGCTTTTTGCTAATTACATTCACAAGACAGGTGAAATACTAAATGTCCTTTTTCCTTTTTAAAAACCCACTTTTGTTTTTATAACTCCCTCAAATTTGTAGAGATAGAAATTTAAAACACTCATTCAATAGACTATGGAAGCATTTTTATTTTTGAAAATAAAGGGTAAAACTTAAGTGTTCTTTTCCGAACTTTATATAATTCTGCGAATACTATTCGAGATGACAAACTTCTAAATAATTTGATTTATCCCTACTCATGTTACGAGTGGAAGAATTAATTCTGTATCAACTTACAGACTGAATTTCTTTTCTTGTGTAGAGTTAATTAAGTTGTTGGCTAATGACAACTTAAATTTCGAAGAGAGAATGGGCCAGGTTCTCAAAGATTCGGAACTCAACGAACAAGCAGGTGAGAATGTTGAATGTGCAAATATCTGTCGCGTGTATTTACTTATTCTATACAAACAAGGTATTTGTTATAATTATTAACTCTTTTATCATCTCTAATATCATAATTATTGGATAGAGGGCTTGTGCATTTAACGGTGGGGCATAGCAGCTAATTGTTTTGTGGCCGATGGTGTTACGCATGACAAAGTTAAGTATTTAGACGTTGCTGCTTGTGTTCCTCAGTGCAACATGGTCACACTAAAACAAAGAGACTCTGAGAGCAGATCACAGCTTTTTTTTCTGTGCGTGTGTGTGTGTGTCAGAGGAGTAGGCTTGATGTTTCTTAAAATAACGGCCGGCCATGGATTTCATTTCTTTGGGGTGTTCAACATATGAATCCATTCGGTATTTTTTCCTCAACTTAGACGTTTTTGAAGCATTTGTCCACATGGCTTTTGAACACGATCTCTTGGAGCATCCTGGTGTAAAGGCTGTAATGGAAATTGGTGGGATGCTGGCTGAGACATACTGTGACACTAACATGGATGGTGAATATGAAAAATTTCTTACCCTCTCTAAACTAAAACCTTCCCTCCCTAATAAAGCACCCACTTCATTTATAAACCTCTTCATTGACCCTTTGCCTCTAAAGAGTGACTAGCATCTAATTTCTCCCCACAATGCCACCCCCTGAATCAAACATGATCACCAACTATAAAGTACCTCTTCATTGTTAAACAAATTCTCCTTTTCAGCTCCACAGGAAATGTATAGAGAACAGTATGGAGAATATGCATACTGATGTTAGGGTGTAAAGGGTTAAGAAGCTTGATGTTTTTTTGTTGTTGTTGTTATCAAAGTATGGAAAATATCTATCGAGGTAATCTTTGTCAGTTCTCCTAGTTTGTTAACCTCTTTTGCTATTCCTAGTTTCCTTAGAAAGTCTCTTTCTCTGGCTTGCCTGCCTTTTGCATTTTAACCTTTTTCGTATATCTGTATAAACCACAGGTTAGAAAACTTTTCAAGCAATCTCTAGAAATATATTTTTTCTGTCGTCATTGCAATTGTATTTTTGTTTTGATATTCGGCATTTGTTGTTTTTAAGGTTTGGCTAACTTGATAATCCATTACGTTGACCAATCTGATCCTCGTGGCAAATTTGATGTCTCCAAGAAAATAAATCCATATGTTTATGCAGTGAACAGTGGACAGTGTATGAAGAGAGGTAAGTCAGGTAACGACATTGTAAAATTTTAACCAGGAATACACCCAACAGCACAATCAATCAAAGCAGTGCTTAGGGTTTTTAAAGGAAGCTTCATTTTACGATCATTGACGTATTGGGCTTTTTCTTTCGGTTTCATTGTTCGTCTGTGTTCTGTTCCTTTTTCTTTATTTTTTCTACCACGATCACAATTATGACCATCATTGTCAAAATCCGTGTCGTTACTAACGAAAAGAGAAATTTTTGTCGCGTCAGTGGGAGAGAGGAAGGAAGGGTTGCCTCACACTAACTGCCTATAAAAAATATTAAATTACGGACATGAACCATGTGAACATGTTCTGTTTCATAGACTGTTATGGCATTCTTTGATACCCTACAATCCGTAGTAATCCCATTTCCACCTTTCTTTTTTATCATTTTTCTCATTATTTCGATTTCAAGGTCTGTTCAGAGGAGCTGGACCAAAAAGAAAAAGAAGCCTCAAGGAAAAAGCACTAGACCTAGTGTTTGAGAATCACAACAACAACGACTGCGGTGAAGGTGCGTACGAGCTTTTGAGGTAAAACTTTTCCTCACTTTCGCAAGCCTCGTGTTTTTAGCATTTTTGCTTAGTTTTTTCTTCCATGCATGAAGTCTAAGACGAAAGTTAGGACTATTTCACCATACAATGACCACAGTGACAATTATTTCCTCGTAATTTTCTACGAAATTTCGTTAGTTTTTCTGTCTGAGGAGCAAATTACGTCCATTAATATTTCAGAGGAGCAAAAACGAAGTGATGACGAAGTGAAAAAGTATTTCTGTAGGTTTTATAATTGAACCGAACGAAAGAACTTCCCTGATTTCAATTTAAAACCTGTGAGAAGACTGCAATGAAGAACGAGAGCCAATATTTTGGTTTACCTTTTTTTTCTTTGGGTGCGTTTTTCCGATGAGTGTGAGATCGGTTTTTTTTCCTTGTTTTGTGCTTTTGCTTCGTGGTCTGTTAAGCAAACATAATCCATATCTGCATTGAATTCAATCTCCATCAAATATGTATCAATCAGGGTTTACTTGCATTTTAGTTTGAGTCATCTGGAAATGCATTGCACCAACTGTTGCGGAGCTGAAGGTTTTAATGAGATTTAATGAAAGAATTATTCTATTCGCGCTTGTTGGATACGAAACTGGTTAAAGCCAACTCGGCGCTACTCTCCTCGTTGGATATTTACCATCTCATACCCAACCCGCACTCACGGAATAATTATTGGATCTATATAACGCTGGCACAGTTTTGGAGTCAAAAGAAAAAAAGGGAAAAGAATGCCAGCATATGAAACTGATATCGTACCCCTGAGGGGAGCCTGTCAGGTCATTTTGTCTTTTCAGATCCAAGCCCCACTTTGTTGTTTCCAAAGTTATTTTTTTTACCAATATGGAATGGTTTTTCTCTTTTTTAGTGAAACTCATACGGTCAATTGTACGACTCATCCATGAGGTAAGTACTCATCCCAATTTCTGTATTGTTACAAAGTTTCTATGGTGTAGGGATGGCTGTTAGAAAAATGAACTTATCTCGTATCAATCACATTACCCGTTAGGTGCTTCGCAACTCATATGCCGTAACCTTATTCTATACAGCTATGGCTTCTCACTCGCTGAACTTATTTGTGGATAAATTAAAATTAGCTTCAAAATGTTTAATTTTGATTGAGGAAATCCACCAAGGGGCTTGTCTTTTGTCTTCCCCTCCCTCCTGATTTTAGTAGTACTTTGGATATTTTTTAACTGTCCAAAATTACCACCAATAATCTGCATGTAGCTAGATAATTATGTTCAGTGGTAGACATGTATTCTCACATTTAATTTTTAATAAGTTATGGTAATGCTAGTCGTCTGGGAAGGTTTATGATCTGTACTTTAGTAAGACCTAATCATATTTTGTTCCATTTTTCAGGGTGTAAAGGTTCACAAAAAGTCTGCAGAGCTACAGTATATTACTCAGATATTTGAAGATGGTATGTACCTAACGCCATGAACTGTCCGTCAAAGTCCCCCCCGCCCCACCCTTACACACACTTTCCTCTTTTCCAGTTGTGGACCCATCTACATGTACCCCAAACAAGACACCTGCTAACGTGTTCCCTCGAATATGCGCCTCTTCTTTTATAAGCTTTGAAAGCCTTCTGAAGTTACAAATCTTTAGTATTTACGAGAGTCCAGCTGGACACAGCGATTTATGGTTTGTAACTTTCTGGTACTCGGTTGTCTCCAGAAGAATTTTTTAAGAACAGAGAATAAAACAATAAAACAATAATAACTAATATGCTAAAAGAAAACGTGTTTATTGACTTTTTCCTGGAACAAAATCCCAAGTAAAGGAATGAAAAATCGAAAAAAGTTAAAAAAACTCCTTTGTTTATGGAAGAAATTAGTCAAAAGTGGACAAAATCCAAGGTTCTTTCTTACTGTGGGTCAGTTCGTAGTAGATAACATGAGAGGGGCCATCATAATCGGTACAGTTATCGAGAAATATTTAAAGGAAGCGGCTCCTCCACAAGCATCTACCTAATCTTCCCAAGCTCCTCCGTAACGAAGTGTAAGTAAAGGAATTTTAAATCTTGCTATGTTCATGAAAACTGTAACCGTTCTCGAAGTAATTTGGAAGGAAATTGTATTTACAGTACTTTAGTGATCAAACTATTGATAGATAAAGAAATAAAGGTGTGATGCGCTGGCAAAGCTGAAAGTCTTTGGCTTTAACTCTTAACAAACAAGACCCGTTTCGAAACGGTCGGCACATGTGAAGCAACCTCGTGCAAAAATTTTTGATAGATAATAAAATGTTGCTTTTTCTCTCTTGTAGAGCTGGTATGGAGAGCCACATTGACTTTTTTCCCCTCTGGATATGCAAAAACAAACAAACGAAACAATAAAGAAAGAAAAAAATGTAGATTCATTTGTTTCATTTAAAAGGCTATGGTCATTTCCTCTTTAGGACATGGAATAACTTTAGCAAAAAAAATCTCACTTACAAAGTTCTTTAATTTGTCGTACCGTTTTTATTCAACAAACTGGTTGCGCCTTACCGTATTGTGCTACTCCCATAGTATTTTTGATATCTAAGTTCTCTTGTGTTATAATTTTCTCTTTGAAGCAAATAAAATCCGAGGGAGAAACTATTGACTGTGTGTTTACTGTCGTGAATGAAATAACTGTGAACTTCACGAAGATATAGTACCTTTTTTTCATTTCAAACCATGGTAACTGATAATAAACTGATATTGACTCAGTAACCAAAAAAACGAGCAACAAAACTGAGTAAATAGTTTTGAGGTCGACTAGTAACACCCCAAAAGTAAATAAGAAAAAAATAAATATAAGAAAAATTATTTTGAATGATAACTTGGTCCGTAGCAGAGTATTTGATACACGTAAACCCTCAAAATCTAAGACTGAACGCAACATAAACTACGAAGAAATTCAAACGGCCCAACCCCCCTCTCCTCCTCCTCCTTACCCCTTCCCCCCTCCTTTTTTTTTTTTTTTTTTTTTTTTTGGATGTCAGTCAGATGTCAGCCAGATAGCTTGTGCGCCCGAGTCCCAGCATTAAAGCGTGATAAAGTCACGCATAACTAGCAAGGATAACTGGGTCAATAGCTTTAATTACTTAAAGCGATGGCTTGGACTCTTAAATAGTTCACTTAGTTAACTGAGATGAATGGGAGTCACTTCGCAAATAGGAGGAGTTAGACCGATAAGAGGCAGAACACCAGCGGTAAAGATCACCTCTCTATCTCTTATTTCCGGCACATAACTTCCGACATTTTTTAGGATTAGCGATTGATGGCATCACGGTCAATTAACTAAGGGCTAACTACACGATAACATTTTCCGCAAGCAGAAATCTGTCGATAGAGCTCTGTTTTCCATTTCTGTCTTTTGATGCGTCTAGTTCATTAGTTGAGAATGTCAATCATTCTGTTCTATGAATGATTCGTGAACCCTGAGTCAAAGAGGATAAAAATACAATGACTTATATTTACAGACAAGGTCTTATTAAGAGTTTTGAGTTTTCTTCGCAAGTTATATTCCATGGCATTTTCACATGCAGCTCAGCCCCCTGATCTGATGATCAGTACCTGAATTAATCTTTAACATTTTGTTTCTTAATTCAAACACACTTTCATAAATGTCAGTAAATATTATAAATATTGTGAATAACCGATGATTCACGCAGACGTCTTGGTGACATCTCTAACAAAGATTTTGTTTTTACTAAAAAAAACAACAACAATTCATTGACCATTTTCAATTAAACTGATTGGAAGCAATTAATTCAGTTTTTCCGCGTTGTCATCATTTTGTATCAATGCTTAAAATATTTAATTCGCTTATTGGTGTAAATATATAAAATTATGAGGGAGGTTTTAAACTCTATGGCAAATGAAGCGAATACCTATTTACAGCTGTGAGGGTCTTAAGTGTACCTACCGAAGATATTTCAAATCAGTACCCAATTAAAAAAGTGAAATTATCATGTCCGTTTCATGAATCTGCAAAATTTCCTTTCAACTTGAATCGGGTAATTTTAGCTTTTTCCGCAATGTATTTTATTTGTATTCCCTCGGGGATCATTTACAAATGATTTAAATGATTTAATACAATGCCTATATTAATAAAAACAATGGTTAGAGATCAACATGTCTATTGTTTGACCACAAGTTCAAGATCAAAATTCTCCCAATACAGAGCAATAACATGGAAGTTAGTCGAGAGAATTTAAGTGTTCATCATTCAGAATCCTGTCCAGCTTACCACTTGACTAAATATAGAAACAGCGTTGGGAGAAATTGAACATCGATGCAACGCTTTGTGATGAATGGATGACTCCCACACAACAACGCGACACGATATCATTAATCTCAGTTGTCTACCAGGTCAGCCATCCCGTGCAAATCATTTCTAAGTGAAGGACAGTGAGGCAAGATGAAGTATATCCTTGTGACTTTGCTTTTCGTCTGTGCTGCTGAGGCATTTCAGAGCCAGGTTCATCTTCCTGAGAATACGGTCCGCAACAAACTAACTGAGCTAGATCGCTACCTGCAAGGTAAATATTTCCTTTATGAAACTTCTTATCAGTCATCCATTGATCGTAACGTCTCGAACTAATGGTAATAGAATGTTCCCAAGTCACTGTAGAGCGCCTGCTTTCTTAATTCGGAATATCATTGAAAAAAATTTTGAATTGTAGGAAATGGGATAAAAAAAAAAGATGAGCTAAGACTTGAAAGGGGACATAGAACCCGTAAAAATCCCGACATGGTATTAGATGTTCTAAAAGCTTTTAAATCACGAAGAATCACTCAGTCGTGAGTTCTGAGTTCTGGCCAAGAGATGAAATTAAACACACATAAAAAACAGTTTGTATATTCTAGAATACGGCTAAAGAGAAATTCCTCTTTGCCATCATTGTGTGCAATCTATTGACAAATCATACATGTTATAAATCAGTTCTCCTTTCCAAAACAAAATGCACAATGAGCAGCTGCAAATGATAAGAAACATATATATATTTTTGGTGAAATAGTTATTCCATATGCATTGATCAAAACATCAACACACTTACTCGTCAATTAGCATAGTTTTTTTCTGCAATCCTAAGAGGACTATAAGCCACCAACTAACCATCAAAATGAAAATTGTTAATTAAAAAGTTGGTCATGCAAAGCTAAAACGAATTGAATGGACTGTAATTAAATTCTGTCTCGTGATATGCTAGTCACGTTGAATTTTGCATTTTTCCGCATTTCGCGAAAGATTGCCAAGTGTTGTCATGGCAATATGACAATAAAACTCGAATAACAAAAAAAAGTATTTTCCTTTTTCATTATTCTTGATCTCTTCTCGTTCCTTGCTTAGTTTGGTAGCAGGACTAACTTAAATTTGTCTCAATGCAAACCACATACTAGTAAACACTCGCAACCCAGATTCGTACATGTACTTTGTATTAATTTGCACCACTCTTTGCAGTGATCAAATCCGGGATCGTATAAGAGGTAAAAGCAAAATGAAGACACTCCCAATTGACTCATAATTAGCTGCGCTACAAAACAGCTTCGAAAACTTTAAGTTTACAGCATCCTTGTTCCAGATTTTAGAGCTTAACGTGGTCATTAAACCACTTCGCTTTTCAACTAAGTTGTTTCATAATTATTCACGATATACTTTCTATGTTGCACATCGCAGAAGGATTCCTTAAGCAGATTGAGTTCTTCAATTACAATGTGCTTTAGACTGTTAATGTCAACAGTCTATATTCTACTTGGGTTTTTCTTTATGTGCAGATCATATGCTGTACCTCAGAAAATAAAGGAACTGAATCAACACTTTCCACACTGATAATCTTTCCGTTGCGCTCAAGTGTGGAAATGAATAAAGGATTAGCTGACTGGCTTCGCTTTGCCATGCTATGTTACTGGTCCACAGTTATCGTACCACCATCTCAGCTAATCAGTCTCAGACCCAGTCTTTTTCTCGAGCGGGCAATATATATTAATTCTCAATGACTCATTGGTTGCTTGTGTTAGTTTCCATGGCTTTAATTTGATTGTTCAAATACACAATTAAAAAAAATGTCAATCACTGTTTTTCGCAGATGGACCGGTGGATGTCAATAAACTCAGACATCCCTTGATGACTGAGACCACGGCTCGCTTTGCTCATCTCTTAAAAACAGGTGATCAGATGAATGATCATCATGAACATGAACAGGATGAGGGGGTGATGTCTGTGGAGGAGGCGGTGGCAGAATTGGCTGATTCGGTAAGTGTTTTATTGATGGCCTTTGCCTTATCTTTTTTATTATCATCATTTTCATTTTAGAAAATTGTTTTGATAACTTTGAGTTCATTTGCTCTTTTGAAAGAGTGCTCTACTTTTGCCGGCCTTGATCAAAGCAAAGTTCTTATACCTGAAAAGATCATTTTGATACTTAACAACTATTCACTGAAGTGGAGGCGGCTATTAGTGGATATTTACCAGGCAGCGAAACGGTGAGGTTAATATCCACCGCGAGACACCGACACTGAGGTGAATAGTTGTTTTATTATATACTAAAAAAGTGAGATAATACGGCACAAAAAGATGATCTTTAACTCATTTATTTCAGCAACGACTTCATGTTTTTGGGCGCAAATCCTGGGTGAATTTCTCGGAGGTGAATAGCAAAGACTATTCGGAGTTGGGTACTCAAAAAGAGCGCACCTTCAACGCTATGCTCTGTTTTAGAATATTTTATAAATATTATGCTCTGAATGAAAGAATCCAATGATTCCCTATGCTTTTCGAGATTATTATGCATGTATATAATCGAGCCTGATCTGCTCGAGTCTAGTTGCATTATCTATGATAATTCTAACAGAAATATATTTCCCTAGTTGAATGAGATCGTACCGGCTTTGGAGACGCTAAAGGAAGCTAAAGACAGTAGGAATCAACGTAATCATACATACTCTTCTACTTTCATTTTGTTCTCATTTTGATAAAATAACTTTTGTCGCGTATCTTTAAGTTGTCTCCAAGTTTCAAGCTTTACCGGTTTTTTCCTGTCGAGTTCGAAGACGATATTTCATCGCCCATTGACCAACGACCATTTTTTTTCCATTTTTGTCTCTTAGGAGTAGAGATAAGATATTACAAGATCATTATTAATTCTTGGACCTACGAGGGAACAAAGAAGAAACCCTCGCTTGAAGTTTTTATCAGAATTAAATCCGGGAGAATTAAATTGGAAGTTCATGCAGACAGTTCATTCACATATTAGACCTTAACGCTAAATTATTGTCGACACTGACACATAGATCTGGTCTAGCATTTCCCAAGGCACAAACCAATTAAAAATGTTAGAGCTTATTAAAAATGTATACGACATCTTATCAGGAAACAAAAAAACAAGCAAAAGAGAAAAGAATAAACAACAGCAACTTAGAACAAAACAAAAATTAAAATTCGCCATTGAACTTTATGGGTATCCTGCAGCATCTAACAGGATACGCCTCCCCATCGATAGGACTTAGTAAAAGTGTCAGTTAGTGTGTAAATAAAGGTTTAAAAATGACAGTTTGTTTCGTTTTAAATTTCAGAAAAAGCTCAGGAAATGATACATGCTCTACAATTCGAACCCTCAAATGAAGCGGTAAAGACATTACTGGGACGCCATGTTGTTGACGACCACGAAAAATGTGAAAAAATCAAAGAGGAGTTCGTCTCGTTTCTGCGTTCTAAAGGTTGATATTCATAAGTTATTCGTAATACGAGATCAATTACAGGCAATCTCAATTCCGTGGATAGAGCAGCAATTGAGTGTCGCAAAACCCAAAACCAAAGTAAAAGCAATAGCCAATCAGAACAGAGCAAAATATCACAAGGAGCCAATGCTACGCGAGTAACAGAGTCGCGATTGGTTTTAATTTGAATCTGATCAGATAAAATGGTGGTACAAATTTTCTGGAGCAATCATTGAGCAAAGTTAATTAAAATTAAAGCTAACCGGAATTTAGGATTATTTGCGAAGCTCAATTGCTTTAAATTTGAGGGGTTCATAATTACGTTATCACCTCTTTCCAATTTTTAATTTAATTTGTAGTTCTTTATTTGATAGAAAGTTTCATTTCCCTTAGTTAAAATTGTACTTTATCTTTGTATGCTAATTAATTATCTAGACTCTTTATCTTGATTACGAACCTGGTATCAAGAGCAGATCATGATGGTCGATACAGGGTGTCACGTCGTTTCACAGGAAAGGAGGGGAGGGGAGGGTAAGGACTGGAATAGACGGACCTTGAGTCTGGGTAAAGATTTAAACGTTGCGTTTTATTTTTCACAGCATTACTCCAAAAATTAAAAGTTGACGAGTTAGACTTTGGGGAAGAAACTGGTGAGGCTCTCGAAGAAGCTGACCTCGGTAAGAAATCCAACTGAAACGTAAATGCTTTCAAACTCTTGAAATTCAAGGCTTTTTCTTTTTAATTGGAGCGGCCTAACCGAGAGCTTTGTTAAGGGACTCTATGTAAACTTGCAGAAAAACAAAAAGTCACTTCTGCGTCATAGCAAATAAGACTATCTCAAACAATAACTAGAGCAGTACTGTCAATTTTTGCTCTTCGTTATTCTCAGCTGGTCAACCGTAACACTGATTGTGCCTTTTATTGCGAGTTAAACGAGGAACTTTCGTTCATGAAAATTCTGTTATTTCTGATTGCAATACATGTGAGTATCTACGATCGTGATTTGTATATGTCATTACGTTTATTTAAGACGCTCATGGGGCACTTTCCCACTTCAATCACTTTGAAGTGAAGGGTAAAATGGGACGATTGCTGGTTGATTCAGCATGTGACAAGAACGTGGATGGTAAGTATTACAATCTGCAATAGCTGTGTAACTTTTAGTCTTCAATATTAATAAATAACTAGGAGATACTCTTCTAGTTCCAGACTTTTCCTTTGCACTCACTTCAACCTTAATCAGAATTTCATAAAAAGAAAAACAGGCCATTCATGTGATCAATGAGGATACCTATTTTCATCAGTTGATTATTTGATCAGAATAGTACGTAAGCTTTCTAGTTTGTACTCTTCAAGAAATAAAATAGCATCCCTGAGGAGACGTATAATTTTAACGCCATCAGGTAGTTATAATAAGCTGCTTTCATTGACTTTGGGTGGCTAACACTTTATAATGATATGTTGTGCAATCTATGGGATTTTTCTAAATCATTGTGTAATTTCAAGGAGTGTAAAATTACTCTGCCGTGGAAGGCACCTTATCATTATGAGATAAAATACGTAAAGTTTTGACTACTAAATTTATTAAAACTGTATTTCTTGTTATTTATCTACTTTTATTCAAAATTTCGTTCAGGTCTGATTGAAAAGATTGGCGAGATTATCGAGAAACAGGATCCAAATGGAACGTTTGATCTTTCAAACAGAATAGAGCCGTATACTGATGCAACCCTTGTTGCTCTTTGTGAAAGAGGTAGGTTAAGTAATTTATCAGGAGCCAGATACTCCTATCTGCAATTAATTTTTCACCACATCATTAAATGAATCGACCTTTCGAAAATCTTTGAATGATAAGCGCCTCTGATACTCCTCTTACAAGCACCTCTTCTATTACATAATGTGAATAATTATGTCTATCTATTGCTTTCGTTCTACAACCGTTTGCTTGAGCATTTTAAGACTACATCTGCCAACAAGTTGGTGTGTAGAAGTGAACATCATCCAGCTCTTTTCATCAGGAACAGCATTCTACTCTTAAAAGATCTACAATCGGCGACGAAATTATTGACTTCGACTATTTCAGCCCCATATTACCTCCATTTTGTCTCTTTTGTTCTTGTTAATTAAGTCAACCTACTCGCCCCCCTTCCCGCTAAATAAATTTTATATGGTGATTCATGATCTTTTAGCTACATACAATGAAATGTGGAAAGGTGTCTTGTCAATGAATCAGAGTGTGGTAAAGACATGCGTGTTATTCTCCAAATAAGACTCCCAAAAATTGATGTGTCAAGTAAATCTGACGCTGATTGTGGATGTGTCCCTTCTTTATAAACCAAACAACGCCTACACACCTGGACCATGTTCATCAAGCAACCTTCCAATAAAGTATCCTGATTGGAACAACCTTTGGATAATCTAACCTTTACAGGGAACATATTTGAAACATATAGAACCTTTGGGCAAGATAAAGGAATATCAGCGGTGTTCGAGTCTTGAAAATTTGTAAAATACAAGCATTTCATGCACTTTTCCTTCCCTATCACAATTCTGTAAACCTAATCCGTATCAGGTCGATAGCACTAAGATCTCTCTTTTCAGATGACTTATCGTATTTTCAACGTTTTCAGTTCCATGGAAAGATCTTCTTACCAAACGTGCCATACAGGAGTCTGCACCATCTGAAGCTGGTGACGTCGGAAAAAGAATTATTGATATAGTGTTTGAGAATCCCCACGCAGGGAACTGCATCGAAGGTGTGTATTTCCATCCAAACCATACGACCTCATTGGTGACCAAGACATAATTTCTCCTCACAATATCAACACAATTTCAAGCAAACAAGTGATGAGAATAGAGATAAATATCCATTTAGAGATTATTAACTGATCCAATGCTAACTAACATCGTAAGAATTGTATCACGGACTGTGAGGAAAATTACTTATAAAATCTTGGAAGTGAAAAAGTTAATTCTTCCTGGCAAGGAGAGTTTTGAATTTGTACACGTACTTCGATCAGAGGGATGTCTACATGTGATGTACGCCACCGTTATACTGATATGATCATAAAAGAATAATTTCTGAATTTCATTTGTTTCAGTGAAAATCTACAAGAAGGCTGTGGACGTGATTAAAGGAGTAAGTAGTCTTATCGTCATTGTATCCATTTAGTAAGGGCAATAATTACAGATGTGAATTTGGGAAGTATTTACCAATATCCCTATTCATGATTTTATGACTAATGAATTATTGGGATAAAAAAGGTGCTACTTGCTTCTATATCAACACGAGGAACCCTCCTCATCATGGTTCTAAAAGCAAAGAAAAAGGAAGTTTAAGTTTTTTCGAAATATCAGCTCAGAGTCCGGTTTCATCGGAATCGCAATAGCCGTATAAACTGTATAATTGTTTAGCCCTCTAATTACCAGATTTTAAAGAGTTTCCGTGGCAAGAAGCAGATATGAATCGGATATCACGACTTCTCTGTGTAGAATGCTACTTTAAATTTAAGGTTTGCAATGATAGAGTACAGCATTAGGCATACTGCGGAAAATTTCTGTTGTTGAGGCACAGGAAGACCACACTAAGGGAGACTCCCATTTCTCTCTTAAAGGCCTCCGGCTAAAAGTAAATTCGTAAAAAGACACTTCAAACGGCCCGTGAGGGCGAAAAAATAACACAGATGCATCGATTAACATTTCATTTAACTTTATTGAGATATTCAGACCGAGAAGTAATTTATATATGCAAACTTCAGAGTTTTATTCATATATAACCCTCATAGATTTTGTTCGTCTCATGTCAACAATTAATAACCACGAACATTTTATAACTTCCAACAATGGACTAAACACTCCAAACACTCCAGCATTGTGTTAACGCGCTTTATTTAAGAAGCGATGTTGTAGTTGCGGTTCGTTCAAAGCGGTTAAAACTAAAATACAAGCAAAGAAAAGGACGTTACAAAGTGAACTAAACGCAACGGAAAGATGGACCAAAGCGACACATTTGTTAGGAGCTGGGGAAAAACTGCACTGGATGCCGTAGGGCGAAAAATGACCACTTGGAAATAGCAAGCGAAAAACCTGACCCGAAAAGGCTTACACGACCTTTAGATACTAACGAATATATTACAATAAATTACTCGACTAACACGCTAGAATACATTCCGCACGCACGACGAACTAACATACAAAAATCCCAAAGAGCAAAAACAAAAGACACTAATAAACGGGTGTTTAGGTATTTACATATTTAGTGTGGTCTGCCTGTGGTAGAGGCAAAGGAAGCAGTTTCTTTTTGAAATGAGTAAAGGACCGGTCAGTATTTATCATTTGGGTTTCTGTTGGGAGTGGGGGGGTTTAGGGGGATAAATTTTAATGAGGGGACGGTTGTGCTATCAAGATAAATTTTTAATCCTGATCCCTCCCATTATTCTTGTAAAAATATTTCTAGTCCCAAAGAAAACAGTCCTAATAACAGTTAATACATTTTCTTCTGGTCATGATTGATCCTCCCGATTTGCCCCCTTATATCCCTTGAAAACCATGTGGTCACCGAAAGAGTCCTCCATCCCCCCCAACCCTTCCCCCCCTCCCCACTCGGGGATAAATAATGACTGGTTCCCAACAACCACTTCTGTGCTTCAAAAGCTAACTACGTCGCTGCATGCCACAAATGAAACATTTTTTATTCTTTTCAGTCTATCACCCTTCAACACAGCTGGGCAGAAAACCTCAGCGCCCTGAAAGAAGCACAAGAAGGTAAATTTGATTATGATTACAAGATAATCAAAAGTGCTAACCAATTTTTGCTAACAAGGTTTCTTTCAACTTGAAAGAGAAAAATGAACATATCTCGATTTGGTTATTAAACAAAATCGCAAAGCATAAATTAAAGCGCTTCTGGATTGAGTGACATAAAATCAAAACCAAAGCAATCAAAGTGACCAATCAGAATGAAGGAAAATACCATTAAGAGCCAATGAGAACTCAAGTAAGTCCGACTAAACTGTCTGAAGCGCGGGAAAGCACGTGCGATCAAGTCGTTAATGGTTTTTATCTATGCATCTGATTGGTTAGGGGAGTGGCACGAGTTTTGTTAGACCAATGAAAAGGCGAAGTAAATACAAAGAAATCCCAGATCACTTTCTACCATCAGTTAAACATCGCTCCAATAAACCAATAATGAATAAGGATCGAAAAGATCGATTAAAACAGATTGCAAATGAAAAACGTGAAAGAGTTTCTGCTAACCGAAACTTTTGAAGATGCATCAACCTTGACTTAGGTCTCTCAGAGGATGCTTATGATCGCATTGCAGTAATATTTCAAACCTGAGTATTTTTTACTAAAATTCTGATTGAAGTGATCTATCGCATATAAATTTTGGCTATTTCAGGAAGTCATGGGGCCTAGTAACCCTAGTGGCTATTTAGATTTGTGTGGACTGTGCTCCCGTACGTTGCAAAAAAAAATTGTGGTTTCTTTTAATAAAAATTGTCGTGGTGCTAAGAGGGAAAAACCCCAAAGGTGACTATTGAATTTGTTATTAGGGCTCGAGTGAAAGTAACTTTTCCTTATCTTTCTTATTTTAGCACTGATCACGGATGTTGCGTCCCTCATGCAAAATGGACTCGTGGCTCAAGCCCGCAGAGCTGTGGGCAATTACATAGTCAGCATCGTGAGAGGAACCTTGGTAGTCAGTCACGTTATCGAAAAAAATGGCCTTGAGAATACTTCTAAGGAGCCTGAAAAGGGGCCTGAAAAGGAACCTGAAAAGGAGCCTAAAATTAAGGGGCCAAAAAGCGCCAAAAGCGGGGCCAAAAAGGGGCCCAAAAAGGGGGCCAAAAGGGGGGCCAAAAGGGGAGCCGAAAGAAGGACCGAAAGGAGGACCGAAAGGAAGGGGACGTAAGCGTACTTTCTTGCAGCACTTTTAATTTTGTCCCTGGGTATGTGTGCGCTTTTTCTTATTCTTTATGAAATATAAAGGGTTATGAATAAAGCTCTTCGTATGTTATTTTTATGTTTTGGTTTACTGAGTTGCGTAATGTAGCTAATAAGCTTTACACGAGTATACATCAATTTTGAGTCCTTTGGAGCACGTATAAACCTGATAAGAACAGTATTCAGCATATTCCGGTCCGAGAAAAGTTAAATACAAAATTCATTTTCAGTATATGTAGATTTTCAGCTGCGTGTCTGAACTTTTTGTTAAACAGGCACATAATAATCGTTTAGAGGGACACCTTAGTTTCTTACTCCAATCCTGTGGAATATTAATTCAACATGACATCAATAACCATAGCTTTATAAAATATTCAAATCGCATCGGGCAGAATCAATATCTTGGGTCACCCTCTCCTCGACCACGAGCTTAAAAATATATGGGTGTGTGTGTCTATGTGTTTGGGTGGCTAAATTATCTGTTATGGACAAAACTTTTCTCAAAACAACTGCTGTTTCAAAATTTTGTTTTATTTCTCCGTTTGGCACAACAAAACTAAGTTTATTTACAATAGTTGATAAAAAAGGACATTTCATTCGTGGATGATGTCAGTTGTACAATTTCCGTCAAATCAATTGTTAAAAATTGCTTGCTGAATCTACTTGTAGGTTTCCATCAAGACAACTTGACATCGTCAAGCTTAATATCACAAAACTTTGCGTAACTTCAGTTCAGACCAGTCGAAAATTGTCTTACGCATATAAATTTATTCTGATCATTTTAACCTCTTTGAAATTTTCATCTGGTTTTGGGGCTCATCATCAAATAACATTGCGGATAGCAAAAGTAATACCTTGGAGTAGTTTTTTTGGAAGGAAATCAAAAGAGAAAAGTCAATTTATTTGAAATGGGGCTAAATCAACTTGGGATAACTTGTGCACTTTCTGTGCACATATTTAAAAACAACATAAGATGTCATGAAAAGCTGACGTTATCAGTAAAATGCATAACGGTTGGGAGATTGCTGATCAACTCAAATATTTACGAAATACCTCCGTCGATGATTGAACATAAGTTAAAATTTAAAGAAATGAAAAGATTAAAAGAAAAAAAACCAGATCCAAGAAAAGTATTAAATCTTTTCGCTGATATTTTTTTTGGAATTTAATTAACAAATGCTTTTGAAAGGATTTATGATTAGTAATCAAAGAAAGACATAGACTCCCTCACGTCTGTTCCATCAGGCAGTTGACGTCCACCGGAACCAGGCGGGTGCATCTGTTTTTGTCTTAGACGATTTTCCCATGAGGTCAGATTTAAACTGGAAAAGAAAACAGTGTTTCAAAGAAAGCACAAAACTCACACTTAGGTAGATATAATTGTCAAAGGAACAGGCGAACTGACGAACAAACGAATAGACGAACTGACGAACAGACGAACAGACGAGCTGACGAGCAGACGAACTGATGAACTGATCATGAGGTGCACCGACAAATAGAGAAATAGACAAACGCACAGATCTGTTAGCAAATTAATGGTCTCAGGTAGACGTGGGTACTACACCAGTGCCAATTTTTCCAACTTACTCAATGGAGGCCATTATTGATTCCATCATAGGAAGGACACTAATGAGTGTTGAATAACAGGGTTTAACGATGCCCTTGAGGAACGAGACCTGTTCGAAAAAAAACATAAATTATTAAGAAGAAATTTAGAGTGAACTACATTTTAGCCTCCTTAGTCCTCGGAATGTGAATATAAGTGGTCATTCAATCCTGGTTTTTCTTAGGAGAGAGTTTCAGGAGAACTTGCTTCTCCCAAGACGCATGTCGTTACCTTCAGATTCACCACCCTTTCAACATCGTAATGATCGGGAGGTGGATAATTTAACACCCCGATTAAGCCAAACTAGGCCCCTGTTTCACCCTGTGTTAGGTAAAAGTGGGAATAGCTTCCACGTGACGTGAATTATTTCATTTATAGAAATAATTAATCAAATTTTTATTCACTCTGTTCGATGGATTTAAGAAAATCTACCGCAATATCTGAAGCAAAAAAGAATTTTAGTTGTCCTGCTGTACTGAATGAATACAGCTTTTATATTCCACACAAACTTACCTGATTTTCAGGAAGTTCGCTCTTTCTTGCTCGATCCATCATTGGCACAGGAGTCAGTCCCATAAGCTTTTCTTCATCTCCCTGTCGAAAAATACATTAAATAATTTGACTCTCAAGATCTAGGTAGTAATTCTATAGAATCCTAAACCGCAGGCAAGCAGTCGCAGGATCTGAATTATAAACAGACCTGTTTTGCAAAGAAACTCACCTGTCGATAGAATTCTTCAAACACCCTCTTGACTGAATTGATGTGAATGTACCATGGCTTGGCAGCGGCAGACAAGTCACACGCGGTCATCAACAGCCTACGAACAAGCTGCCTGCAACAACAATCAATGTAAGCTTACATGAATTGTTGGACATAATGCCCTAAAAAGACATTACAAACAAATCAATAATTTTTCCATAAATAGCAACAGTACTTGTGATCTGGTATACTCCAAGAGAATTTTCCATTCGTGACAATGTCGTTGAGTTTTGCTCTGTTATCGAAAAACAGCATTAGGTCCGTCGCCAAGATCGCGTCCTCCATAAGTTCCAACATATACTTGTACTGCTTCGCGGAGAGTGCATTTAAAATATTATGACCAGCCGTCTGTCGATAGAATTAAGATTTGTACGATTCAAAAGTGACACTGCGCAATAAAATTGCAACGCAATGAAAAATAAACAACTCTGGCCCCGTTTATTCGAAGACTGGATAGCGCTATCCACTAGATAAAACTCTCTCCGGTGGATAACGCTATACGTTAAGCCATCACTTATCCGCCGGATAGCGATTTATCCGTTGAATAGCGTTATCCGTTCTTTATACAACTGGGCCCAGGAGTCTTAAGATTTTAGCTGGACCATGACCAATGAGGAGCTAATTTTTATGATGGTGCAATACATTATCAAGTAGACTGGGTAACAAAACACTGTCTGGAAAGTTGTACTGAATTAGTATGCGGTCATCAAAATAGCTAAAGTGCGCATGCGGTTGCAATTCACTCGCAGCGATATCGAGGCTCGATTTCTGCAGCGTGAAGGATTGGTTATATCCTGGTCTGTCGCAACGTGTCCTCAGAGTTTGTTTGGTGTTACTTGACAGCCCCTTGGTTCCCATTAATATTCCTGGGCTCGGTTGTTCAAAAGGCAGTAAGCGATAATTCAGGATTAAAATTTCAACTTGTCTTTGGTTTCTCTTAAAATATAGTGTGTATTAGGGCTTACGTTTTAACGGGGTTTTACCTTAGCGTCGCATAAAAACGAAAGGAAAAATGTATCCGATTAAGACTGTCTGTAAAGCGACAAAAAAATTGAATAAAGGATTGTTGGCTAACCCTAGGTTAGCTTAATCGTGCTTAAATAACCTGGCCCAGGTATGGAAAGATAATTTGCGATTTAAGTTTCTTGACGAAGAACCCACGGACTCCGGCGCAAACTCTGACAAAGGCTCAAACCCTGACCTTTCGAATAGAGTCAATGGCGCCAACCAGAATGACAATGAATCTTTGAATGAAGCATATTTAGAGTAAGATGATGAAAGCAGAGCTCGAAGCGCGCGCAGCGAAGCCCCATATCTATAAAAATGTACCCTACATTCTATTCCTACTACGTAAAACCAATATCAGCGCGAGCTGTTTGCTCCGAATGGATAACAACTCTTTGCCTACTTAATATTAGAGGAAACTGAAATTGCACTCACCTCCAAGATGAAAACTCCTTGTTTAAAATGATGCCATTCCATGGTTGAAGTTGAGTACAGATGACTCAGCGGGGATTTGTTCTTGATCATGAAAGCATTATTGTAACCACGATGATCGATGTCGTGTATGATACTCGCAAGATACAACGCAATTTTCTGCAATAAAATGAGATGAATGTTCCATTCAGTTTGTTATTCATTTTGGTTATCGTTATCCTATATGCGGGTCTGCATACAGAGTAAATGTCTCGTGAACGAAGGAAAAGAACAAAAAACTTTGATCAGACCTTACAGAAAGACTAACTTCAGTGTAAACTTCCACAAAACGCATAATTACAAAATAAAATAGATAAATAAACAAATACCTCTTCCCAAGTAAACACCTCGGAGGCCATTTTCATGAGGACACACATGCTGTGAGCCACAGCAAACGCATGCCCCCAGTTGTGGTATGCCACACCACGATAACCCTTCCTCACAGTCAAGGTAAAACGAACGAGTGTCTCCATATCAAGTCTAAAAAGATAGCCGAAAAGTCCACAGTCGAGAATTTTGTCCCGTAAAACATTCGAGCAACAGGAGACGGTAGGTACATATTACGTAATTTTACCCTGAATCTAAAAATTGACTCCAACCCGAGGTTATGTTTGGAAAGACACCCTTTTGTCAATCTCCTAGCTTAATCAATCCCTAAGCTTAATATAATCTTCCAATGTCATCCATTGCATAACTTGCACTTATTGCAAAAGGTATATATAGGGGGAAACAGGAAGACGACTAGGCGACTCAACTCAGTCGATAAAATTAAACCAAATTATCTTGTTATATCCCCCATCGGCGCAACACCACAGTTTCTCTAAAAACTCCCTCCCCCCATTTATTCCATTGGTTTAGGCCTGGTTACACTTGACATAACAATACAGCTTTCTGCCCCAATGATACACCCCGAATTCGTGCCAGCGATCTTTCCTGAACCTTTATAAAATATCCGTACATCTTTAGTTGTTACCTGACGTTGCACTCTTGGAAGAACTCGTTTGTCATAATAATAAAATAGTTTGTTAATTCGTCGTCATTTTGATATACATTGAATTCATAGCTGAAAGAGGAAGGAGAAAGGTAAAGGTTTGTTTCAACTGCGAAAGAAAAAGACTCGTTTTTGCAGATAAAATCTGCAACACAGTTTCTTAATTATCTTTGGGTCTTTATTCCGATAGGCGCTCAGGGTTTTTCTTTCTCTTTGTGGTGGAGGTTGCGTGGGGGATTCAGTAGTTAGAGAGATTTAATGAAATTTTTTTATTAGAAAATTTATATCACCGTGAGAAAATACAAAATCTGTGCTCAAAAATATTTAAAAAAAAAACACAAAAGTACCAGTCAACAAGGAAGAGTAAGATGCACGAAAAGTTTTTAGCTTATTTTACACTTTGTCTCATTTAAAACCATCATCGAATCTTGCATGGAAATTATCATAATAAACTCTACAATTTTAAAATTAACCATACCTGTTAGCATTTATGTATTCAATATTCAAGATGTTTTTTGCAACCTTACCTATAAAAATCATTTGGCAAACTGCAGGAGGTCGCTGAGGCAAGCCATAGTTTAGTTTCTTTTTCTGATACGCAGCAGTGATATGTAAGAACTTCTAGTGCCACTTGGTGCTTCTGCTGCCCTCTGAAGAGCTGACCGTACATCTGGTAGCATAAAAATTAAAATTTTTTGTGATAGCGGAAAGGAATACAGAATGCAGGTACCTACTGGCTTTCATGGCTCCCCTTTCCAATCGCAACTTTCGGCGATGTGATAGAGAAATTTGAAGAATTATTGGAGGGGGGGAGGGGGAGAAAGGGCTAAAGAGGGTAATCACCACCGGTAGACTTGAGTTGGAACCCTGATCGATAGGTCAAGGAACGAATCTTGCCATGCTGCCGGGGTCATTGTGTTGTTTACTTGAGTGGGACACCTACACAGTCGACCAGCGACTTCGGCCGGTTCAACTCTTAGATCTGACTCATTTAATTCAGAGATAGGATACGACGAAAAATGAAATTTTTTAAATACGACCCACCTGACTGTAATGCAGAGCCAGTCCACAGTAACCAGCAAACAACTCAAATGCTCTGGCATCTAAACAGTGATCACAGACAAAAAATGGACTCCGCATGCATGAAAGAATGCTAACGCAATACTGATGTACTTAGCAACTGTGTGGGAGCGCCGGCCGGAAAATCGTTTGTCATGATAAAAGGACGGAGCTCAACAAGGTCTTAAAGCATGGGCGAGAGCCACAAATTTTCTCGCGTGGCCCGACCTAACTCAGTCAAAAGGCATTTCATTATGTGACCCCCGTTATTTGTCTTTCTTTCTTTCTTCGTTCCTTCCGCATGTTGCAGTACCGTTCGTAAAGCCGTCTGGCTCTCTAAGGCCCTGCTTGAGAATTTGTGCACAGCCCTTACGGGGAGATTTTTTTAATGCCTTTTTATAAGAGCACGCGGGACCGTATAGGTCATATAATCAGGACAATTAAATTTTGCTTGCTTGTCTGTGATATTCTTCGTATTGTTTCAGTCAGTTAATATCAGTTTGAGTTTCAGTTTTTACAGCTGAGCTATTTTCCTTGAGAGGTTAGCATAGATTCTCATTTACCTTCATTTGAGAAAAATCCTTTTTTACTGTTTACCATCTGAACGACACCAATTACACTACGGAACAAAGAAAAAATTTGAATAAGGTGTTAAAATTTTGCAGGAACATATTGCAAAACTGCAAGCTATGTTCGCCTCTCCTCTGGATATATGGAATTTTAAACTCAGTGAAAGGGATTTCCTTCGAATCTTCTTTGTTTACTTATGTTAGGAATGAAGTTTCGAGCTAGATCCTCTCTAGTTTGCGACTTTTACATTTGTATTTACTCTCAAAAGCGACCAAGTTAAGGATTTCTTGCCTTCCTTTGCAACTAACGGGGACACACAGAATGGATTTTGTTATATAGCCCGTCTTTATGTCCACTTCACGGTTGAATCTCGTATCACGGTATGGGTCGCTGATGTTCACAGTTTCTGATGTACTAGCAGCAAAGCCGGCGATGCCTTTATTGATAGGAAATCTAGAAAATAAAATTTAAAAGAAGCATGAAGATAAGAAAGATAGATATTCTCACAGATGAACTGTAAGTGAAGATATTGCAGAAACTTAGGCCTGGAAAATTCAATTCCAAAAAAAAATTCAATCCAAATTCAAGCTCCAAAAGGATTCCAACCTAAAGCTGTTCAAGTCTTTCAGTCCGTAAAACGAAGTGCGATAATTAGAGGCGTGATAGAAGCGGAGAAGTGAAAAAACCAAGGGAGGTTTTGGTCGAGATCCGACCCAAATCTACTCGTTGTTTGCATGTTGACTCGCCCTACGTAACTATGCACCAAAACGCCTATTAAGATTTATATACTCTCCCACTGACGAAACACCGCAGTTTCTTTAGAAGCGTACTCACTCTATTCAAACTTTACCTTCCCAGAGTTAAGAATCCAGCATTTAGCAACAAGCAAATTTTAAAAGTTTTTGTTCTATGTTAAGGAATCTGATTACAAATGAATGGAGTAAGTTATATTTTGACCTGTATATTATAGCGAATGATGAAAAGATCCTCATAAGTGCATTAGAATTGAAGAGGTCGCATTAATAAAATTTTCAGCATTTTTTGCCTGTCTCACCCCGCTTTGTCTTTGTTTTAATACCTTATTTCTGCTCCGTTTCTAAATTTGTACCCCAAACCATCCTCGTCTCCCTCGTCGAACAAATTGGCGTACAACTCATTGGATTTGGCGTCCACCATGAAGAGCGCGCAGCGATCAGCATTAACTAACCGCTTGGCAAAAGCCTGCATGTGATAGAAACAGTAGTAACAAAAGACAAAAGGATATGAAATGTGCACTTTCTTTCTCAATTCTTATCAGGGCGGAAAGCAAGCAGCTGTCGGAAAATCTCTCTACTATGCACTCACCATTATTTTTTCAATTACCACATCCATAGTACTAACTTCGTCAAAAATGGATCTGAAAGATGAAACCGTCACACTATTCATTTCTTTGTTAACTGAAAGGACAACTGCTTTTAATTTAATGGTAGAGGTTAGCTCTTCTTTCGCCGATTTTCTCAAGTAAACTTTGTCTGTTTATTTCCAATGAAAGTTACCATGAGTGAGTTATACACAGACCCCAATGTCTTGTTCCTGAAAACGTTCTTAATTAAGACAAATTTCGTGAGCTGGTTTGTTGTCGAGGGCTCTTGGTATGTCGTCGACCAACAAATGAGATCTTTTGTTCAGATAACAGGCCGAGGCTCGCATAAGGTGATCTTGAGTGATAATGTTCTTTTCAAAAATTGTGACAGTCTAATTTCATGAGGATTAACAGAAATGCATCATAAGTATTTTCTTTTACACTCTTACCTTACAACATTCAGCAGGAAACTATTTAGATCTTTTTGCTTTTGCATTTGTTTTGAAATCTAGAGGGGATTACAAACGAAAAATTATTGGTAAATTATTCGAAACAGCATGTGTAAGCTTTACGATTAATGCATTTTGCTTTGTGCACTCTGTATGTTTTAATGAAAACCCGGAAGCTCTTAAAACAAGAACACCGACAGAAAAGCCGCTTAAATTCTTAATCCAACTCAGTTCTGCATAGCTGGTCTATGTTTATGGCTTAGAATAACTGATAATTTAGTTAGAAAAGTAACCCATGAGAGTCTTTGGATGGAAGGAGGGCGCGCCTTGTTACTCAACCTAGTACCCTGAGTTTCTCTTCTCTACCATGCACCTCCCCTTCCCCCAAAAGATCACAGCTGTTACTTATACTTGTACTTACCTCAGCATGATGAATAGCTATACTACCCCAGGCAAGATAACTATTAACGATCTGACAGAGCAAACAAATAAAAACAGATAAACAAACAAGAAGGTGTTTAAGAATGGCAAAAATGACTGAGCACCGAAGAAATGATGAACTGAATCTCGCTCTCCATGATCGTTTTGGTCATTGATGCGCTTTAGTATGGTGTAAGAAAAACTCTCCTCCCATGCGGGTAGTTCTCAGTCTCCTAATTTTTCTCGCTAGTGCATGCGCTGTGAAGAATGCGCGCAGCAAACTGGAGCGAGTCTAATGTGACTTATTTATCCCTTGGAGTTTACTCCCCTGAACTTATTTGCAGTGAGAAACTGGTTTATCCATGATTTCCAGCTCTTTCCATTTTCTATACGCAATTGGCAAAATGCTGCAACACAAAGCAATTACATTACTCACCTCTTCGTCTTCCCGTTCAAATGATGGGTTGCCAAGTTTTTTTACCAATTCGACAATACCTGTAATAAAAACCAGAATACCGTGCTATACTATAATATGAACAATAAAGAGTGATTCTACCATGGAATTCCTTAATTTGTTTCCTTCCCGTGGTGCAGGCTGAATTTTGATGGAAGGGTCTGTAAACCTGATTGATTTAATTGCTGCCTTTGAACAAAACTTTTTCTACAGCAAATATCCTTTGAGCTGGCTCCATCATAAGTGCGTAGTGTGCATCATTAATCGAGTTCTTTCATTCTCAGGGTCTAAGCAGAAATTATCTTCTTTGAGTTTCCATATTTTTTCTTAAAATTTGCTCCCTTGAACATTTATCACTCTCGTTTTATTTATTTGTTACCTATTTCTTTACTCCTAAGGCAACGTGTATCGTAATCTACTGGATAAAGATTTATCCAGTGGATAGCGTTATACACCACTGGAACAACCTGGCCTGGAGATTTAATTTTGTGTTTAGCATAAAATCGCTTAAAATTAGAAAAAGAACCATTTTCGTACCAACTATAGCTCCATCGGCTTGTACGATAGGCTGACACAATACAGACTGGGCTGTGCTGTCTGAAACACAAAGAAACACAATTCCAAAAGACTATCAGTTATATCCGTCATTTCTACAGAGTGGGAATTAGTTCACGCAGGGGACTGAATCGTTTATATAAGTACACTCATGAATGGTGGCTTACGTATTGCTGCTTAAATGAAACAATTTCTTGAAGATACCCGCGACACAAAGGCAACTTGGGAGAACAACAAAGCAGCGACCCTTTTTCATTTTCTTCTATGCAGCGATCAAATTCAGACAGTCAATCGTAGAAAGTTTATTTGTGATTAGCTTTGCTCATATTTGATCACGTTACATTTGTTTTTTGGTAACGCTTCTACCGACTTCGAGAGGGGTTTAATTTAGTTTAGTTTGGAAAGAAATAATTGCTACAGCCAAAAACTAAATAAAAAAGAATCCTAAATGTTCGTCTCAGTATTTTGCTGCAGCAGAGAGAGAAAGTTAGTTCGTTGTTCCGTCGGATGTTAAGCAACGTCTCACTTAAGTTATTGAGGGCATCTGAATTCAGTGTCAAAGAAACAAAATCTAATAACTTCACGGCCAATCAAAACAAAGTGCGACAATTAAGACGCGATTTTCTTTACGTTTGAATCTGATTGGCTGAGAGAGCGGCTGGAGTTTTTGTAGACCAATCGCAGTGCAAAGTAAAGCAAAACAAATTCAATCCCTATTTTCTTTCGAAACTCAATTGAAAATCACTCTAAAAGAATCTGGGCGCAACTAACCTTCAATACCAATTCCTTTGGGAAATCTCTCGTCCTATGACAAAATAATAGAAAATAACTTTAAGTACTAATGTCTGATTGCAGTCAAATTGGCAATCTTAAATCACAAGGTGTTGTGTTGATTTACTTCGCACAAAAAACTTATTCCTCGTAACGAGTCGTCATTGATTTTGCTTGAGTTAGCTCTATTGCTCTTTCACAACAGATTCAGTACGCAAAGGTTAATAGAAAACGCACAACGAAAAAAATGAATTAATATTGATCAAATTCCTCACCACCTCACGTGGAGCTGGCTGAGTTGGACAACGCTTTCTCGATTTGGTTAATCTAAGTCAAGTTTTAAAATGGTTAGGTCATTAGCTAGACGAAAAGGCTATAATATAAGCTGAGTCAGTTTGGATAAGGTCAGAACATCAGAGTTTACATTTGTCTCTGCAAAATGTGTCTTTGTTTTGCACAATAACAAACTTTGATGAAAGGTTTACCCCGAGAATATCTTTAACATAAAGCCTTTGACCCGTCTCAGCGACATAAGCCGCAATCGTGCCACCACATCCAATTTTCTGACGACAAAGAGACCGGGATCTACAAAACCAAACCAAGAAAAACAAAAAATCAGATTCACCGCTGAAGAAAGTGTAAAGCTGTTCGTACAATTTGAATCGACATAAATACACTTAAGAGAACCAGGAATGCCTTTGCTTTACCTCGGCTTGTTCTCTGAATACAGATAAATGTCCTGTGAGATTGAGAGAATATAAGAATATGGTTTTTATCACATTAATACTTAAGAAAAACATAATAACTCTTTGTGCTTCAGTTTAAATTAATTCGATATAAAAGTTATATCTAAAAACAGATTTAGTGCAAACGTGAACATGAACTTTGCCAGTTTCTTTTAGTGAATTTAAAAATTGTACAATGTCTCCAATTCTAAACGTATGCCAATATTTTCGAGCAAACGATTGAAAGACATACAGTAGTAAGAAAATTTATTCTTGCCTTATTCTCTTACTGGCTCCTAACCAATCAGAAAATATCGAAAATAATGAATGATTTTTTTAAGTTTTATACCCTAACAAACGATTCACGTTTTTTCGTGCAGCACAAAGTACTAAATGCACCTTATCGTTAAAAAATCCGATGAATTTGGAAAACCATTTCATCAGAAGTTTGCAAAACTTGAAGTGAGTTTTTTTTTGTCTGTTTTGATTATTTCTTTTTCTGTTCTTGTTGTTGTTTATATACAAAAATGTAGTTAGACTCAAGATTGTACATGAATGTCAGATGATAAACATAATTAAGTTAGATTTTTGAAAGTAAGATCAATAAGAGCTCACCCTTCCATTTTTGTCCACCAGGTAAAGTGAATGTACGTTTGCATGAGTGGCTAGGAAACACAATATTGACAATTGTTGATAGACAAAGGGTTCATTTGGTATAATTATCGTCTTTTAATCATTCCTACATCCTGATGTAATTATGAAGGCTTTCATCAATTCTTGATAAACAGCATCCTTGTTTTTCCTATTTTGCATTGAAGCTGTTTTTGTTTTCTTCGATTCTTACAGAAGTCGTGCGAAACATCTCAAATTCCAATAACATCAGAAACTGTGCGTAGTGATGAGCAAAAATCAATCTCGTTGACGGAGAAGAATCAATATTACAACTTGTGATTATCTAGAGATAATTTTCCTCTCCAAGAAAGGAAAGGAAAAGTAAAATGGATGACAATACATGTAGTTTTAAATCATCGCAAGTCAAACACGACAGAATTCTTTATTACCTGCAGCTACGCTTTTGACGAGCTCGTGCATAACTCTGACTTTTTTTGGCTGTTGATTGATGTCTTTCGTCAGTTGCTGGAGCATTTTGCGCTTGTCGGTATGAACACAAAACTACTCACGCCAAAAACAAGAAAACATAAATCTATTATTAATGAAAATCGTCGTGCGATCAAATGAACAGATGACGATGTAGAAGTTCAATTTATCAGCGTATGTATACATAATCAATATTCCTACCTTCCATTTGGAGAGAGATGTTCTCACGGCTAGGAAAATGGAGAAGAAACATATTCAAGAGAAATTACACAACTTTTAATTCTACGCAATTACCCTCAAGGAGAGAAAAAAAACCAGACTTTGGATTTCATTCACAGCCAAGAGCAAAATCTTATAGACTACAGGCCTAAAGTCTTTATAGAAAAAGGCCATAGGAGGCATTTGAAAGGGCTAAAACTTAACAAAGATAAACGAATCATACCCGGTTTACACTAAAGCTTTAACACATTTTAAAGCTGTTTTGCTTAGCGGTTTAAAATTGTCTTCTTCACTAAAAGCTGCTCATACCGATGTGTGTTCGACTTATAATTCATTCAGTATATGGGAAATAAACGCTAGTGACTACATGAAACCTGAGGAAATTCAGTTTTTCAGTTCTCTGTTTTCGATTTTCATCCAGTTAAACCCGATTTAACTTCACATATTTATCTGGTGTGAATGAGTATTAGGCCGTGTAATAAAATTGTCATTCCAATACTACCTTCCCCTTTAATGTGTTCTGTGGATTGTGTCTTTCGGATCAGCCATCTCTCGAGCTGCTCTTGGCTTATATCTGCCATGATAAAATCCTCCAACACTTGTGGGTTGGCCAAAAGGTATTCTTTGACACGCATTTCGGAGAGAACTATTTTGAGAAAAATACATTCTGAATAAGTGTAACTGTGTGGAGTTAGAAAAAGTTAAAAAATTTTCAGAAAGAACTGTTGTACTTAACAACCTACAAAAACCCTTAGCAAAAGATAAAACTGGGAGTTTCCTATTGTTTTGTTTATTGTTTACTTTACAGGGTAAGAGATGGTTTCTAATCCTGCAAGGAAATTCCACATAAATCCGTGCGTTTAAGTTGAAGAAGGAAACCAAAATTTGCAGAATAACTGATATAAATAAATCATTAAACGAAAATAACGAAAACGTAAATACTAAAAAGCAAGACAAATATTTAAATAAAAGAATCCTTTTTGATTTGAAAACTGATCGATGATAAAAACTCGATTAGTAGCTAAGCAAATAGTTAAAAAAAAGGGTAAAAATGATTCAGAGATTAAACTTGAAATGCACACATCTTGCTTAAAACATGGTTGGTAATTAAGAAATTTTTAAAAGCCATCTTCCTTTATGATGAGGGCTCAACTAAAAACTAGAAATGACAGAACAAATAAAAAAAAGAAAAGAAAAAAACACCATGGGGTGTCAATAAACTTTTTTCTTCACAGGGCTTCAAAAAGCTTTCCGAAATACATGAATAAAACATTGACATCTTTCCGTCTTATAATTATACTAAAATGTCAAATTTCAATCTTAGCGTCACCTGGTGTGGTTGATTACAGAATTTCTTTATCGTTATCTCCCTGTGGCGGGTTTTGTTTTATATCATGAGAGCTTTAAAAGATTTAGTGCTCAAGCTGATACGTTTTTTATAAATAATGAATGATTCTGTCTCTATGAATAGTCTGGCTTTAAATGAAAATATGCCTTAATTAAGCTTATTTTCGATCGACAGCTCCTGGCGGCCAAGACATAACAGCAATAGCAAATAACATTCATATTTGTTGTTAAAAAAAATGACAATAACCTTTAGGGATCGTAAATAATGTTTTCTCCTCTTTTTGGTGTATTAATATTAGATATAAGAAAGTTGAGCTGCAGACAAATGATGAAACCGTTCCTCTGGTTAATTTGTCGCGTATTCGAGTTGAAGAAAAACAAAATTGATTTGCATTCACACTATGATCTGCGTCTGAAACGGCGCTTGCACGAAAATAAATGAATAAAGTTGCAGACGAAGAAAAAAAGAAAAAGCATTAAAAATGGGCCAGGAAACTGTAATAATAAAAATAAACTAAAAAATCGTTATTTGCACACGTCCAAACAGAGAAACTTCACGCAGAACAAAATGTAAAAACGCGCGCTTAGCGGTAAATGTTTACACAGAATGGTTTACTTTCTAGTCATCTGATCAACAGTATTTTGAAAAGCTTAATTTCAGTTGGGGTCTTCAAAGATAATTTTAGAAAGTTCCTGTTATTAATATCAGGTCATATCTCATCCGAAATGATTGAGTTTATCTCGACATTCTGTATGCAGGAAGCACTGAACGCACTATTCGGAAGTAAAGGCGCATTATTTGCCTTAAACCTATAAGCACTCACCAGGATTATGCGTCAGGAAAGACGAAATTTAAGACCTTACCGCCGGGAGAGACTCGATTATCATCAAAAGTAAGGCCTAGGCGACGGCTTTAATTTTTTCGGAGTACTTTCATCTATTTATATTCAAACAGAGTGCTTATCGTGCCACAACAAATAATGAACAAATACCCAAACCCTAATAGAGGCAAAATTAAGAACTGTACAAAAAATTATTCCTAGCTTAATACTGGGGAAAACTAAAGAAAATTTAAAGAATAAATCTTTCTCAGGTTTACCTCCGGAAGGTTTTGTTTTAATGCTGCCTCCGGCGTGATTTTCATTATTCGAGTTGACAGTTTCTCTTATGTTCCTCTGTGTTAACTGATTCGGAAGCGGCGGCAACCTTCGGATACTAACTTGCTTTGTAGGCGACGACATTGTCCTTCCAAGCTTGAACATTTGCTGGGAAATGATAAAAAAACACCGCAACTGAAACGCGCTCCAAAGCCATTCCCTCTACCATCCACTGTTTACGTCGCACGAATCGTCATCTGACGGAAATTTAGACTACGGCGTGCGCGCGCGTGCTGATTCTCGCGATGCGGTGAGATATTTCCGGTTTTAAATCGAGAGATGATGCAAACTGAAGAAAAAAGTAACAAGGGTACTGCACCGTTGTTTGATTAATTTCGAATACTGCGAAAACCTGAAATAACAGTGCAAGGTCTGTTCGGGATTGAAACAAGATCTAAAAAAGTCTATAAGCAAATTAAAGATTTCTGATTTCTTGACCAATTTCTTTTGCTAATGGTCAACAGGAATCATGTCGAGTTTCGTTTTAGACAGACAGTCATCTCAGCGCTGATTAATATTTTGCGTTAGTCATTTCGGCCGAAATTGTTTTTGAAACGCATCCAAAAACTCACAGTTGTGCAAATTGTGCCCCTCTCGAAGGTAATAACTTGTCATATGATTTTAAATGAAGTATCCTGAATAATTTATGTCAGATTCGAAACTCACTGTATGAAAGCAATTTTGGTGTCCGGCCCTGATTACTTTCGGAAACTGTTAATTCGCAGTGAGGTAAAAAACGTGACTCATCACAGAGAATCCTGGGTTTACTGACCCTAAAGGTATTCTTTATCATCCAAGATTAATTGGTTTTCATGGTATCCAGTGTTTTTAGCATGTTTGCATGTATGTTTCCTTACTCAATCGTATTTTTAACTGGGCGGTAAACTGAAAGTTAATAATGCTAGCTCTCAAGACAGATCTAGTCTTGGCCTTGGTTTGAAACTCGGTCTGAAAGATCGCAACCACTTTTGGCATTTTCAGTGGTTTTGCCAGACTAGAAAAAAAAAGCTATTTGAATGTTTTTGTTTTGCTTCATTTGTTTTGCTTTTGTTTTGCTTCATTTGTTTTGCTTTTGTTTTTTGTTTTTTTCAATGTTTGACCAAACGAAAGGTAAAGAAATGGAGAATAAACAGGTTTCATGAGAAAAAGCAAAAAACGACCAAAAAAAAAAAAACAGAGAATGAGAAAGTGGCATTACACGACAAAGTTACTTTATCACAAATGGGTTTCTTGGAGGCGACTCGTACAAAGCTTCCGTGCGATTGACAAAATATTGAATATTAAAGTTCTTTGTCAAACAGGTCAATCCAAATTGTCGTTAGCATTCTAGAAGATGCTGACAATTGTTTTAATTTGAACAGCTGACGAAAATTGTGGCGTTAGAGGCTAAGCTATTAACACCCGCGTAATTGAATTCGTGTCAGTGTACATAAAGATTACAAAGAGAGTAGACTTTAAAATGCAGCTATGTAAAACTTAAAGATTTCCTTATCTTTCACGCTTTTTGCGTCCTCTTCCTACGCATCATACATAAAATCGAAGAAGTAATGCGAAAATGCAATCAAACTACCTTTAATAGGCTTGTGTAAACTTTTACGTGGGCCGAGTTGGGACCGAGGATGATGAGAATCGCTCTTTCAAACATTATTTTTTTTCCAAGAAGAAAAGAATCGTTTTTAAAAACCGACGCTAACTTTACAAATCGTAGGTTCATATTTTTAGTTTTAAAAAGCCAAATCACCATACATTGGTACATGCTCGTAACCAAGTCTAAACTAACGATAAAAATCTTCGCCTTTTCTTCTCATTTTTTTCGATATTAGGGAGCATACTCCTTATCATGATTCACCTTGGATATGCTCGAGCATGCTTTGGAAAATGCAATTGGCAGTAGAGAGATACACACATTCGAAAAACAGTTTAAAATAAAATATTTTTTAATTCGTTCTCATTCGATACTTATTCATACAAGTCCATACATATGGAATATAGAACGGGTGAGGCTAGAGCCAAAAGGATCTTGGCATTCCATTCGGCAAAAACGATTCCAGTGTCCTCTCATTCAGATGCTCCATGAAGTTATATTGGACAGTTGGTGAGGTTCTGAGGTTGTCAATATCTCTGCTCTCCGAGACTAGTTACGACACAGCCTCTGTGTAATTCTGATTTTCATGGCTGTTCAAGTTTTTTTTTTCGCTGTTGGGTTGACCCAAAACGTACTCAGACATTTGGCTTCCTACGGGAGAACATACAACATCAAATAGGTTATGAGGTTAGAATTACGCGTCATCAAACGTTTAACCCAGCGCAAGTTAAAAGCTCTTCACGTCAAAGTCAGTTTGCAGAATATGGCCTTCTTTTTTATAAGTTTATTCCTACACGAACGTGGAGCTAAAAGAGGCGCCGCAAAGGCTGTGCTATGCACGGAAAAGAAGCGATGAACGAGTAAAACCATTTTTTTACAGGCTAGCAAGGCGATCGCCGACTCTATTTACTCGTTGTCGACCTTCTTAAGGTGTCCAGTGATAGACCAGGTAAGTTCAATCAATGGAGATTATATTGTTTGAAAACACACTTACCTTGACGGTGCAGCGAGTGGAAAGCTGATCTAAAGTGAGCGGCGGTAGCTCCACTACCAAGCTTTGAAAATAAAAAATGAAAAAAAAAAAAATAGAAATAAAGAAATGATAAAATTGCTTTACGTAGGACAATCTAAAATTAAACATTTCCACTCAGGACACTTTCAAAATTGTTGTTTCTGGAGGAGCATCAGTGAAGAGGTCAGTAATTAACCAGCCCAAAAACCCACCAAACAAAGCGAGTGAACTGATTATATTTAGGGTGAGTTTAGGGGATGATGGGTTATGAATGGTAGTTTTCAGCAATCACTTGAATCAAGTCGAGATTGACCTGTGCAACGAACGTTTGGGATCAGTAACAAAATCAAATAATCGATATTACCTGGGCTCTAACTCACAGGATGGTCTGTCTGTGCGTACACAATAAGAACATCGTACAAGGCCTGGCTCACCAACGAATTCCGTTAAAGTTTTATGGAACTTCCAAACACGAAATCGAGCATAACTGACGTTCGAACCTCAACGAGAATCTAATCTATGTTCCGAGCAGCAATAAATGTTTCAGATTTCCTATTTCTTTGCATATAAACCTTGACCCATTTAAAACAAAATGCAAAACTTACTCTTGTTTAGGAGAGAGAGAACCTCTGGGTTCACTTCCGTCTGGATTATCACTTTCTGGACTCTTGGCTTTCCTGCTGGCTCTCTTACTGTTTCCGGATTTACACTTTTCCCCTGAAAGAAAATCCAAAGAGAGTAACGAAAAGGAAGAAAAAGATGCAACTGGTTCGTAACTAGAATAAGAGAGATGGTCAGTTTTGAGCTCGGTCAAGAAATAGAGAAAGATGTTTTTTTCGTCTTGTCACCAGCGTGGGACAAAGAAAAATTTTGAGTACCCATAAAAAATCGAACCTCAGACCTTCTAATCTCTATAGGTCTGAGGTTCGATTCCTCATAGGGACTCAGAATTTTTTCTTTGTCCCACGCTGATGACAAGACAACAAATTATCTTTTTCTGGTTCGTAACTGTTTATCTTTTTTGGAGGGTTAGATAAAAAATTGAAATAATCCGCCTAATACAAAGCGCTTTCAATGGTTATAGTTTCTTGAACCACACGACCAAGCGAATCTAATCTCGCTGACCGTGATGATGGTACACAAAAAAACAAAAAAAAAACTACCAAATCTCAGTCAAGCAATATGTTCTTCATTTCGTTAAGTCAGCTTTACCTTTGCCACTGGATATCCTTGCCGACTGTTTCGTTTCGGAGCTTGTTCTGGGTTTTACCTGAACACCAGCCAAGTCGTGAAACTTAAGTTTGAAAAAAAATAACAAATTGTTAGATACTGCAGCCAAAGTAACCACTAACATTTTTAATAGTTCTTTGAACAAACCAAATTTGGTTCGGCTTTATTTTGCTTCCGGCGTTCTATGATTGGTTGAGGAATTCGAGGGAACTGCTTAATCAATCGGAAAACATTACGTCAATTACGTCTAGTCTATGGTCCCCAGGCCTTGAGATTACATATGATGACATAAAAGTTTACAACGAAGTTAGCGGAAAGAGTAACTTTACTTACTTCATCGAGATTTGAAGTTCCAGAAAGGTTTTCAAAATTATAGTCTTCATTCTTGTCCATCAGTCTGGTAAAAATTAACAAATAATTTCATAAACGCAATCTACATCATCTATACATTATCCAACACACAGGTGATGAGAGTACTCAAACTTAACAGGTGGAAGTGGTTATCTAGGTCTAGTACCAAACTCTCGTAACTGATTTGCTAGAAAATTTGGAGCAGCCAGATGAGAGAATTAACAATCAGAACTTAGGAATTTAAAGGTTCATAAAAAGAGTTTGATTTGAATACAACTTCACGGCTGAACGTTATCAAATTAAAATGATTCGTGTTTACCTCTGAGTAGCAGCTCTGTTCGCCAAGGCATGTGAGAACATCGTGTTTAGCGTTCTTTTAAGACTATTTCTTGCCTGTAGTCTTTTATAAACTTCTTCTTGCTTTCGTACCTGTTAAAAACGAGGAAAAATGTATAGGAACTAAACAATATTCTAACTTACAGAGCTTCTTGCTACATGTAATTCACCCTAAGACTTGTTAAAACATCCATGTTTGGCGCTACTGGTCTGCGTTCACCCTATTGGTGCAGTCTGAGATCGGCAAGATGCACGCCCTTGACCAAACGACACGAACTTGTCAAAAAACCGTTGTAAGTTAGCCAGGTTTTAGGAGTATCGTTCTTTTGCAAAATAAAACAAATTCTGAAATAAAGAAATTGTATTTGGCAGTGGTACATTCACCAAGAGGCTCTTTGTCCTGTCGTTCTAGAGGAACTAAAATTAGGACCATTGTTTTGTCAGTATCTGAGCAACTGCGTCCTCCTTTACCTCAACAACAGTCAATTCGATTAAGTTAGGGGTAGGGTATGTGCGCAAACTACTGACACAGTTCCCATTTTTTTCTGTGCCTTAGTAAACAAAAAAAAATTAAATAAAAATTAAGAGGACGAAAACCAACATATGCGGCTAAGTCAATCGAACTCCTACGATGTATAGCTGTAGTGAATTTTACAGCACAACTTTTGTCGGCGGAGTTCGCAACTAAAATTAAGACGGACAAATGAATAGAAGGAGTAAACTTTTAAAGAAACTGTGGTGATAAACTGAACTGTGTCATTCTGTACCTCTTCGGGGTCCGGTTCTGGCTCACCAAACTCCAATCTGTAGGCTGCCAATGGAGGGAACTCAACCTGGAGAGGGAGTCGAAGATACACATGTTGAACATACGACAATATTCATGGCGGATTTTCCGTCGGTACTGTTTTAACTCGTGCATGAAATATTTAGGCGCACTAATAATTCTTTTGAGTATGAAAAGGAAAATCAAATGTTCAAGAAACACGACTGGAAAAAAGCAAAGATTATACAATTGTATTTTCCAACCCAAATTTTACGCTGGTTTTCTCGCGGATCTGATAAAACTAGCGTAAATGTTCCAATAGGCATATACAGCTGGAAATTACTGAGCATGCTTACGGCCAATACAACAGGCAGTCCATACATGAAACATAACAAGGTAATTTGGTTATGTACATTAACTGAGTTGATCACGGAAATTAGACACCGTCCAGAGTTTCTAAAACTGACGTTTCGAGCGTCAACACCTTCGTACATTTATCAATTCGATCGATAGATTATCTTATTACTAGTCTTGGTATAAGAAACTATGGCTAGGGGGGGAAGTAGGGAGGCTAGGGAGAAGAGGTCTTTTTCTCTACCAAAAGTCATGTTCTTGCATATACATAATGTGTTTTCCCATCACTTAATCTGCCCTTTCCTCCCTTTGCATGGTATGTACCACTCTCTCTGTTGACAGTTCATAAAAAAACTTACTTTATATCTACCTGAAAAGCAATCACTCCCTTCAACTTACCTTGGGGAATTTTTGTTCAATTGGTATTATTGTTGGGGTTGGAGTCTTCTTTGCTTTCTGTTTACCACTGGAAACATGTGCACTTGACTTCCTGCTTCCTCTCGTAACACCTGAGCAGGGAGTGGAGGGCTTGAAGTATAACGTTAGAAGAAAGTTATTCAATACAACAATTGGAAAAAGGAGCTCTTTGGCAATGTACAGTGTAACTGACTAGTTCTGTTTTGTTAGTACACAAGTTTGAAAATTACAGTTAGTTGAGAAACTGAGACTGAAAACTGTGCGTAAGATAATTCACTAATGGCACTTACAGTAAGTATTGTACGAATTCCATGAGTAGTACTCCTCCAAGTCGAGACAGCAGTTGCACCTTTAAATTTTTTCTTGCTTGTCCTTCTTTGCCTGTTGAGATGATGCACTTTCTTCATCTTGAGTCAGCAATGCTTTTTTGTTGTGTTCTTTGTGGTAGTTTCTTATCCTTTCCCACGAAAGTTGACCTGCAAAATGATGTATACTTAAAATCAAATGATCATTTGAACACTAAAACATGTCAGGCTGTAGTATGGTTTTTATGCTCAAAACAATTTAATTCTAAATTACAGATTTAACCTTTTACAGACCCTACGATCAGTATATTCTCCCTACTGTTCTCTATACATTTCCTCAAGTGCTGAAAAGGAGAATTTGTTTCACAATCAAGATCTTGTTAATTTGGTGATCATTTTCTTCATTCTCGTGACCTTAATGGGTGATTCAGGGGTGATGAAGAAAGCAGAAATTAGATGTTGGTTGCTCTTGGGGGTCAAAGGTTTAAGGTACATTTTATAGAATTCAAATTTCTTTATATACAGTAATGTGTAACAGTGGCATCTTAGAAATGCCTAGAAACTAAATAAGATTAATCACATTCATATGTGAGAACTTCATATCAAACATTTACCATCTTCAAGGACTTCTTCTAAATTTTCTGGCACAATGATAAAGTCCCAGAATTCTTTGATTTCATGGTTCTTGTTTAGCAATCCTTCCTTCTTCATTTGGTTTTCAAGACTGATCATCTGGAGAAAAACAAAAAACCAAAAGCATGAAGAGTTTTGAAAAATAGACTGACGTCTGTTACTCTCTGAGCTTATGCCCACTCTATCACTTCGATGTATGTGTAGTGTTTTCTAGATTTACTTACTTTGTAAAAGTCTGTTTGTAAACCCTTATTGAACTGGACATCATTGATGACAATGGATCTTGGAAGCTTACGAACAATTTTATGCTGCATTTCTTCCTGTGGATAGAATTTGAATGCAGTTGAATTATACATACATATACTATTTTTCATGGAATTCCACAGTATCATAAACAATCTGGGTGGTAATGTAAAGTTAACATCATATAGAATTTGAACCAAGTGTAGTTAATCTTACATACATGTACAGCTGTACCTGTTGATGTTCTGCAGCTTTTATTTCTTCGTCATGTTTAAGCTTCCTTTGTTGTTGGCTTTTTCTTTGCTGATCCACTTTATCCTGCAATGCTTTTTTGTATTCTGCTTTGTAATAGTCACGTAATAACAGAAGACCTTGTACTAATTCATCATGCTCCTAAAAATGTAAAGACAACTGTAATCACCACATATGCACATTTCTTGAAAGTCCCAATAACTTTATGAGCCAATACACAGTAATGTGATATAAATTAATGGAATTATTTTAATATTAATTATTTTAATTATTTTATTTTTAATTATTTTAATTAATTAAAATTACAATATCAACTAATACAGTCAATGGCAGTTTATTTCAAGCAATTACCTTTTCTTTCATCTTTCTGATATTTTCCTGCTCCTCCTCGTCCACCTCTTCTTCCTCTTCATCCTGTACTGTTGTCATACTCTGTTGAAGTTTTTGATTAGGTCCCTGAAGAATCATTCCATGGTGAGATGGCAGTTTCTTGAGCTTACTGGCTTTCCTTTTAATCTTCTTCTCTTCTTTCACCTTTAAATTACAATTTCCAAATGAGTGAAAATAACATTAACAGGTGACAATCCCTCTGCACGCCTCATAGCACACTCCTGCCAAAATTGAACACTCCTGGTTTTCAAAGACTGTATTTCCTTGAATAAGAGCCCATGCTCAAATAGGCACCATTCTTCTTTTACATTTTTAGATCCTGCATGTAAAATTTTTGTCAATAAATGACATAACTATATTTATTTCAGGGCCCAAAAGAAAAGAAAGAGATTTAATGCTTTAGTACATGTACCTCATCAATCTCTTCATCTTGTTCTGGTTCCCTATATTTTTCAGCATGAATTGACATTTGTCGATCCAGATGTTTTGATAAATCATCACTTGACATGTAGTCCACTATCATTGGTGGAAATGTAGACTGTAGATGTTTCCTTAAAAAGATTATCAAATAAAAAAGTTGCTAAATACATCTTTATACTGTAAATATACCAAAGAAATGTTGCAAAAATTATCAGTGGATTAGCTGAGAAACATCACCTATTTAACAAGCTATTCAACTGAGCCATTTAAGGACAGACCTCTTGGCTCAGTTGGGTGATTTTTTCATTCTGATTTAAACAAAGAATGTTACAAACTCAGGTTAATCCTGTGACCCCTAAGAGTGATTGGTAGCTAATTTCTCCTTACAGTATAACTGCTGAAAAAACATTTAGGTCATTAGAATAAAAGAAATGATTGCCAACTAGTGAAGCTCTTGACAAGGGAACAGATTCTCCCTTTCAGCAACACTGGAAATGTGAAAATAATAGTATGGAGAACATGCATACTGATGTTAGGGTAAAAGGGTTAACATGCTGGAATATCAGCTGAGTTGTCCTAATGGAAAAAGTAAGACTTCATGAACTTTCATCTTGATAATTATCAAGAAAGAATGTTCTGATTTGGATTTCTTGCCCCCTAACTGGGACTTAAAACCTATCACCTCGAATGAGGACATCAAAACTTTTTATGTTCGAGAAAAAGGTTGGCTGGGAAATGTATCCGAAGTTATCAAAAAGCCTTGTTAAGTAATGGTTTCAACCCTGTGGTAACATTTTGTCGCGTAACCTGATCGTTCGGTTGAGAGTGGCCGTGAGGTAAGGACGACTGTTGTCGGTAGAAGTGACTGACGTTTCGACAACCTTGGCGGAGATCATCATCAAAGTCGATGATGATTCCACTCAGGTTACCAAAATGTCATTCACGAAGTTGGACAACAGTTCTTCTCAGGACCACTCTCACCCGGACGACCATCAGTAATTAAAGCCCTTGGACAGAATGACAAATCAATGCAATTTCTAAGTGTTTTCTACACTCGCCGTTAATTAATGACATTGAATTATTAATTTTTCTTACCTGGTTGGGTTTCTGGATAACGTTTGAGTCTTGTTACTGTCCATGGTTTTATTATTACAGTAGAAATCTTCTTTCAACAAACTTCGGGATAGATTTGAACTACTCGGTTTCTTCACGATGTCCTAAAAACTGAGTCGTGATTGTTTGCTGAACACATTTTTTGTTGAAAATAATATTCATTCGATTTCTCAATCGTTCAGAATATCGAAGTAAGATCAGCTAGGAAATGTGCAGTTCACTGTTGATTTGCCTCCATGTTGTTTATAGGAACCAGGTGAGTTTCTAAGAACGATTAATAAACTAACAATACCTCTGATTGGTCAAAATGTGGAATCACCTGAAAATGACCAATCAGAGGAGGTTTCATGTTGTTAACAAAGAGCCCGCGAGACTTAGGTACCTTGCTACGTGTCTATTCAAAATGGCGGCTAGTTTGTAATAGTAAATACTTTCGCATTTTTGGCTTTTTTGCCAAAATCTGTCGTAATGTTTTCAGTGTAGTTACGATGGTGCACGAACAAGCCATCGATAATGGAATGCACACCAAAATGTCGCCTTACCAAGCACGCCGATCTGGTGCTATCCGCGATTACCAAGGAAGATGCTGCATCGATTCGAGCGATCTTGCCCCGAATCTGCTCGAACTTTGCGCGCGTTTCGGATCAGTTTGGTCGAAATGCCTTGCATTTGGCAGCATCTTGCGGCAAAGGCGACATTTTGGAATGGCTGGTGAAAGATCAAGCTCTTGATGTGGGATCGAAAGATCTGGAGTCTGGCTGGACTGCCCTGCACAGAAGCTTGTTTTATGGATATCTTGACTCAGCTGTGAAGTTGATTCAGGTACACACTTGTAACTCTGTAATATGATTCATGTTAGTGTGAAACCGATGTATGCGTACTCTGTAGACTGAAATACGATCTAATGTAACGTTAAATTACAAGTGCATGTACCTGCAAGTAAACCATAACGAAACCAATGCAAATGTAACCAGAAGTGTTAACCACATAAACAATCGATGGAGGGTTGAAAACTCAACTTTTTTTTCTTCTTCTTTCATATTTTCAATCATCATCCTGATTGTTCATTGTAAAGCTTGGCTCAGATCTGGGTTGGTATGACAGAGAAGGCCTCACTCCATACGATCTCATTCGCTTGGATGCACCATTCCAAATCGCAAAAGGAGGTGGGTGTTTTTTATTATTATGATTATTATTATTATTATTATTATTATTATTGGAAGTTTAAAAATAAACCAAAAATAAGAGATAAGGCAAAATGCTATGTGAATCTCTGGAGGTTCTTGGTTATAAGTTAAAAGTATATTACACATTGGCAACATTACAGTGGAATCTGGATTGAATGGTTGGGTTTAAGCCCTTTTGAGCCCAGGTCATTGTGTTGTGTCTTTGGCCAGAGACTTTACTCTTTCAATGCCACTCTCCACTCAGGAGTGCAAGTACATGTAGGTACTGTGGTACTTTTTAACTATCTGGGCGACTTGATGAAATGGTGAGAGTCAGAGTAACCTACAATAGACTTGCATCCCAGCCAGGGAAAGTAACAATGTTTACTCCTAGTTGCTACATGTCATGGGAAGCGAAACAGTCCAGTGGCACGGGCAACTTAGCTCAAAAGCTGTCTCAAAACTGTGCCTTTACCTTTTACACTTAACAATACTGACTGTTACATTTTGTAGTACATGTAAGTAGCAACATACATCTGGAATCATGTGCTGCATGGCCATTCCTCTTTTACTTTGGAGATAGATATAGAGTACAATTTCTCTTATCCCTTTAACTCCCAGATCAAGTTTTTAATTCTCCTTACTGTAAATCATACAATTCTTATAATATTAGTTCAGAGAACTTAGTATTGAATCAACTAATTATTCCCAGGTTAATATTTTTCTTTATTCAAATCTCTTGTCTGGTTGATATTGCATTGATATTGTAAGGAGAAATTCTGTCTTGGTCACTCATGAGAGTGAAAGGGTTAAGTCACTGAACTCACTGTGTGTTTTTACCAACACTATATAGTCCAAGCTCAAGCTGTGTCACCTTACGAAACCTCTTTGGAAGATGAACTTCAGTTACAAGTTGGCGATATCATAAAAGACATTCACATGAATGATGGAAGTTACTGGACTGGTTATTTGAAGGGGAGGCGAGGGCATTTTCCAAAAGATCATGTTGAGCTTTTGTCTGAAGGTAAATATTATACCCTGATTTCAAAATATCCTGATAGGGCTTGAAGGTTAAAATTATTCCTGGCCAACTTACAGTATGATTACTATTAAATTATTTTTGTTTTTCAACAAGCCTATCAATTGGAACTATTCACCTGGGGATCCAACACAAACTTCACTCTTGGTCACAGAGATGAAAGCACAAGACACACACCTGAACTGGTTGAAAATGTCCAAGGAGAGACAAAAATTTCTTTCAGAGAGGTACAGACAGTCTGTGGTATGGTTATTCAAAACTGGCTCAAACATTGTTGACATTTCTGGCATGAGCATTTTAAATAAATTGTTTTACTGTGCATTGGTGAATAAAGAATTTTTTTGGTTTATGTAGCCAGTTTCATCAAATTTTGTTTACGTATTCTTTAGGTTGTCATGTGCAAGTTTCATTCTGTGTTCTTGAGCATGGATGGTAGGGTTTTCACCTGTGGTCATGGCAGAGGAGGTCGGCTGGGGCATGGTAATGAAGAGACACATCTAGTAAGTTCTGCATGATTCATAAACTTTTAAGTTTGTCATAGAATGGAACAGAGGTGGGCAAGCCTAGTGGTTTATGTTGGTTTACTAGCTGCATGATCAAAAAGTCTATGACAGTCTTGGCTATGTCTTTGTATTATGTTTGTAAACAAGTTGCATACAGTTTGTAACTCTTGGATTGCATTAGTCTCCACTCAGGAGACTATAAATGGACTTTGTTGAACTGTCACGGAAACTGGTGAAATTATGAGGGGTAATCTTGCATTGGAATTGGGTAAATCCCATCTTGGGCATAGTTGCTGTATTCCTAGTACCTTGAGGGTACTGCAATCAGAATAAACTTCAACAGGATAAGTTGACTTTTGCAAGCTTTAACTTTGCTTTAACTTTGCATCTGAATTCAATTCCCTTAACTACTTGATTGTACAGCCCAATGAATCTGCAATTAACCTTGCTTTCAGACTCTTCATTTAGGAATATTGTTTGTTACTGCATTATGTTACTTCATTCCAAATGAAGGAAGAACAGTTTACAAGGCTTAGCTTATTTTCAATTTACATTATTTATTTGTTAATTTGTAGGTGGTAAAAGAGGTGAAAGCTTTACAGGGAATCAATTGTGTGTCAATTGCTGCTGGCCAGGATCATACAGTGGTGGTCACAGATGAGTAAGTGGGGAATAAGATTACCAACAAAAGTTTTATAAAATTTTTATTTGATAAAAAGCAATTAACAAACAGTAGTCACTAGACAATAATTAGTGATGGGCACAACACTTTACTCACAGGTATGTCACTGAAACATTATTAAGCTTGAAAATTGTGGTAATTGACAGATTTACCAAGTAAAACTTTTCTTCTCTTGTCAGTGGCTCAGTTTACACGTTTGGTCTAAATGATTCTCATCAGCTTGGACATGGACAGTCACCTTTGCCAAAACAGTGCCTTTTACCAAAAATGGTGATTATAGTCTTGTGATTATTTACTCACTATTTGTAAACTTTGAAGATTTAACATACATTTGTATCATCTATGAACCCCTTTGACCCCAAAGAGTGACTAAAATCTAATTTCTCCTTACAATATCACCCCCAAATCACACATTAGGATCACAAGTTAGAATAATGGAAATGATCACCAATTGATTATCAAAGCTATTGTTTATGAATTGTGTTCAACTGAACATTGGATGCTACACCTGATTCAACCTAAAAACTGAAGGTTTGAATTGTGTTCAACTGAACAGGTACACCTGAAGGTTTGGAGAGGCAAAGATGTTGTAGGGGCTGCAGCAGGACGATATCACTCAGTTTTCTTTACTAGACATGAAGTTTACTCCTGTGGCCTTAATGCTGGCCAGCTGGGTAGGAATTCTTTACTTTCTAGATCAATAAAATCATTATTACACTTTAGCAGGGAAATTGGAGGAAAAAATGGGAAAAGTACTGTAACTGTGCATAAATGCAATGAACTGAGGCATGTTAGGTTTTAATTTTTGTATCTTACTAGTTTAAAAGGTGGTGAAAGTTTTCCAGATTTAAGTCATAGAGTGAAGTGAAGCAAAACCGACTGAGAGTGCAATCCTGGAATATTTTCAACACTCAATTGAAAATTGCTTGAATGTAACACTGCTAATATCTATATTACTTGTTTTTGCAGGCCATCAGAAAGGAGAAAAGTACCAAACTCTCCCTCGTCAGGTAATAAACTTAAGGTGTTCTTTGTCTTTTAAATATGTTGTATTTTAGTAATAACTCTTGTTTGTTCAATGCATACAAAGCACAGCAATTTGTAAAAATGTATTTATTTTACTGTGTCCTCTATAAATTCCTGCATCAATTTTGATAAAGAACTTGATAGCTTATTCATGAGTTTGTGCAGTGGTTCAATGTTCAGAAAATGCCAAACTGATTGAGGCCAGAGAGTGAGCCAGCTTTCTTCCTCCTACATAACTAGATTAAAATATTCCAATTGAGTGCATTATGCTTGAGCTCCTTCATTCCAGAGATAAAAACATTTTTAGTTTCTTATTATTATTATTTTAGGTTAGTGGATTGGCAGATAAAGGCGTCACCATCAATAAAGTGACCTGTAGTGATGGAGCCACAGTGTGTGCAACGGACAAGGGAGATATCTTCTTGCTAAACCAGTACATGTGTCGCAAGATTATTTCTAGGTAAGAAATACCTAGTACTGCAACAAAATTGTATGACACTTAACTCAAAAAAAGTAGAACGGTGCAATTTTTTTATTATTTTCTTCATTTTACCTTAAGGTTCACTGACTTGGTTCATATATCTGTGATTGGAGGGGAGCTTGATATGATATCTCCTCAAGAAGTCAGTAAGAAGTTTGCCGATGAACTTGCTGTGACATTGCTGAACTCTAGAGGGAGGGTAGGTTACAATCAAAAACTATTTTTTGGTGTTCAAAGTCATTATTTGCAAAGAACTTAGTACAATTTAGCTCACAAATTTCTAATTTCTTAGGATATGTGCATATCATTAATAGTTATTTTTGATTGATTTGATGATTTTTTACCAAGGAAAACTCAACAGATTGCTTTGAAGTTAAATTGTTAGCATCATTTTCTCTGATACTCTTTTTAGTTCAGCTTTAACGTAATGCTTGTCTACAGGTGTTCCAGTGGAAGCCTAAGTTTGCAGGCAGTTGCTTGAAAGAATGTTCTTGGCATCATAACCGACAAATCACAGGTTTGTTTTCAGTTTACCCTCCATAATTAAGAGTTTCTTTAATCTATAGAATGAACATGCTTGTGCAGTTATTAATTAGTCAGTGTTTCACACAGAGTTTAATTTTTTGATGATCATCAAGTATTAATTTTTTATGGAATGATTAGTAAATAACTGTTACAGTATAATAATACCACATGTGTGAGTAGTGCTTTTGATGTGATCAAACTGTAGTTCAGAAGTTATTAGCAAACACTGTTCACCTTTGGGCAGAAGAAGAGACAAAATTATGCATCAAGAGCTTATTAATTATTTTGAACCTTTTTTCGGAGTATTGACAGAATATACTTTTTTTTTTTTAATTTGGTTTCTGTGTGATACAATGTGTATACTAAAACAAGTATTTACCAAAGTGGTGGAATGATTTACCTCCCCACTTTGAAGTAAGTATATAATATCCACCACTATTCAACCTCACTTTAGTGAATTATTGTTAATTATAAATAGCAGAATTAATTCAAGTGCCACTTAGCTGAAAGATGTTCTGTCAGTAGTAGATTAAACCCTTTTGGGAAGAAGTCTTAAACTTTCCAATTTATCAGGACTACATTTATACACACATGTGCCTATGTTTATTTGCATATTATGTGCATTTTTAGGTTAATAAATTTTCGAGCAGCATTGTACAGTAATTAACATGTTGGTGGTATGTGTTAATCTTCTAGCATCTCAAGTTGTTCATCATATTTATTTCTTTTCTTAGTTAGGGATTTTGCAATTGGCAAACAGATTTTTATTGTGTCTGGTAAGTTAACAGTTGGTCAGATTTTATCTTCCTCTCATTTAATTCACTGTTTTTCAGTTTTCCCTTTTCACCATTTGTATAATTTTTCTGAAGGATTCTGACTTATTAAAAGCCTTAAGTAAATAACTTGTAGTAAACTGTTACAATTATTATCATAAATTTGTAGCATAAAATTTTCAGCTTGTTTGTTTTCAATTACAGATGATGGTGAAGCTTTTATCTGCCAACCTAGTGGAGCCAAACCCATTCCATCAAAAACCAACACTCACAAAATGTACTGCTCTCCTCCAAATTCCTTCGAAGGCAGTGCTGGAAGTACATTTGCACAATCGCCCCCATTGTCCTCCCCTTCACCAACATGATTTTGAAAGAAAAAGATGAAGCACTTTCACAATCGTTCCCCAGCACCACTCCCTTGAGTTGTTTAGCCAAAGAAAAAGCAAAGAAAGATACCTTTGTGGAATACAACCTTGAGAGGATTCCATTGATTCATCGTGGACAGCAGATCTTCACAGACAGCAAGTCTAGGGGGTGTGCTGTGCTTCAAGTTTCTTCAAGGGAGGGGTAGGTATAGCACAATATTGTCCAGGGAGAGATGGGTTTGAAGTAAGGATCTTAGAGATCAAATTAATCTGTATGTCCAGGATACTGGGATCTTGCTGGTTCTGTGTCAACTGTTTCACAAACTGAAGGGGATTTAAAATAGGTAACAAGCACTGCATTGTTCTACGCAATACCTATTGGGTTTAAAGTCAAGTTGATCCCAAGGCCTTGGGGAGGCAGTAAAGGAAGGGTTGCTTGACAAGCAAATCTGCTTGATTTACATGACTACAGAAGAACCTTTCCTGCAGAAATCTTAGCCTGTTTGCCCTGCCAAAAAATGGCAATAATTGTGTGGTCTTATTTAATTTAGGAATGCTCATTAAGCAAAGGATAATCATTTTTCTGAAACCCTTGCAGGAATACTTGAAATCAGAGTGATAACCATCTACACAAAGTGCTTTATTATATTTCAATTACATTAAAAACCATTTTAATTCTATATTATCGTTGACAGATTGCAGAAACTACCTGAAGTGAGTCCAGAGCAAATTTCTGAACAGATGATTCAACTTCTTGAAGAAGCAACTTGTGAAGATGATATTCATGATGTTGAATTTATGGTAAATCTTTTGTCTCTACCTAAAAGTACGAGTAAATTTTGTATCACTGATTATTCAGTGAATGATTTTAAAAGTTGATCTTTAGGATTAGGGTCATTCTGAAAGGACTGTTTGAAAGAATATTGAGCCAAGGGCTAAAAGAGGCTATTTTGTGTTTATTATCCTTCAAATATTTTTGCAATGATTTTTTTTGTTGTTGTTGCAAAAGAGGTTTATCAACAGCTTACTGTTTGCTGCATTTGATGTTTACTTTTTGTTGTTCTCTGGTATGACTTTAATTTATGAACAAACAAAAATGTCCCTTCTTTTGTAACGATTAGCTATCTCATCTTGAATTGAATTTTAAAGGAATACTTATCTTAGACAATGGTAGGTGTAAAAACTTGAGAATTTCACTTGAGGTACATGTGGTGAGTTATTCCCCAGATTTTAGCCCGGGTTTATTCAGTCACCTGATACATTTAGACCAATTGCACACAATCAAAACTATTTGATGAACTATAAGAAATTAAGTTAGTTCATTTGCTATCCAAACATTAGGTAAAAGAACAAAGAATCCCAGTGCATGGCTTTGTTTTAGCATCACAAAGTGTCAAGTGCCACCAGCTGTTATGTGAAAACAAAGAAGACCACTCACAAGTAAGCAACAAAAGGACACAATCCATAGCACTTCATGAAAGTGTCACCTATGGTGAGGTTGTCGGCTGGCTAAAAAGACTCTATGGTGGATTTGATATTGGTGACGAAGGAATATTTCCACTTGATGTCTCCGTGACAAAAGGCAAAAACGGTTTCAGTGGTATTTCCAAGACCATGCTTGGAGAAAAAGTTTCAGGGAAAATGGCAAAGAAAGAGGCAAAAGGCAAGAGAAGTGAAGTGGAAAAAGATGGTGGAAAGAGCTTGATCGACAACAATTTGTTGTCAGATTTGACTTTCCTTTCAACTAGAGACTTAGATGATTTTTCTGCACCTACTGTTGATTTGGATGATATGTTATTCAATTCTGGTGAACTTTTGGAAGGAAGTGTTCAGGATTCTGATGCAGCTGGAGAGACACAAGGGAAGACCTTTCAACCACAGAAATCAATCACCACAAGGTAAATTTGCGTCATTTTATACACGTCATACACACCCCTTGATTTTTTAGTTCGCTTAAATTTCAATTTCACAATTTGATATTTGGTTTCTATTTATTTAGGATAGGAATCAAGGGCGATCTTTCCAGATCTTGCAACAGATTGCTGATGTTCTCAAGACTAAATTGGTATGAGAAGCAAATGACCTAGAGTTACAACGTACGTTGTGTGCAAGTTTTGTTTTGATAGAACCAGTTGCCCTTTAGATGTGGTACGAATTATTGGTGGCATACTGTATTTACTTTTGAGACCTGCGTTGTATTGTACACATTCAGTAGATATCACTCATCAAGTGAGTTTGGTTGTTTATATGAAACAGTTTTGGTTGTTTCGTCTTCTATCTGTCTCAATGATTTTTTTCGTCTCATTACTAGCCCAGAGCTTTATGATGTTACACTTTTGTCGGAAGAAGGAACAGAACTTAGGTGTCACAAGTGTATACTCGTTGCTCGGCTTGGTACGTACGAGAACCTTACAATATTTAACACATTTTTGTTTTTCTATCTTCGTTGAACAGTTTGCGTTAACCATTTGCGTAGGAAGCAAGAGGATCTTAGTGGGGTTAGCCGTAAATTGGCCAAAATTTTGAACGTTAGCTGTAAAAGCCATCACCCCATTGAGACCCTTAGGCAATGTTCAATATGAATATTCAGGCCTGTGGATCTTTATCAAAAATCCTGGTTGGGTCACTGTTGTGTTCTTTGGCAAAGCATTGTTTGAAGATGGAGTGTTCTTTGGATTAACGACACCAAGCATACTCTGAACTGCAAATCCGTTTTCAGTGAACTCTAGATGAAACGTTTGTCTGTTTGTTTGTTTTTCGTTTTTGCTTCAGAGAGAAGAATGTATTTAAGTTCCATCTGTGTACAGCCTCCTGCAGCTAATACATGAGGGATTGTTCTGTGTAATAATAACCACGGTTTGCCATCCCTTATTTTGTTTCAGAGTACTTTCGCAGCATGTTGACATCGAGCTGGCGGGAGGTAGATACAACTTGATATTTTGCTTTATTTTGTTTTTGACGTTTTTTTTTGTTTTGGTGGTGGTGGTTTTTTCAGCTTTTTTAGACCTTAAATTACTTCTTAACCCGTTCACCTGCAGTCCAGTGGACAATCCAGAACCCTCCGGATGCCTTTCCCAGCGTTAATTCTGGAGATTGTATTGGATTTCCTGTACTCAGAGCAGGCGGGAAGATTAACAGGTATTGATACTCTACTCTACAATAAGATTTCATCTGTCACTCATGGGTTGGCAGCTTTAAGAGGACTCGCTCAGGAAGAAGCAATCTGGGAGTGGTAAAAAACTAAATATACTTTCAGAAAGTACAATCGTGCATGCAGATGAATTATTTAGGGCTGCCTCGGGTAAGAGCATGTGGAACAGTTGTTCACAACGCATTTTAATTGGTCCTGGAAAAATTCGTGCACATTTTAAGCCAATCAGATAACTTGAAACCAATCATCACTTGGATATTCATGTTTTCCCGCTCTTTTTAGCTGTCAGCATCTGGTTTGTTTGAATTCTCGTTAAACCCTGTTGTATTTCGCTCTGCTGTATGAATACTTTGGTTATGTTTTTATAAAACTCAACCAAAAATATCACTTTATATCTTTTGTGTAGAAATTATAGATCTGGAGTTATTGGGTAACATTCTCATTGTAGCGGATCAGGTATGGTAAACCTTAAACTTTTAGGATCGTTCAGAAAGTTTCAGTCCTTGTCTTGGCAAACCAAGTTGTAATTTTTTCTTCTTAAATAATTGTTTGTTTAGTCGGTATCAGAACGTGACTGGTTGAATGCAGTAATGTTATATCGACATTTCATTATTCAGTTGCTGATTTGGCGTTTAAGAGAGATGTGTGAGGCTGTCATAACAAATCTTGGTGAGAATTTTGTACTTACTTTCTCGTTTCGATAAATCGTTTTAAAATGCACGTTGCGAGCTTTTTGAAATACTCAAGAGAAATTCTATTGGTATTAACTAATATTGCTATTTGTGCGCGCTAATTGGCTTCCTGAAATTTGATTGATCTAGTGCCTTTCACGTCCTTTTTGGTGTATAGCAGTCGATTAACTTGGATTTATTTCCTCTTTCAGTGACTTTAAGGAACGTTTCTGAAGTGTTGGAATTTTCAATTCTCTATAACGCCAATCAGCTACGAGATGTTTGCTCAGAGTACATTTGCAGTAATTTGGGAAGTTTGATGGAATCCAGGTTGGTATTTCGCAGAATTTGCTGTATCTCGTTCAAGGTGGCTTTTTCGCGTTGTTTTTACGGCTTTTACCGTAGTGGTTAATTGTAGAGTAGGTCCGGTTTCTGCTTCACTTGATCTTTTTCGCAGCTCATCAGAAAGATGTTTTGCTATTATAGTAGAAGTTCGCAGCTACCTTTTACCCTTTACATCCCAACATCAGCGTGCTTATTCTCCTTACTGTTCCCTTTACATCTCCTATGATAACGACAAGGAGAATTTGTCTATTTACGGAGAGCTTCAGTTAGAGATCATTTTGTTTACTCTTGTGGCCTTAATTTATTATTCAGTAATGATCCTGTATAGAAAAATTAGATGCTAGTCACTCCTGGGGATAAATAGGTTTAGGAAAACAACTAGTTTTCTATCCGACCGTCTGACTGATTGACACTGCAGGGGCAAACAGACAGACAGACAGACTGGCCCATAGACTTATAAAAAGGAAGACAGAGAGACTGACGGACGGAAGGATGGCAAAAATGTTTGTCGTCATTCTTGCCCCAACTAACAATATACATCTAGGACATACTACGAGGTCTAAATGTAGATTGTAATACCAGTTGATATTCTGATCCCCAGAGCTCTGGATTGTCTCAGTGATGAAGCACTTGTGGAAATCACTAAAACTTATCGCAGTATGGTAGGACCACTTTTTTGAATTTGCATCGAAATTGTGTAATTTCGTTATTTTCTTTAAATATCTCGTAAAGCTGAGGAATCAAATAGCACAAGGTATGAACCATGTTAAATGATCGTACGCTCCAATGAAGCGCTTACAGCTGTGTAGAAGATCTCTAATTGGCTGAGGAGAAAGTTCTGTCTTTGAATTGCCATTTGCAAACTTGTGGGTAAGGACAAGGATACGGTAAAAAGGAAAAAAAACACCCACGCACCTGTAGCATACAGGAGATTACAGAGCTACCAGTGTTGTTGTTTAGTCTTTCAATGTGACTGAGTAGACCAAAGCAGCACAATATGGAATAATTTCAACTTGCCTATAGAAACTAACCAAACTTCTTATGTTTCAGGTTCCAAGAATGGCGTGGCGCATGATAACACCTCTAGACCTTCACTGTTCCATTCTTCTTGATACGGGCTCTGAGCCAACATGTAGTCCTGGAAAGCGAAGGAGAAGCAGTGGACGCAAGAAGTCATCGAAGAGTGAAAGCGAACAAGATGCGGTTGTTAACTCTGAGACTGCACAAGAAGGAAGCGAAGCTGAGAATGGTTAGCCTTGGAGTTGGTTTAATTGTAGTCTTGAATAAGATCCAGACAGAATCATGATATAGCTTTAGCTTCATTATGAATTTGTTCACGTAAATCAGGAAATGCTTTGAACCAAGGGGTAACTTGAAGTCCAGTCGTCGGATTTCGCAAATGCGATACCTGCTATGGGGAATTTTTTTACGGTTGTCTGTGAGTTAATCCAGTTGAGTGAGGAGGAAATGCTATGGAGTGCAGTTACTCAGCTAAAGACACCTAACCATGGGAAGGGTGGGGCTCAGGCTGGGGTAACAAACTCACCTTATCAGGGGTAGGATGGGACTTAGGCTGGGATAACAAGTTAGTGTAACAGGCTCTCCCACTCTCTCAGAGAAAATATTTTGCGCAGTTTACAGAGTAAATGTCCAGGAATTGGAGGAAGTGTTCGAGCATCAAAATGGTGGCGAATGCAAGACTGATACAGAAGGTAAAATTGGCGAGGGTGATGCATGTTTGAAACAACCGAAAACAGATGAAGAGGAAACATCATTGAAGGGAGAGGTACTAAACTGCCTTTTTTCCGAGATATCCCTAGCCCATGTCTTAAGACGAGAGTAGTTGTGAAACCTTTTATATGAAAACGAGTTTTTCTTATCGCCTATACACCTGTAAGTGACAGCAACTATAGCATATTGATCGATTTTATGGAAGCGTGAAGAGGAAACCGTTACTGTCGTTACGGAGGAGGAAATATGTACTGCTGTACTAGTACAATACTTTTTTTCCAATGCACTTCCTTCAAATAACTCACCGTCTAGTGTTGATTATTTTACTAAGCCGGTGGATGTTGGAATGTGGTATCGTAAACTCTCACCGGATGCTACCAAGACGCCAAAGAAGAAATGCCGTGACAGAAGGAAACCTGGTGGAAAATCCGTAGAGGATTCAAGTGGTAAACTTGCGTCACAGAAGGAGGATGCTACCACGCAGAAGGTGAGAATTAAGAGCTTGTGAGTTTACAAGGAACAGATTGCGAACATTTGTATTGTCAATTTAGTCGGGTAGACACAAGAGCTTATTTAATAGTACTGTATGATGACAAAATGGTAATCTTTAAAATTTTTATTACTTCTTCCCGTAGGCTCCATCACCAGAGAAACCAGCATGGAGTAATCAGAGGTACAGTTGGTTCAAATTTCTGTGTTACCTTGGTTTTTTTTTCGTTACTGACAACACCGTGAGCAGTTAAGTCACGAATGGAAACTTTTTTTTATTGAATTCCAACATAGGATGGCAACATAGGCCACGTGTCAATTGGATGTCGACTCCTCAAAAGTTGCATGAGGTCCGAGTTTTAAGTGTTAAAGCAATTAGATATTATATAGAGTTGTCCGGGGTTTTTCACAATGTTGCACAGAAGTAATGAAATAACTGTTTACATGGCGTTTTTTATCTCATTGAACATAACTAGCACATCCAGTCCCCCCGCAACCAGCCTCAAGGATATCATGGAACAGGAACAGAATAAAGAATCTCCTGATATTCGTACTACGAGTGAGGTAGGCACGTCGTGATTTCCTAATTATGCTTTAACAGCTTTACAGATTTTCCCTCCCTCTCTCTTTTCTTTCATCGATCATTATCATTATTAACCCTCAACCCTAAGAGTGACAGCAGCTAATATCTCCCTACAGTATTACTGCTGAAACAGACATAATGTCATGAGAATAACAGAATGATCGCCAACTGAAGAAACTCTTGACTGTTTAACAAATTATCCTTTTTAGTACTAAAGGAAATTTATGCAATTAATATTGCACTCTGCAATTAATATTGAATCTAAATTGTGAAGCAAAGGGGGTCGTTCTTCGAACGTCATGACCACGTAAACCAAAGTCTTCATTTGGTGACACTGATAATCAAAATACCGAATGATAACTTTTGTTCTATCGCACTTTGAAATACCTGTCGCACTTCGCAAAAGTGTGATGGTCTGTTTTTACAAAGAGAGACAGCATTTTTTATCACAAAGTGCGATAAGAGGTATTACAAAGCGCGACAATTTTATTTCAAAGTACGACAGGTATTGCAAAGTTTTTCTTGGGGAAAATATTTTAAATTTGCTAGTAAAGTCAGTTTTTTTACAATTTTTTTGCTGATAGGTACTGATATCACCTTCAAAAGGAAAAAGGTACGGAGTGTGATTAACCTATAACAATCAAATGAAAATAAATCTTGTTTTTACCTGCGTAAAATGTGCAGGCTAAGACCTGCTCCTTACAGGTGAGCTGAAATTGAAGAAATTTCAGAAAATAAGCCTGAAAGCATTCAGGTTCCGACGAGATTCGAACCCGTGCCTCCGGTATAAGTGGGGTGCCACTACCGACTAAGCCACGACTTTGTATTTCGCGGTAAGCGAAGGATATCAGACTGATTTTTATACTACAGCGGCAGCGTTTATTTGACTTTTACTCTCGTTACCAGTCCACAGTCCCCATCCATTCGGTGGAGTTCTACTGGGCGACAATCACAGAAGCAGAGGAAGAGGTCAAAGTCTAACTCCATGGACGATCAGAATGACGTAAACAGTAAAAAGGAAGAAAAAGAAGTAGAGAGACCTCCAGCATGGTAAGGTGCATCACGCTAGTTCAACATTTGTTCAACTGACAGGAATCCGATTTCACGGCCAAACGCCGTCATTTCAGTCGCAGTTACACGGTGGGATCTGGTACGAGATCACTCTGGTACTAATTGGGCACTGCTGCCAACTGGGCTTAGAAGCTACACGTTGTAAGTGTGGCAAATTTGAGAGGGATCTTCTTTCCCATAGAGAAATTTGAAGTACGTCATCTATCGAACAAGTTACGAAGAGACAAACTTGAAGAAAGATGTTCCTCGTCTTCTTACGAGCGTGGGACAAAGAAACTTGAAAAAAGTGTTCCCGCGAGGAATCGAATTCCAGATCTTCGGATTCCGGGCTCCAGTGGTCACTAGACAAGCTTGTCAGCTTACGGAATGTTGTCTTGATAAAACCCGAAATTCGCCAAAAAGTTTGCAAGGAAATGCAATGAAATGTTTTGAAGGGTTAACAATGTGTTCTTGTTCAGTCACAAAGATTTGGGGATCTTCAGAGCCTGTGATTGTGTTTCGTACATCCAGTACACTTCTTAATTCTTTTCTCGTGTTTGATTTCAGGGGTGGGGTGATCAAAGAGTCTTTGCCAATTCAGTCCATGAGGGATCTTATACAAGAAGAAGAAAAGAAAATAAGCATTCCAGACCAAACGTCTTCACCAAAAATGCCAATCATACCGGGAAAGTCTGGATCTACAAAGAAAAAGCTAAAGTACAGTACATCACTTCTTAAAAGTCCAGCATCGCCTTGAAGTAGAATAATTTGCAATGAAAATTGATTACCTGAATAGCAATTGACGCAGTTGAGAAATTCTTCACCTATTTCTGGTCCTAATTGTTTTCCCTTTCCATATTTTAGTTGGCGCCGGCAGCCTGGATTTTACACGAACGGTTCAGAACTCAATGGAGAAGCCCCTGTTGATTTAGCCTCTGGGCGTGATTCGAGTGTTCCACTGTCTCCACCCAAAAGGTTAGCTCAAGGTTGTTCTATTCACTCGTCTTGATGGTAACTGGAAGCAAAAGCGCGAAACTTTCTCCGAAGTCCATACTTCTCGTCATCAAATTCGTTATTGTTATTACTGTAATGATTTTTCTTAACCTGCACAAGTGGCTTGAAAACTGTAGATGTCTTCGATGATGAAAACTGCGTTGGCCTAAAATGTCAAAAGCATATGAGAGTTCTTATCGCTGGTGCTTTTCGGATGCAGCCGTGTCTGTTCTAATAACTTGTTCTATTTAACCATTCATTTATCTTCTCTATTTGTTCCCCAGTGCCTGGCAGTCAGTTCCTATAGCATGTTCTCCGCCATCTTCTTCAATCGCTTTCTCTACAATCCTAGAATGCGAGGAAAAGGAGAACACAACTCTTAACAGGTTTGGCTCTGTTCTTTTTTTAGTTGTCAGGTGTATTTTGTTTTCATGGTTTTTGTTTGTTTGTTTTATTTGTTTATTCATTTATTTGCCTGTCGGTTGGTTGGTTGTTTTATTTTTGTTTGTTTTTTGTTAATTAGAGTTTATGGAAGTAATTAGCGCTCGATCATAATTTCTTCCTCTCGTTTCCTTTGTAGATTTAGCGAGAAGCCATTTCACTTGACACAGGTAATTGTTTTTTTTTTCATTTTCTTGGGCATAATAATCTTTCTGCCTCCAAAACAACCATTTGCCACGCTTTCTTAACAAGTCTCATTGACAATTAGTTTGACTCTCCTCAATCCAAAACTCCCCTCCCTTTTCCATGGCTTTTTATTTTTTTAAGGTTTAACTTGATTTTACCATTCATAGCTTGAAGAGAGAGCCATGGAAGAACTGCTGCAGTATTACGGTGGCAAGGACAATGCTTGTGAGTTTGTGACCGTTGAGAGAATTCCATCGACTGCAGCTAAGCCTGTTTGGAGAAAGGAGAGATCGCCATCTGTTGCAAGCAATTAAAGCTTGTTACGCAGTCACAGCTATCATCAAATGAGTTTTTGTCGGGCGAGATGGATTTCCTCTGCCTTTGCGAGGAAGAGATTTTTAGAGTTAGGCTGAATGGCCAAATCTGAGTTAAATATTTTCTCGCTGACTTCTATGAAGCGATAAAGAAACTTATTGAAAGCGTTGATCGTTTACCTTGTAACAGAGAAAAATAAAACATTTTAAAAATGTTCTTATGTCGAAGCATTCCCAAAGAGTTGTCTAATGTAACAAAAGTAAATTGTAATAAATATACAAAACTATATAATTATCAACTCTTTAGTTCGAGTCCGTCAACTTCACGAAAATTTGGAATCAAGATATCAGTGTAATTTTGTCATTGGCTTTAGACTTGTACGATTTCGCACAGTTCGGAAGTACTTTGGAAAAAGGGAAGCTCAAATAATGTAACAAACATTGAATCCTATTTTTTTGTCATTTGTTCCAGTGTGCGGGCTTTTTAAAACTTCACGTCAGTCTCAGGGAAGCCCTTTAACTCCCAAGATCTCATTAGTAATTCTCCTTACTGTCTGCCATACAATTCATGTGATGTTAGTTTGGAGAATTTAGAATTGGACCAAACAATAATCCCACAATTCATATTTTTCTTTATTCTCATTTACTTGTCTGCTTGATATTGTACCAATAGTGTAAGGAGAAATTCTGTTTAAATCACTAGTGGGACTTGAAGGGTTCAACCTTAAAGAGTGGCCAGCATCTAATTGTTCCTTGTAGTAATACTGCTGGATCATTCATTGAGATCATGAGAACAAAAGAACTGATCGCCAAATTAAGAAGGTTTGATTGCATGGTAAACGAATTCCCCTAGTCAGTACTAAAGGCGATGTATAGAGAAGAGCATGGAGAATGTGGATACTGATGTTAGATTATAAACGGTGATGAAACCATATTCATTATACAGCTCGAAATTAAATCAGTTTCCCTTGGAGAACATTTTTCACGGCGGCGAGTGAGATTTTAATTCATAAATACTGAGACCTTCACTGTGAACTACTTTCGTTCGTGTGTCTGATTGGTGAACGTTGTATTTTCAGTCGTTCGCTTCCAGTCTTTGAGCTGAAGTGTGAAAAAGTCTCAGAATGTATGAAATAAAAACTTCATGCCATGGAAATTGCTTGAACGATATTTATTCACTCGTCATGATGCAGCGAAGAAGTCACTCCTTCGCTGCGCCCACTCATTGGGTTTTTTGATGTATCGCAACTCGTGAATAACAATCATTCGTGTGCACTTTTCATGGAGTAATCTCTATTTACTCTATTGTCCATTGCATTTCCTTAGAATGGCCTTTTTACATGGCTCTCTCTGTAACTTCCTTAAAACCACTCAGGATAAAGACAATAGCACCTGTTTCGCACCTGTTTCACACTCTCGTTTGATTGGTGACTCTCTCCTTCAAACTCAGCATGTGTGTTCGTCTCGAGAACAATGGGTTAACTTAGGATGACCATCTTAAGCTGATGTTGTTCTTGATTTCCATCGCGTACCTGTTTGACGATGCTTTTATCTTATAAGGAAAAGGTTACATGCCCTCTGAACCAAAGAGTTAACCGCAATAGCGAACGAGTTCGAATCACTACTTTAAGTTTGTGGACGTGTTACAAAATTTTATAACGGGGCCGCACTTCAGACATGCGGTCAGACAAAATAGGAAATTCGTCCTCCCTTCTACAATTAATTTGGGCAGTAAACAGTCACGATTGCCAATATTCTATGAGGCTCGACGCGTCAACAAGTAGTGAGGACAAACAGAGCTTTTTGATGCATATGTGACGGGTAATTTTAAATGACGTACAGAGGTACAGAGTACTTCTCAGTGAAGGTTATCTGTTCATAACGCCAAAATTTGGTTTTTCACACGTAGGTGGCCCCTCTAAGATGGCCGCAAGACGGAAGTGTGAGTAAATTCTTTGTAAACGTAATATAACTCAGATCGCGAAACGGCCTCAGCTGAGCTACTGATTCAAAGATACAGGTAAGCGAGGTATTTGTTTTTACCTATTTAATTAATCTCCACTAAGAGGTAATAAACTAAACTAAATAACAGTTTATATTCCCTTGTCTACACACGGTCGGGGTTAATCAGGAATACAATAACTTTTGTCAGAGCTTACGTCGAAGCTATCAACGAGATTTGATAATCAGTGATTAAAAATCTAGCAACCACTGGATAGACGCGCTATCCGTAATAATTAGAAAGGTGATAAGGATTTTGAGAGATTGAAGGATTTCTTTTACTTGTCAACCAAAAGTAGAACCTTTCAAAAATCGTAAATGACTGATTTTTAGTTTGTTTTTGTTTTGTTCCGTTTTCCCCCTGATATTGTGTGAGCATAATTTTTTTGCTTGGTGATTGAATAGGATTTTTTTCTCCTTTTCCTAGTTTTTCCCAACCCCTCTCCCAACCCCGCCTCTTAGTAGTGGACACTACAAAGTTATTTTTGAGAGGATAGGGGTTGGGAAGAGGGTAGGGGGGTCGGGTTTCTGATACAGGAGCCCGCATCATCCCTCGCTGTAATATAATCGAGTATTGGATCGCAGTCTTTTATTTACTAGTGTCTCACTCAGGTAAAGCTGCGGAAACATGGTTAGTTTTGCCAACAGAAATGGTATAATTCTGATAGCCATTTCAATCGCTGTCGCCTTGGCGATCGTGATAGGGATATCTCACACGCAAAAATCAACAGCACCATCCATGGTTCAACGCCGAGCGGGTGAGTACTGTTGTGCTATATGTTCATGTGTGTCAAGTGCGCTAACGTGATGCATTACAATAGACCCTTATAAAGCTCACTTTTATAACGACAAAAATGTTTTATGAATATGAAAGTGATCCTCGTAGTAATGTACGCTACTTAAGCAGTGGTGAAAATAAGGCCTGAAAAAAATTCAGGCCTGTACAGGAATTGAGGCCATGACCTCTGCGATACCGGTGCAGCGCTCTGCCACTGAGCTAACAAGTCAACTGGGAGCTGGTCATTATGTTGGATCAGGCCTTATTGGAGTTCATGAGTTCAATTCCCTTACAGGCCTGATTTTTCTTTACAGGCGTTATTTTCACTTCTGCTTAAGTAGTGTACATTACTGCGAGGATCACTTTCATATTCACGTCTTTATCTGCATTTCAAATATATAACTTTCATATATTCTTAGCCGTTTAAAAATGTTTTATTTTGACATCACAAAATGAAGTCTTCCTTAGACAAAGAGGGGAAATTGGTGACGCTGTCACTGTTTTCTTTATATCAATTACACACTTCTAAAACGTTTAAGAATATTTCATCGCTTTTTGAGCGTTTGTATTTTACTTGTGACATCAACCGCCAATATTTTATATTGAAGTTATTCTTCGAAAGTGGAACTTCTGAACAGACATTTCTGGGTTCTTATTTTACTTAAAATGTAAAAGGGTTTTCGCTTTTTAAAGAAGCAAGATATCGAATGTCGCTGGCTTTTAGATTTCATAGCCTTGCGTTACATGCGATTCAGTAACATCGTTACATGTGGCTGACTGACGAATGTCTTCGTGTGTTGTAACAGACAAAGCTGTCCATTTCACTTCACATATGTAACGCAATCTGAAATTTAATTCAAAATCAAAAGAAGAACGCTCGCTGATCGCCCAGGCTTAAATGTGTGATACGTTCAAGTACAAGTGCAAGCTTCAATCATATTTTTTTCTTACGATTTTTAATTGAGGATTTGTCTTCATTTGTATTTTTTTTTTGTAATTTTAATCACAACACTCAGTGAGAAGATGCCCTCTTATAGGATATTCGTATGCGTGAAGGTCGACCTCTAAATGGTCTCCTTTGCAGCCGTTGTTTGGTCTCGTCACTCGACACGTTTTCTTTCTCAGCAAACTACGGCTATGAAAGGAGACTAAACGAAAGGAGACGACCAAACTCCTTGTATCGATGTTCGTCCCTCCCTCCCCTCCCTTGTGAAACAAACTTTGGTTCTTGTCATAGTCTCTTAACTTCGGAAAGGAAGAAAAACGTTAAAAAGTAAAAATTAATGAAAAAGTGTCTGAAATCCCCACTTCTGTCGTAAATGGGAGGAATGTCATTTATTTTTCTCACCATTAAATGATGGAAAGAACGCTCTGAAAGGTTAATTGTTGAATTTTCAGAAGTCATAGGCCAAATACGTAAACCTGATTAAAATAAAAAGTTTAAGTTGTTCTTGTCCCTCAGCAGGTGTGCCTATTTCTCTTCCTACGAGACAGACAGAGAATCAATGGTTCAAAGATGGCGTGAAACTCATCAGAGACAATCTGAATAGGCAACCGCTGACTCATACAGCAAAGAACACGATCTTGTTCCTTGGCGACGGTATGGGTATAACTACTACCACTGCTGCACGTATCCTGGCAGGTCAAATGTTAAACCAGTCGGGAGAAGAATATGTCCTTAGTTGGGAAAAGTTTCCGTGGTCTGCCCTGTCCAAAACATACAATGTAGATCAACAAGTTCCAGACTCCGCTGGAACAGGAACTGCCTTTTTGAATGGCGTGAAGACTAATGCTGGTAAGTCGAAAGAGGCAAACCTCTCTCTCTCGAGAAATTTCTGGACGCTCAACGTAGGAAGGAAAGTCATTTTTCTTTTTCCATTGGTCACTTGTTAGTCTCGTTACCAGTCGCTCACACTTTCATATTTGTTACGCTGAATGTTTTGCGAACGTCTGAGGAGAGGACTTCGGAGTTGTAATCACAGTTATCGTCCCCTAATATATTTCTCTCTTTCTTCCAGCATGTTTCCTTTTGCTTTCCCTTGAATTTTTCTTCTAAGGGTTTGATTACTGTTCCTCTCTACCTGATAATAAACCCGACCTCAAAATGGAGGATAAAAATTGAATAAATGCGTTAACTATGCAGGTATACATGCATCCATTGTTTTTTGGGTGTCTTGCCCAATTTTCATTTGGTCAGCTGGGAAAATGTAGCTTCACATTTGGAACAATTACAAGCATTGGTGTGGTTGGGGATGTTTTACATCCCCTCCCAAACAATTTTCTGTGAAGAGAAACACCTTTGGACTGTCACTTCTCAATTAAATGGACGGCATTGATGTGCAATTCTCACAACAGTAAACCAAACATGTTCTCGTAATAACGATTTTCGTTGGATAAATCTATCATCCTTAACAATGAGAAATTGTTTACTATGGTGCACCCCGTTTCTACTAATTTTTCATGTTATCAATCAGGCGTAATCGGTGTAGACGAGGCTGTAAAGCGAGGATTCTGTCAAAGTTTAAATGAAAGCAACAAAGTCCTGTCCATACTAACATTGGCAGAAATGGCGGGAATGTCAACTGGTATCGTGACAACAACGCGTGTCACGCACGCAACACCAGCTTGTCTGTACGCACATTCACCGGAGAGGGGGTGGGAGAGTGACCGCGACCTGAGGCGCAAAGCAAAGGATGACGCATCCAACTGCACAGACATAGGTCTGTAGTGCATGCAAAGTGGATGGGTAAATCTTCTGCTGGATTCTAGGAGATTTTAAAGTAATAACAGTTAATTACCATCGTTTGTCCCATGGGGTAATTACGATGTAAAGATCGATGGATACTGCACCATGCAAATATTCTTAAGCTATTCCATGAAAAATCCATCACTTATTATCCGATTTCCTATAAGTAATTAGTTTTTTGTTTGTCTGTAATTTTTTAATCAAATCTTTATTGATTTTATTTTCGTTTATTTTTGGTTTTTTTTTCCTGTGAAGAATTAAAAAATTGTTTCTCAGAGAAAACGCCTTAGCATTAACACTTTTTCAGTTTAAGGTTACTGTTACATTGAAAGTTTTTCCAAGGATAGCGAGTTCTACTCTCATTCAAAGGATTTTTCTCGTCTCTGCAACAGCTTTACAACTCATTGAGTACCCGTTTGGAGATGGAATTGAAGTTATTTTCGCTGGAGGTCGGAGGGAGCTTATACCCAATAACGAGACCGACCCTGAATACCCGGATTTGAAGGGAGAGAGGCTAGACGGCCGAAACCTGATTCAAGAGTGGGTGGATAAATTTCCAAATTCTCAATACGTTTGGAACAAAACTGGCTTTGACCAGATTGACGTCAACAAGGTTGATCACGTTCTAGGTACGTTATCATAAAATTTGTAGGGTGAATGACTATTTCTCAGGTGTAATTTAGTAAAAAACTGAGGTTTCGGGCGTTGATCCTTCGCCAGAGTGATTGCGAATCTGACGTAGGGCTAACGCTCGCAACGTCAGCATTTAAACTCTTTACGGTGGCCAATTTACGTTATCAACTGAGTTGATAACGTAAATTACCCTGTTATACTCTCCCACCGAGGTAGCACCACAGTTTCTTTAGAAACTTACCCCCTTATTTCTCATGCGATTGAGGGATGGATGGATTGATTAACTGACTGATTGATTGATTAGTTGATTTATTGATTGAATGATTGATTGATCAATTGATTGACTAATTGACTGATTAACTGGTTGATTAAGTGACCGATTGCTCGATTGATTGATTGATTGACTGATTAATTTTTTGCTTCATTAAATGAATCAGCTCTCTATTGTCTTTTATTCGGGTATAGCTTTTTTGCCAGCATCGATCCAACTGAACATTACTTTATGGCATCAATGCTTTGCCAAATAAATATTACAAACGATGAAGACGATGAACACTAAAAGTATAGTATTGTCTTCTTACTTAAGTACTTAAGAAACTGTGCAACGCTTGTATAATTTATCAGGTCTGTTTGAGTACAGCCATATGCAATATGAAGTCTTCAGGAAGGAGAATGAAACAGAGCCATCCATTGAAGAGATGACAGAGAAAGCCATAAATATCTTGCAGAAAAATCCAAAAGGATATTTTCTCCTGGTAGAAGGTGCGTAAGAGAACAATATCAACTAGCTCAGAAAAATATTACTATTTGGCTGAAAGGGAGAAAATACTTTATGACTCTTTTTTGTTTAAGAGAGCACCAGGCAGAGGGCTTCTTATAGAGATAATGTTCTTATTATCGGAAATGGGGGCTCCGATAGGGGTCCAAATTAAGGAGGGGCGCTATTGAAGCGTTTATAGCGAGTCATGTAGTTTTCATTGAGTCCTCTATCGGGGATATCGAAAAGGCAGTTTTTCTCTTTCTTCCTTTTTCATTTCAGGTGGCCGCATTGACCACGGACACCATGGTACAAAGGCGGTGCGTGCCCTGAATGATGCTGTTGCTATGGCAAAGGCTTGTGAGAAGGCGACAGAAATGACCAATCGAGGTAAATAACAGCTATCATAAATCTCAAGAGCTGACAAGATAGCTTACGCGAAAAAACTTGATTGTTCCTTTGCTACGTCATGATGGTTTTAAAAGTAGAATCTTTCTTCGTGCTATAATCAAGCTTGGAATGTCACGAGTTGTCTCAGGTCACACTTGAATAACAGCAGTATTAAACCAAGAAAGCTTGGATCGAGTTCTGTGTAGTTCGGTGATAGAGCTCCAGACCCTGTCCAAAGATCATTGTTCGTTCTCGATGCTTGTACTCATTGATGACACTATGCTGTCCTACACCACGCCCTTGATTGATGAATTGAGCTGTTTCTGTTGAGTGGCGTAATCTATAGTTCTATTTTCGCTAGGAGTTAAAATAAGATTCTGTAGAGAAAATAGCTTTAATTGGTAGGGAAACAAAGCATGTAAGTATTACTTAAGTATTAGTTATGTTTTGTCGATGCCGTGTTCAAACGGTTGTTTCATAAAACAGATAAACAAAAACAAAAACAAAAAAATAAGCAAAAAGAAACAAAACCTAAACACTCTCAGCGGCCATTCAAAAGAATGAAGAATATGAAAAGGTTCCAAAGAGAGCTCAAAGAGAAAACAAACAAACTGCCTGGAGCGCGGGGAAACGGGAGGGACTAAGAGCTGATTAGTTTTAGTTTCGCATCTGATTGGTGATGACGGTGCAGTTGCATTTTCAAAGCAATCGTAGAATAAAGCAAATCACACATATTGTAACCTCGGGTAACTTCCGAAATTCAACTGAAAATTGCTTTATCACTGTGCTTTTGTTTTCCCTCACAGAAGATACTCTCGTGGTAGTGACTGCTGACCATTCTCACGTGTTTTCCATGGGTGGTTACGCTAAACGTGGCAATTCAATCTTTGACCTGGTAGTAAAAGTTGGCGAGACTACGCCGGACGTAGCAAAGGACAAACTTCCTTACACAGTCTTAGATTATGCAAATGGACCCGGAGGAGAACGGGTAAATGGTACACGACAAGACCTCACAGGGGTGGACACGGGAGACAGTGACTTCGAGCAACAAGCCACGGTTTGGTTAAGCTCGGAAACTCATGGGGGAGATGACGTAGGTATGTTTAAATACTATAATCCTTTTATCTCCAGAAACGAACCAATAAGTTATTTGTTTTCATTTTAGGCCAATTTTACTTGATCTTTTCATTATTTTGTTTTCAAGTCATACTCTTTTGCAATCTGTTGAAGCTTTCGAAATTGTTTCAGGTATTCGACGATATAATTTGAACTGCAATTTGGTCGAGCACTTCCCTAAGCTGTCACTTGAGACAGTGGTTCCTAAAATTGATAATTCGAAACAAACTCAATCATCGAATGATAAAGCAATCATCGCGCTTGGTCATTGGAAAGAAACACGATTTATCAGTGTCTTGCAGATCTACAGTTTGCCTCAGCCTTCTGCTTCAGGGAACAATTGATATGCAAGTCACTGAAAAATTACGATGTTTTGCTCAACCTCCTCAAATGATTGTTAGTTCTTGTTGCTCATCAATAAATTGTGGAATATACGAGAGTAGAGATAATATTAACCAGCTTAATTTGTTTCATTTCAACACCAAATTTCTAGCACAAAAAAAAAAAAAACAAAAAAAAATTTATGGCAGATAACAAGAAGTAATATGAGACCCTGGCAATAGAAAGTTTAATCAAACTTGAAACCAAAACGTGTGGGAAGGCTGATCTTTTCAGAGTCTGATGAAAGCCTCCCCTCTGTTGCAGACTCTATTTATTAAAATTAAATATCATATTTACCTCAGGAATATATGCAGACGGTCCGGGAGCCTACTTATTCCGTGGCGTTGTGGAACAGCCGTATATATTTCACGTGATGGACCATGCCATGTGTTTAAGTGATAGCAAGCGGGATACGTGTGATAGGCACCCAGCGAGAGAGTAACGAAACTATAGAGCAAATTAAAACTGACTGTTTTAAATGAACCTCAGTGAAATCAAAACGGCTCATCATAACACAGAAAAATATTACAAGGAAAACTGAAAACTGAAACTGGCTGACGTGGGGTCAAAAGAAAGTGGCCCGATCCTGTCGGATGTCTTAGGTTCCCGATCTGATTGGTGGAGAGGGCAGCACAAGTTTTCTTGTCCAATCAGAAAGAAAAGTAAAGAAAAACCAATGCAATTCCATTTTGATTTTTACATTCACTTGAAAATCTCTGTCAGACGAGTGCTTCAATGCTAGACTTTACTGAAATAAATCGCGTTCAATGTACAGTCAGTTGTCGGTTTGTTTTATGTTAACTCCCCTATAAAATAAATGGACGGACTCTGATGTCTATCCCAGTCAACTGATTACAGGTCCTTGCTGGAACCATGTTTAGGCGAGAGCATAATGTTAAAAATTAAGGACTTTTCAAAACTTGCAAGTCAATTTTTGGGATTAAATGCCGTGGGAATTGTAAGCATAGTTCCATCTACTCAAATATTTTCAGTAAATAAGACAAACGAGACAAGAATCTTTTCCCCTTTGTTAAACTTTATTCATGATGTGATATTCTGGCCCATAAAAGCAAAGCGTATATGTGTTTGCAATTATTGTAAAATGTAAAACGAACAAATGTAAACCTCGACTAACCCTAGAAGACTTCTTTTATAACCTTTCAATAGTCTCATGTGTAAACTAAACAAAATGAAATGTTGGTTACTAAAAAACTTAACGGTTATCGCACTAATTGTGAAAACATTAGATAGTATCACTGTAGATCTTGCCTGGCCCTAGAAAACCTCGACTTTAACAATTCAGTAGTCCTGAATTTCGATCACAGCCAACTGAGATGTTTGCATACTAGAAAGCCTGACAACTTTTGCAATTATGCTAGAAATGTAGTTTCACTGCAGATCATGATTAGCCCTGCTTAACTCCGTTAGAACCCCACAATTAACACTATAAAAACCAAACTTAAATGCGGTTTGTTTACTAAAACGCCGCCCTAACATCTAAGTCTGTTGGTGGCTGAATTAGGAAGCTGCATGAGGTTTACACACCCGATGATAATTTCAGGCACATCAGCTCAGTTAATTGTTTGCAATAGTGTCTTGGATCCACTGAAGAACAACTCGCACATCAGCCTGGAGATAGGTTCGGTCTCTTTTAGCACAAGCATTCTTCCCATAACTGTGAACCCCTTCTAAGTACCACCTTCCATCTTCCTCGCGAACCACAGGGCCACCAGAGTCCCCGAAACAGTCGCCTCCTTCGCCCCAAAATTTAGATTTGGTGAAAAAAACTGCTTCTCTTGGCTGAAAGAAATGATATGAAAAATCCAGATACGGTTTAACTTGAAACGGAAAGGAGGGAAAGGGGAAATATTCGTTAGTGTTATTACTCAGTGCAAGAATAGTCTAGAACTGTGTCGATTGTAGACCAAAGCTTGAATTAAGACTCCAATTGAAAATCATAGCTTCTATTTGGAAATCCCCTTAAAAAATTTATTCTCATATCCAATTTTCCGTTTCGTGTCCGTGCTCTTAATTCAGCGTTTTCTTGGTTTTTGCCCGACAAGCCAATTCCCTTTTCTCTTTGTTAAAGCATCTGTGCTGAAGCTTATGTACGTGTGTTAACTGAGGAGCAATCATGTTTGAACGGATTTTGAGGTGAGTGTTAACTCTGGTAAGTGAAAACGGAATGGTGTTTTGCATCGCTCGGGATGTCCTCGTGGCAAATGAGAAGAGCATACCTTAAGGCGCACAAGCCACCCCGAAAGTAGACGCATGCGCACCGAAAGGTAACAGTTTACGAGTCGTCCGCATTCCCCCTCCTCCCCCCTCAATAACGAAAAAATGAGAGGGTCATTAAATCAGAGTGCAGAAATTTGAAAATTTGGAAGTCTAAGAACTCTCCTAAAGAAACGGAATAGAGTTTCTTTAGGTCATGACGAGACAACTGGTCAGATTAATTCTGGATGGAAGTATCCTGGTTCGATCTGTAACAAGGATTATTGAGTCGTGTATTTAGGCAAGACATTCCAGTTTCATAATAACTCTCCCCATGCAGGAGTATGTGTGAGTACCAGAGAGCCCTCAGCGTTACATGATGAATTGCTCCGTGTTACAGACTGCCATGGGACTGGGCTGACGTCCTACCTTTACACCACCACAGAAAACAAAACCAAAAAAAACAAAAAACAAAAAACAAAAATAAAACACGTACGCACACTTTCATATAGCCTTGGAGGAGGCCCTCATCAGTAGCTCTGTAGGACGCATGTTTCTCCACCCACAGGAAGATTTAAGACGAATCGGAGGGAGGTTGGCGGGAGGTATGGCACTAATAAATGCTGGACCCTTTGCAGAGTCACTTTGCTCATACTCTCCCGTAGGCAAAGAACGCACGTGCAGAAGCGCTAATAACGAGCGCCTGCTCGCATGCTAATTTCCACTCAGCACCTACATCTTCCTCTGACACGACTTCAACTTGGACTTCTTTTAGCACGTTCGACAAAAGACCGCTGGCATTAGTCCTGGCCCAGCCAGTTTCCAAAGGAATGAACCAAGCGGCAACCTTGTGGTGGATTTGGGCAAGCATATGGTCCCTACATGATCATTTAAGGCTACAGGATACTTCAGTTTTAACAATGCAAAGTCATAATCGAGTGGTTTGCGGCTGTAGGTATGATGTCTAATGATTTGGTCAACACAGTGCCTCTGTTCTTCGCAGCTTTCAATGGAACGATGGTATTCCCCAAGTCTGATGGAGCACACAGAAAACTGATTTAACCATTTTCTCTTTTAAAACCTCTTTACTGTCTGCCATACAGTTCTAATGATGTCACTTTAGAGAATTTTGCATTGGATCGATTAATTATGCCCCAACTGATATTCTTCTTTATTCTCATCAATTGCTTGCCTGATTTTTCATTTATATTTTAAGGAAAAAATTATGTCTTGTATACTCATGGAGGTTAGAGGGTTTGGGGAATGAGTCAACGGTACAAGTCGAGGGGATGCTGAGTGTGAATGGGGATTGCAAGGAGGTTTTCTTTGTTTCACTTGAAGAGATAACGAAGAAATAAACCGCTGACTACTGTCAAACTACTCATGGCAAATTTCAAATAAGTGTTACAAATACTCCGGGATTGTTTCGGTTGTACGTCGTTATACTCTGTGATTTGTGCAAAAACTGGCATTATCTTGGAGGCATATGTAGTGCAAAAGTAAAGCATCTGGCTATTTATTCACTCGCGTTTTGATTAGTTAATTGTTCGTTATGGTTACTCCAGATGCTTTTGGTATTGCGACGTTAAATCGACATGTACTCTTACCTTACCAAGAGGATCTCACCGGAAACTTGAATCAACTGCAAAAAATTAAGTATTTGCAAAACCCCACGGACAAGGCAGGCGCTAATATTTCTTCCTCATGTGCGTAATTTAGCGCATTAGACAAGTTTGTACTTTCTACTGTTAAACAGGGTCTATAAACGTACGTAAATTGATTGGTGAAGGAAACTCGTACACTACGAATAGATTTAAATTTCCTTACGATATTTCCAGATCTCCAGGATAGAGGCCGGTACAGTGGGCAGCGGTGATCACCCATAGAGGAGTCAAAAGAGAACCACTGCAATGCCAAGTGCGCATGCCTGTTTTCTTAAGTAGCTGCGCATGCCAGCGCCATTCGTCTGGACCAGATTCGCCTCTTTTGATGCTTTCACTGAGCGGCATTTTCAGACCACAACCTGCTAGTTCTGTCGGTTAACAAATAAAAAAGCTTGAAAATTATTTAGAAAAAGAAGTTGTTAGTTCCATCTAACTTGGTTGTCGATCGTGGGCATATGAACGGCAAAAAGAGGTTCGCACTTAATTAGCGATACAGATGTTTCATTTTTCTTTTCACCTTTTCTGTGTAAATTGCAGATGGCGTGAACATCGTTCCTCGCTGGTTTGGCTGCATAGTCTAAAGCTCTAAATTTGAATATCAAGGTCTAAAAATTACATGATTCTCCACTGCAGTCGCTATTTGCTAATAAACTAGTTGGGAGCAGCCGAAAAAAAGTCCAAATTCATTGCTTTGGTTGGAGCTACGGGTCTTGCAGTTTGTTTTCATGTATTTGGTGCTAGAAGAAAAAGAGAAGAAGACATCGCCTTATGTAATACTTCTTACTTAGGTTCTAGTTACCTCGTTTAACCTCTGCAGCTTTTCCTTTGACTGGAGAAAGATTTTTGCACATCAGCAAAGTAACACAAAGAAGGCCAAGAAGCGTAGAATTTAGAGAGCAAGTCATGTTGCTGTCCTCCAAAGGATACTGCATGTACTCTGACGTCTTTAGCTCTCTAGAGTAAACACATACTTTATATCTAAACAAAACATATAGAAAAATACCATTCAGAAACCTAGAGACTCAGAAAACTGGAATCTGATGCTTTCCTTAAACAATGGGCTGTTGCTAAGTATTAAACACAGAACTTTAAGTGCACTTAAGCATGAATGCACTCTTTTTAATTCATTAACATAATTGATTTTGCTTTGGAAAAAATATTTATGTACCTGAAAAATGGGAATTTTACCATATGGTTTATATTATGCGTATTTAACTATGCGTGTCTCATTTATCGTGATCGATATTCTAAGGCCGTTACAGGTGTAGAATTTGCCAAGTGAAATAACACCTAAAGCCAGACATATATCATCGACAATTCCCTACACAATGTATCTGATGAGACAACTGTCCTTCAAGTACATGCGTGGAAAGATATCGATATTCAACAGATGTTCAGTCAAGAACAAAAAGGTTCAATTATCGTATTGACTGAATATATCCTCATAGCAACGCGATATCCTTAAGCGAAAAAACGCACTCAATCATTCTAAAAATAACTTGCGCACTGTAGTATGTTACGTTGAAGCATTGCAAGATAAATTAGGCCAAAAAGAAAGGGGAATAGATATCCAGGTGTTATCCAAGCTAGAGCTTGGATAACACCTGGAAAAGGAAGAGCTAAGTGTTTTACATCTAAACAAAACGTATTAAAACGTCAGACAAAACTCCCAACAACCCCGTGAATAACTGTAAAATAACGTTCTTTCAACATACTCTCGTTGCTAATGGACTTTGGATTTTAACTTAAGAAATTGTCTCTGCGTTTATTCATAAGTATGCTTTGTTCCGGCTTTTTCATTATTTCACAACTTTGTTTTTTCGCTCAGACACGTTTTTTATTTTCGAAAAAGACCTAGTAAAAATTATATTTCAATGGAAAATGAGGACTACCTCTTGAACTGATCTTACTGAGTCAATGTGAGTCTTTTCGTGTCCCTTTTCCGTTCCCGCGTGCATAAAAAAATGTGTTCACGCACACAGCACAATTGAGCCCTCATTAAGAGCTTATATTATGTTGTGTGCATTTATGAAATTTTAAATTACCATTTCGAGAGTTGCTTTTAAGGTTATGGAGGACAGAAACGGAGATAACGCGGAGAAAACCTTAGCTAAGAGAGCCAAAAGTGAAAGAAAACTGATATCAACAGATGCATAGCTAAAGAATTGAAATTAATTGCAATAGTTTTTAATAGTTTCAACTGTGATGAAAACCTCAGAGAGTGTAGATTCCACAGGACACTAAAAACTTGCGTACTACTCATTGAACGCCTTCGTATAAAAAACATTTCTTTGGTAATTTCCAATTGTTCGTGGTCACCATCTTAACTGTCAAGACAGCAATCAGTGGTACAAAGATGGAAAGGATCTCATTCACCACAACCTAATGGAGGCAGAAATCATGCACCCTGCTAAGAACGCCATCCTCTTCATGGGAGATGGCATGGGCATCACAACCACGACTGCTGCAGGTATATTGGACGGACAGATGAAAGGCAAAACAGGAGAGGATGAGAATGTGCTGAGCTGGGAAACGTTTCCCTAGTCGGGTCTGGCAAAAACTTAAGGCGTTGATACCCAGGGGACAGACTCGGCGGCTTCTGCGACAGCCATTTTGAGCGGAATCAAGGCGATTGATGGCAGCGCAAAGAACACAAACTAAAACAAACGTGAATTATACACGGGAAATAAGTCCGAGAAGTATGATTAAATGTGTAATACTGTTAATAGGGAATTACAGCTTTGATTAAGTTAATGCTTTTCATTACTCATACTTTGCTGTTGATTTCGAGGCGTTTCCTCTAGCTAACTGTTCACCCTTTGTTCTGCCAGATATGAAATTAATGGTAAAACACAACTTTGACTGTGTTGTATACAAATAAATATCAAGACTGGTTGTGCTCTCCTTAAGAAGAAACAACATAACATCGAAACCTTGTAGTACCAGCGTAAATATGAGTTGTTAGTGCTTATCACAAGAACGAATCAAAACTGATAACACGACAGGAATTGCCTCATCTCTAAAGCACCATTTAATACCATTTACATTGGCTATCTAGATTAAACTCGACAAAACTAAATTCTTTTTAGGATTCTGAATTTTCAATTCTTCTATGTGTCGTTTAGGTATTATCGGTAGGAATGGAATTATAAAATGGACCTACTGTTCCTCTGAGACTTCAGAAAGGAGAGCAACATCTTCACGCGCTTACAGAGATGGCCAGGATGTCAACTGGAATCGTGACAACGACGCATGATGGCGACAAAATGGAAGAAGCACTCGATGATGCCTCTGCCTGCTAAGACATCGGTAAAAATATCTAGGACCATGATCTTTACCGCGTATAATCTAACTATACGCGATTAGCTTTCTCAGCTTCCTTCCTCTTCTTCATCTTTTTTTCCTCTTCTTTGAACTTCGTTTTAAATCTCTCTCTCTAAACCAAGTACAAAAGCAGTATGCAGGCTATGTTACAGTTTTATTTGTTAAGTTTATTTTTTGTTGTTTTACTTTTCAGCCATACAGCTTATAGAATTCTCGTACAGTGATGGAATAGAAGTTATATTTGACGGGGGAAGACGAGAGTTTTATGCACGAAAATCAAACAGACCCCGAATATCCACACAGAAATGGCAAGAGATTGGACGGAAGAGTTCTAATTCAGGAATTGGTGTAAAAGCATCCCAACTCGCATTACGTATGGAATCAAACAGGTTTTGACAAGATTGACACGAAGAAGGTAGATCACGTGATAGGTATGTGATACCGCGAAAAAGGATGAAGGAACTGAGTGAATTTTCTTAATTGAAGAAGTTTCAATCAAGCAGACGTATTCTAGATGTTTCTCTTGAACTTGAACACAGTTAGGATACACTAGTGATTTTAGTTCATACACTATGTAGACAGATTAAAAAAACTCCACACCATTTTCCAAGGAAATATCTATTAATTGCTATTTTCAATTTCTTTTTATTTTATTGTATTTTTTACAAGCCTCTTAGCTTGTTACATAATTCTAGCCAGATTTCTAACAAAATAACAAAAAAAAATTCCCTCGTTTAGAAGCTAAACATAGAAACTATCGTGAGTCCCTCCGGTCCGTGCGAAACGACAGAAAAGTCCAAACAGAATTCAGTCTTCTGATTGGTTATAAGAACTGGATTTGATGGGGTAAAGCTTCCATCAACCACTGCACACAAAAAACAACATAATTTCACTTAAGTTATATACTTTTTATTTTTTACATCATATGCTATACATTTTGACTAAGGCACAGCGGTGTCACTCTGTAAACATACATCTATTTCAGTCAAATGTGACTGTTACATGAGAATGACTGAAGCTTAAACAAAACCGGTCTCTCCTACAAAGCAATCGTAAAAATCTAACTTTTCAACTGGAGACCAATGCACGCGAAGTTCTGTACTTTTTATTGTGCAGCAGTGTTTTCTTGATGTCGTTTTTCATCTTAAGTATCTTCAGAACAACAGAATGATCCAAGAAGCCAAAATGATCAGCGAATTAAATGAAGAGACACAAAAAGAGTACCCTCCACTTTTAACCGACGGTTTGCTTGTTGTGACTGGTGCTTTTCCTCCCCGCGCCACGTGCTTTGCACATGATTCCTGTTTGCTGTTACTCAGACATAAAGCGTGATCCATCACGTGGAACACGTACGGCTGTTCAAATACGCCATGAAACAAGTATGCACCAGGTCCGTCTGCGTATACCCCTGAAATGATAACATGGTATACAGATTTAGCTACACCTAAAAGCAGATCTCCAGTCAATTAATTTTATTTCCCGTCACTTTAGTAAAACTCTTCACAGGCTGTTGAAGAGTTAATTTACAACGATTCAGTTGTAAATCAGTCATCATTCAAGATGATATGTAAGTTTTGATTGATAGAATTCATGGTTCTAAAGCCAGGGACGAAAGAATTTCTAGTAGAGGCATGTAAACTGCTTTTGAACCAGCTTGTCCAAAGTAAGTAAGAGTAATTATTTCTAAATATAGCTGTTCTTTCTCAAGAACGTTTTAAAGAGGAAGGTTTATCTAACTCCTCAAGGTTTACTGAGAAGAATTTTAATTCGCTTCCACTTTTGCGTCGGCCAGGCGATAGGAAACTAAGGATGGAATATTTATCGAACATAATACTTGGTTCTTCTTGATGTATGTATGTATGTATGTATGTTCTATCTTGGTTGCTCTGCTGTTCATAAAGACACCTCATGTAAAAAAAAAAATGAAACGAAAACTTAAGCCAAATTATTAACGTGGATAACAACTCGCATGCACAAGATAACTGATCTGTGGAGGTAGGTATTCATCGTATGCTATGAGGATAACACGAAATGAAGATCTTTTTCCCCTCAATTGCTGTGACACTTACCAACATCTTCAACTCCGTGAGTCTCAGAACTCTTACGAACAGTAGCTTGGGTGCGATATACTTTATCCGTGGTGTCGACGCCTCTGAGGTCTGGACGAGCCCCAGTTAAACCTCCTGGGCCGTTTGTGTAGCCGAGTGAAGTGTAAGTCTTGTTATCGGATCCAACCGCCAAGTGTCCGCCTGTTTCATTTACTAAGGTAAACATCGGGTTCCCGCGCTGGGGATACGCACCGATGGTGAAGACGTGAGAGTGGTCAGCGGTAACTGTTATCAGCGTTTCCTCTTTAAAGAAATTTTGCAGTTAACAGATTTTCAGAAAAAACAATTATAAGTTTCTGAAAATCTCAATACGTCAAGCAGTTACGCCTTTTGTAATTCAGTGCGGTGCATCAATACATATAATGCATTCATCGAAAGGGAAGATAAATTTGATAACTAAGGAACGCGAAAAAATGTTTACCTTTATTTATCAGTCCCTTTGCTTTGATGACCGCCTTATCCAAGGCTACGCCATCATTAATAGCCTTAACCGCCCAATTCGCGTGGTGTCCATGATCAATCCGTCCTCCTATATAGACATCAAAGATACCCTGACTGTTTTGCGGTCATCATTCCAAAACATATTAAAGAAGTTTAATGCCACCTTAGGTGATTTAACCCTTTCACCCTCGACTGATCAGAGTTTAATTTCTGCTAACAGTATCATCCCTGAATCAAACATAAAGATCATGAGAATGAAGGAAATGATGGGCAATTGAAGAAACTCCCGATTTTTAGTCAAATTCTCCTCGTAACATAGTAAATGTTTAGAGAACAGTGTGGCAAGGCTTGCATTCTGTATTCTGATGCTCGAGTGTAAAGGGTTTTAAAACATACATCAAAAGGATTTATTCTGCGAATGCAACTTCCGTGAATCTGAAAAAATGCCCGACATGTAACACTCTTTTGTGACCCTGAAAAATTCGAATGCACAGCTTTGTTCAGATAATATTTCTCCTTTTGCAAAAAAGCAAAGGGTGTACATTGATTTGACAGAAAAATCAAGCGTACCCCAGAGGCAACAGTAACAATGATTTGTCGGTAATCTGTCGCCAATGCGTATTAAATTTGCTTTTTACAAAGAGGATATACTTATCCTCTCTTGATTTTTTATAATTACGTGGGTTCATTTGGAGTACGAAAGCTATGATTTCCTCTCCGTAAATAGGTGGATGAGCATGGAAATTTTAAAGGAGAGACCATTTAAGCTGTAAACTACCTTCGACAAAAAGAAAGTATCCTTTGGAGTTTTTCTGCAGTATTTTGATGGCTTTTTCTGTCATCTCTGCTATTGATGGTTCGCCAGCGCCATCTTCCTCTCGATCAACTTCATATTGCATGTGAGAACGTTCAAAAAGCCCTACAATGACGCAAATGCAAAAATTATGCAAAGCTACTTTTCTTTGGTCAAACTAAGCAGCCCATTTTGAACACTTTCTGAACCAACACAAACCATATCATTGTTTACCTAGATGTGAAGAGAAAGAAAACGAATGATTTAGAGAAAAACGAGTGTCATAAATAAGAGGCAACTTCCTTAGAGTATCGAAAGCAATCCGTGATTGCAGGGCGTTTCCTTTAGTTCTCTCTACACGAATTCTGAAATAAACTAGCGACCTCTCAATCAATAAGAGGTAAAGTAAGATTACTATCGTAAAAGATTATTATCATAATTATTATGGATCAATATCAGTATCTGGGCAACTGTCCACCTACCCCTCCCCTAACTCAACAAAAGTCAATTGACAACAAGTTAAGGTTAATGTTGGTTTAGGGGAGGGGTACGTGGGCAGTTGCTCAGATACTGATATTGATCCATTATTGGTATCATTATTATTAGTATTGTTATTTCTTCCTCTTTTCATACAAATCCGTAATTAATGGCCAATTGCGTTTTGTACGCTTTAGATAGTTCTGTGGTTTTCCTCTCCTTTTTTCGTTTTTTTTTTACTTATTTTTTTCATCATTCTTTCTTTCAGTTCTCATTGTCTCCTCGTTATATTTCTCTTTTTGGAGTGTTTTTCTGTCGCTTGGACTATACCGTAACTATACAACGTCGAGTTTTAAACCTACCCGTTTCCAAAAACGGTATATTACTAAACCTTCCCCTAATACAGTTTTTTTCTGTTTAATCGTTTACATTTCGAACACAATAATAGACTGACACATCTGAATTATCCGCCAAAATCATCCTTGGTGGACTTCAATAGTGGCTCTGAACGGTGAGAGGATTGAAATGATTTATGCTGAAGAGTCAGGCAATTGGTATTCACTTACCTATCACGTGCTTAACTTTGTTCACGTCAATATTGTCAAAACCTGTTTGGTTCCACACGTACTGCGAGTTAGGATGCTTCTTCACCCATTCCTGTATCAGATCTCTGCCATCGTGTCTTCTTCCTTTTTTGTCCGGGTACTCAGGGTCTGTTTGATTTTTATGCATGAACTCTCTGCGTCCACCACCAAAGATAACTTCTATTCCATCTCCATAAGCGTATTCAATGAGCTGAAGAGCTTATGATATAATTTAGCCTGTTATTATTTATCACCAGCGCAGGGAGTGGGGAGGGGGGGAGGGGGGTTGGAAGAATCAGTCGTTGCTGAATAAAAGGGGGGAACTATAGAAGATTGACTGCCAACAAGAGGGATCATTAGAATACTATAGAGCATTTGAGGAGGATCAGATAAATTCTATTGTGACACAACCGAGATCCTCTAACTCCTCTCACCCAGGGGATGAATAACGACCAGCTCCTAATTTCCTTCGGCGACAGTTTCTGCGTATCTAAAAAACATTTTACGGGTGAACATTCGTCGAAACATCGTTAGAAACTGAAAATATCCACACATATGAACATCTAATTACATCACTGGGATTGACTTGCATTTAAAATCACCTTAACGATTCGAACCGTGAGATGATTCGATCGTTTCCAGTGGATGATATCTCCGAGAAAAAGAAAAAAAAGAAACAGCTGAGACACCTTTCGTCAACAAGCTCATGACGGGCTTACCAATATCTTTGCACGAAGTTGCATCATCTTTCGCCGTTTCCTCCTTCTCAGAATCACTCTCCCAGTCGCGATCCACAGAATGCGCGAATGCACTCGCGGGAGTTGCGTGAGTTACACGCGTGGTGGTGACGATTCCAGTTGACATCCCAGCCATCTCTGCCAGTGATAAGAGAGATATGACTCTACGATCTGCTTTCCAAGTGGAGCAGTACCCTCTTTTTACTCTTTCATCCATTGCAAGAACGTCTAAAGAATCATACATCAAGGAATTAAAGTCAAAACATTTGAACAAATTTTCCATTGCTTTTTTCATTTTTTCCCGAGCTGCTTTGGGGGATTCTGATTCTCTCTTTTGATGCCCTCTTTCCTGAAAAGCGAATCGCCTTCGGGCTTTCCCTGCTATGATAGACTAATATGAAAAACTGTTACTCAGAGACTCTCCTTGCTATGTAACAATGAACTGAGAGGAACCTGCGTAGTTTGATCATAGAAAACTACTGCCAATTTATTCAAGAAAACAGAGGGGAAAAAATCGATACAGTAAGGCATTACCGTTTCCCAAGGACAGAGAGAAAATCTTTCTTGCTTTAAGAACCAATAAGATTGCAGGATTCGCTACCCTGCCCCCTTAGAACACACAATACTAAAACTACCCGTAATGCTCCCTGATGTCAACACGTCTGCTCTTGGTCCTATCCCTTCCCCGTCAATAAACACCCTGTCTACTTTCCTTTTGACATAGCATCATTTCGTAAAATTCCACCTCTATCCACTTACTATCAAGTGTCTTTATTCCATTCATAAACGCCGTCGCAGAAGCCGCCGAGTCTGCACCCTGCGTATCAACGTTGTAAGTTTTGGCCTGACCCGACCACGGAAATGTTTCCCAGCTCAGCACATTCTCCTCGCCTGAGTGGCCTTTCATCTGTCCGTCCAATATGCGCGTTGCAGTGATGGTTGTATAACCCATTCCATCGCCGACAAAGAGGATAGCGTTCTTTGCAGTGTTCGTGTTTGATTTCACCTTCAAGTTGTCCTGCACTAGTTTCAAACCATCTTTATACCATTGGTTGTTGTCTTGATTTGTGAGGATATCGTTTGCATTGACAACTAGGAATGAATTACTAGTGGTCAAATGTTTACTAAAATGTATCTCAGCAGTTTTGTTAGGGTGCTTAGAGTTATACTTGTTGTGATTTGCAACTTTTAAAATGCGATTCCCATTGATAATATTGCAGCCACAATGCAGTGTTAATCTTACTGTTATCGCAGCGATAAATATCTCACAAGAGAAAGAAACTCAGGCTAAAATTTCAACCGACTAAATTATAAGACAGGAAGAATGACGAGAAGTTAGGAGCTAGAGTAAGGATTCTCGAGTCGACTTCCGTGTACCTGACCCTAACATTTCCTTTCTAGAGGACTCCCTAAGCAAATAGTGAATGATTTTCGCCGTCTTGTACATAATCGACTTTGAAGTAGACAAACCAACGAATTTTTGTGTACCTGACTGTATTGCTTACAGTTTTAAAACAGAATACTGTGATCAAATCTCAACCCCCCACCCTCTTCCAACAAATGAACGGTCCCTTAAAACTTTAATTCTGGTTAGTATGTCTTTATACTCGATTGTCTTTATACCTATCGAGCTACCCTTGGGCCTCCCGGTAAAGAAGGCCCACCATTGTGACGCCGTCCGTCACAGAGTTTCACTGATGCTATTACCACATCTTCATGGCATCTGTGACCAATTACTTAACAGACGCGTGGTGAAATGGAATCTATTTGTTTTGCATGATATAAAAGCAGAATATGATGACATCATTTAGTCGTCTCTCCTCCTTTAGATCTCAAGATTAAATAAGTGATTCACGAGAAGGAGCTTGAATGTTACATAGACAAAAAAAATCAAGCAACATTTACAGATTTCTGTACTCTTCCTACTACAAAATGAGGGTTTGGCGACCTCATGCCGCCTAGATCAAATACGAATGAAAAAACCATCATCAGTTATACTATTGCACGAACTTTCATGAACCTAACTAAGGATTTTCTCCTATAATAACATGAAGTTTTTTGGCAACATCATTACATTTTTTAATCGATATCCCTTCCTCTTATTGTCAGCTATTAATGTTTCTGGTTACTGCAACTTTTTGTTTCATAGGACGGCCATAAAAGAATGTCGCTTGCTCACACATAACTGATAATGAGAGTATATGATTGGCAAGCTCTGGTAGACTTTTGACGCTAAGGTAGAGAGTTTCTAAGACAGACGTTTCGAGCGTCAGCCCTTTGTCAGAGCGATTACAGATGGACTAACGCTCGAAACGTCAGCTTTAGAAACTTGTCTAAATAGGCCAATTAACATAATCAACTCAGTTGAATAAACCAAATTAAATTTTTCGAATGTACTCCTTTATTCTTTTGACATCACGGCTGGCCATGTTTGTAACGAACTTCGCGCCAGCCTGGAGTTGTTCGCACATGTTGTGCGTGCACGCGCATGCCCGAAATTATCGCTAGAATTGACCCCACATTGACCTACATATCCATGGCTTTGAAAATATAATTGAGAAAGATTTCAAATCTTGACGTTCCAGCGACGTCAAGCCGCCTAAATCAAATACAAATGAATGCACAATAAACTTTGAATTAACGCAAACATGGGCAAGAGTCTGGAAGCCAATAAAAATAGACTATGTTATGCATATCTCATTAATTTAGCTACATTTGATTGATTGAAGGCGCCTTTGAAATAGGACTCTTAAAAATGTCAACTTTATTGAGAAAATTGGTCTGCTTCTGACTGCGTTCTTCTTTAAGGTGTAACGAAGTAAACGGGCACATACATCAAAACCCCGTGCGGTTTGTCCCAAGTTACTTTTGAAACTCTTATGTAACTAACGCTAACATACGCGTGGATTATGCGCTGTACGCGTAATCCATAAAAAGAATTTTTTTTTTCCTGTTTCGATGATAGTCTTCGTTTTCAAACTCTACAAAATTCGCGGTGCTTAAAATTACTGTTCAAAGTCCTCGTGTTGTTCCTTGCCCAAACTGACCCTGTTGGTAACTTCAAGTTCCAAAAAGGACTTTTACTTGCGACTTACATTGTTTCTCGAGACTACATTTACTTCAGCCCCTGTGGTTACTCTTAGATATTTGTCCATGATAAACAAAAACTGCATTCCTTTGTAAATGAATATTTATTCTTTTTAAGAAAATCAATGCCACTTTTCAATCCATCAGACCGTCCTATGGTAATCTTGTTCACTAAAGAGCGACATCCGCTTTCTAATCAGCCATGAGATTACGGAAACGTGCTATTGAACTGCCGGATTACTCTCGAAAGTAGTCGGCTTTCCGCAGTACCAGGCGACAAACAGCTTCAATCTCATTAAATTTCAACGCAACGATTATAAAACAGCTCGCAGATGTTTGGCTTTCGGGAGGGGAAGGGGGGTCGTAAGTTAAATATCCAAGTTTTTTTCTCAACTAGTTGAAAACAAACGGCTTATCAGGCCGTTAGCCTAGGATCATACTCCATAGCAAATTTAGATATTTCAGAAACACTACGATCGAACTTCCATCACATCTTTCGATAATCCTGCGTTCTCAAACCTCCTGGCCCTGAACCAAAAAAATCTCTTTGTTTCTTTGTTTCATTTATCACTCCACTTGACTGGATGGATAGGTGTCGTCGGTAAATTTTGTTTATTCTCAACCGCAGGAAGAGATTAAAAATTATCCGACGGTCAAAGAACAATTGATACCCTAACATGATGGAAAGCAAAGGCCGTATATATTAGCTTATCTTGGTGTGTTCATGCCGATTTTTCAAAAGTATACTGTAGCATGTAAACATCAAATCGTAAGAACTCCTGCGGCTATGTGCAGCAGTAATTGAAGCTAATTTATGGGTGACCCACGTGCTTAGGACGTGATAGAAACTCAGGTCATGTATGGCGTGATGTGTTTATTAAAAATATAATAATTCATTCTCAATTTGGAGTTGTATTTAAATTTTTCCTCGCTCTTCTTTTTCTGCGTGGAATGTTTGATACTTTATATTCCTTGTTGAATCTGTATTGAAACGCTGTGTATACCGCGCATTCTTGAGAGTAAACGGAAAAAGGCGTGTAAGTAGCTATTATTCAAACAACTTGAAGCTTCAAATTTGAACCGATTTTGAGTGGACTGTCCCCTAATTTCGCAAGTGCACATTCGTATACGCAGAAAATTCTTTACATATTTTGTGCTACACCTTGTTACTGATGGGTTAATTTCGGAAACAAGATATCGCAAGGAAGTGTTATTTGCGGAACTACTTGTAATAAATCATCATAAATCCTCGACAGAACTTGGCGGTCCTTGTGTTGATTATTGATCGTTAAAGGATTGGACCTGCTGCAAAGTAACGCAATATTGCAGTCCATTACGTAAAGGCTGGTGTAGAAAATATGTAGTTAGCCTTTAACTCAAAGCTCAGGGTAAAAACCGACATGTACTCCTTGTTTCATCCAGGCGATTTGAGAAATTAGCGTGCCAATCGTGTGCCAATGCTAAAAGAACAACGACTCATGCGGAAGACACGCAACATTTCTTGCTGCGAAAGGAAGCCTACTTGTATCAGACACAGGGAAACGCTGGATTAACTTAACCTTAAATTTTAGGTAAACAAATTTTTTCCCTCTGTTTAAGGTCCCATCAACCGCCACATCTTCATTTTGTACAATCAAAACAAGAAATAAGGGTTTGGAGTTTATTTCCCTATAAGCTCAAAAACGAACCCAACACATACGCTGCTAAACATCTACTGTACTTAATAGGTTTATAGCCTTTGTCAATGTATGTAGGTAGAAATATTTCATTTACACAGTCATATGACATTTGAAAGACTCAGTAAGGTGTTGATACATTGCAAAGTACCTCACCTGCAGCGATGTATATTGCTAGTATCACTCCACCAAACTTCATCGCGCTGATAGGTGTGTGTTGACTGTGAAGAGAAACAGGATGAAATTTAAGGAGATAGTAGAGTTGTGTTGGGTTTTAACTTCGCTCCGTCATTGTACTTTGTACGTCATGTCATGTTATTCTGGATGGATCCAATCCACACTTGACACGAAATGTCAGACTGATCAAATTTGTTTTTAAATAGTTGAGCGCTTTTAATATGAAAGAAATGCTTCGTATTATAATTTCTTCGTGAAATGAAGTCAATGGTGCTTCAGCGTTTTACGGAGGTCGCGCGTTCTGTGTACCAATATATTGTGGAAAAATCGCCGAGAGTATCTTTTGGTGAGTTTTACGGTATTTTTCGAAATCATAGGGGTTCTGTTAATGATTTAACTCCTTTTCAGACATGATTGACACTTTTAAAAACCAAATGCCCAATAAAAAACCGAGACCGACCCGTCTGGACTCTTCTGTTTACGCTTTTGTTTTTTTTTTGTTTTGTTTTGTTTTGTTTTTTTTCAGTTGTGGTCTCCAAACTTTTATAAACAATAGAGTTACGAGAGCATAACTGACTTTACTGAGTTACACGAGCATAACTGACTTTAAGGCGCGACTGACTTCCGTTTTTTTACCAAATGCAGTCGGTTCGTACCTTAAGTTGAGTCCGTTCTTAGTCAAACCGCTGATCGATTTCTACATTTATTCGAAATGCCTCATGTACCAGGTTACGAAAGGTTAGTAGAGTCATCGAGTAAGATGCAAACAAAAAATCTGTTGTGTGCTCATGTAACCTTCTTAACAAAAACAACTTTTTTATTATAGCGCAAGGTAAGTGTGAAATTATAATAGAAAAGTCTATTGTTTGTACTTGTGACTTTTTTAACAACAACAGCTCGTGTAAGTGTAATAGTTTTTCCCCAATGTTAACACGGAAAACATACTTTATTAGTTTGGGTACGAAACTATCGAGCTAGGTACGAGACGACTCAACTGACTGGGTACGAGATGACCTGACTGGGAACGAAACGAAAGGGTACGAAACGACTATGGGTACGAAACGACTATGGATACGAAAGAACTGTTAACCGGTGTACTCACTAAAATTTCACGAAAAGAACCTCCTACATGACTCTACGTGGCTGACTCCTCAAAACCTCATTTTAATTTCACTTCTTTGAACAACTACATCGTACCTAAAACAGTATCTTGACATACGAATTTTTCTGAGATACGGATTAAAATTTTGTCATAGGACCCCTCATTGGCCTTTTTTTGTGGGGTTTGCTTTTACATTTAAGGCCTCGCAGCTAACAAAACTGCTGACATTAGTAGAGGGTACATTGAAGAAGGCGAAACAAAGCATGCATCGTTGTTCTTTACTTGTCCTCCTCGTTTAATGTGCTTGTCACATGATTTCTGTTTGCCGCTACTCAAACACAGCGCATGATCCATGACATGGAAGAGGTACTGTTGTTCGACCACACCGTGAAACAGGTAGGCCCCAGGCCCGTCCGCGTAAACTCCTGAATGGGTTAAAAAATATAGCGATTACTTTCATTTTACCTACAACGAAGGTGACTGAAAAGTGAACATGTTTGGAAGTACTTCCTGAAAGACCCCAAAACTTTAGCTTGTGTTGCATGCGCTCTACGAATTAAGAAATTCCAGCAACAGTAGCGTGTGCATCTTTAGAATTCTCATGTATTCAATTATTTCAGCTTGGAAATCAGGTGACTCCGCGTAGCGCTTCCCCCAAGAACAGAACGCTCAATCGCCAGTTATTGCTATTGATACCCGTTCTCCTTATCCTCTGGGCGATCAATGGGCGTTGAATAGAATGCATGAGATTTAAGATGTCCAGTGAAAAAAAATTACACTTAGCTGAGATACACAAATAAAATTGCACCATCGGCGACGTCTGGCAAACGTTATGTTAAATAAGGACTCAGTTACTCAGTTGATGTTACATCATGGAAATATCAACATGATTATAGTTTTTTTCCCATATTGCCATTGAGAGATACATCGATGTCAATTACTTTTTGAAGTTTAAGTCTTTGACATCATTTCAGTGCTTACCAACATCTTCAACTCCATGAGTCTCATAACTTTTCCGGACAGTAGCTTGTTGTAAGAAATCCTTGTGTGCTGTGTTCACCCCTCTAAGGTCTGCACGTGGCCCATTTAAACCTCCTGGACCATTAGCGTAACCAAGGGTCGTGAATGTCTTGTTATCCACATCCACAGCCAATTCTTCAGTCAGAAAACGTACTGTACCAAATATTGGGTTTCCCCGCTTCGGGTACCCGCCGACGGTAAAAACGTGTGAGTGGTCAGCGGTTACTGTTACAAGGGTTTCGTCTGGTGGAGAGAAAATATATTAACTGCATAACTATGTCATGTTGGGCCGTTTTCTCATGGGAAAATAACTAAGACAGTTTACATGAACAGTTTTCCCTCCACTACGACGTTTACTTCAACTGCTTGAAGACTCTTAGTGTTTTTGTAACTTCTACGGACGCGAAGGTTCGGAAATCATTAACAGATCTAAATCGTGCATATTTTAGGCTCTGCTAATCTCGTTGACCATGTATTACTCGCGATTCTTCCGTGACCACTTGAGAGAGGTAATACTAAAATAACCAAGAATGTTGAGCAGGTAACGTGCAGAGACAAATTGGAAAGAACTGAGACATAATATTAAACCGAAACTCTCAAAAGTACCCAAAAATATCTTCCGTGGGAACTAATCTTTAAATACAAACCCTTAACCAGCCAGGTAACCAATATTTGTAAATATGAATAACCATGGAATGTAAACTCAAATTAAAAAACGTCCTTCAGTTCTAGAAAACACGTCACAGATCTTAAGCACGAACGCCCGAAACATCCCGAAAATACTATAAACAGACAGGACAATATACATTATATTGCTTATCCAACCGAGAGCAAAACTGAATTTTCTTTTTGCGTGCCGCGTTATATAATTGAGCCGAAAGGGAGAGCTGGCAAAGAGAATTTCAAACTATAAAAAAAACTTTCTGTTGCATGTAAAGACTTTTAATGAGTGGGTGAGAACAAATAACCAATACTCTAATCCATTTTTTTCTCCTTTTTCTAGAATGAGATGGAAGCAATGAGATGCGAAGGGCCTTCCTAGAAAGTCACACATGGAAGAACGCGCAATTGTTGTTTTAGTACCTTTGTTAATCATTTCCATGGCCTTAGACACCGCTTTATTCAAAGCTAAGGCATCGTGAAGAGCTCTGACTGCTTTGCCATCATGATGTCCGTGATCAATACGTCCACCTGAAAAGGCAGTTCAGTATTGAGAGTACTATTGCCATAAAAAGCGAAGTGAAGTTGGCAGGCTCTATTTGAAATCACACGATTATTTGAAATGAGCTGTCAATACTCCTGTTCAAAAAATGAATATAAAAGCGATCTTCGCAGTAATGAACAGTACTTAAGCAGTAGCAGTATTATACTACACCGGAATCGCAGAGGTCATGGGTTCGTTCAAATCCCATACAGGCCTAACTTTTTTCAGGCCTTATTTTCACTACTGCTTAAGCAATGTTCTTCACTGCGACTATCGCTTCCATATTAATTTCTTTATCCGCAGTTCATGTATATGATTTTCATATATTTACAGTCACTTAATACTCCTATTATAGCAAGACATATCCTGTTGGCATGCAATGATTGACGTCGCCTGAAGTAATGTTTTCTAATTCCTCAGAATAACGAGCGTCTTCGAAGGAAAAAAAGGTTTTATCTTCAACCAAAATACCACGCCAGCTGAAACTTTAACGAGGTTTACCTAACGCAGCTTTACCATCCGATACTCAACTTTCGAAATTTAATTTTTTTCACGTTACAAACAGAGAACATTTTAAAATAAGTAAACAATAAAATTTTGTCTTTAAAATTCCCTGTCATTTTTCGTAAAGCCCGAGTTTAGCTCGCTCGCTTATCTGCCAAGAAATTTCGTTCCTTGTGTTCCTTAGTTGGCGAAGGCATAAAACTGACGCTTGGGATATTTCGGCAAGATAATGGGTGCGTTTTAGGAAGATTTTTTTTTACTTACCATTATTTCGCAATTTTCTGAACACGAGCAACTACATAAAATAAACCCTCAAAACTGGGCCCTGTTCAGTTAATGAAAGGCCAAAATTTCGCAAACAGACAAAGCAAGGTTTTCCATTTATCCCCCTCAGCCTTCGCTTCTACCTGTGATTTTGTGATTCAATTACGAAGCAGAATTAAAATAGATATACATCCTAAGTACCTTCGACAAACAGGAAGTATCCTTTTGGGTTTTTCTGAAGTATTTTGATGGCTTTTTCAGTCATCTCTGCTATTGATGGTTCGCCAGCGCTGTCGTTGGCTCGGTCCACTTCGTAATTCATATTGGAGTACTCAAAAAGTCCTGGAAAAAAAAAGATTTTTTTATCATATGCCGGCCGAGAGAAAAAGAAGATCCTCCAAATGAAAAATAAAATTGTTCTCCAAACTTAAATTTTAACGGAATCTTCGATACATATTGCACAGGCCCTTAAATCCCTTCTGAGGCAAAAACATGGTACCCTGATTTTTACAATGGATCTTTCTGTGGCTATCTCTATCTCCTAGTCTATAACTTACGAGGCTTATGGATTTTTCCCAGCATGACTTCTCAAAGGCTGGTATTTCTTCCCTGAATAGGATGCTAGTCTACCCATCGCAAACACCCATTTGCACAAAAAAGTCCCAGCTGGAACGTAACCTCTCGCCCTAAAGAACCCCCTACCCCCTCCACCCAACAATCTTTTAATATTTCCCGACAAGATTTCAGCGCGCTAACGATTAGATTTTCTGCTTTGATTGTGCAGAGAAATCGAGAGAATAAAAAGAAAGCAGTTTGACTGATTAAATACCCATTAAACGATTAGTCTTTTCTTCATCAATCTTGTCAAAACCGGATTTGTTCCACACGTAATGCGAGTTGGGATGTTTCTGCAACCACTCCTGAATCAGGTCTCTGCCGTCAAGTCTCTCTCCTTTTTCATCCAGGTATTCAGGATCTGTTTGGTTTTTATGCATCAGCTCTCTTCGCCCTCCACCAAATATGACGTCTATTCCATTACCGTACGGGTATTCGGCAAGTTGTAAGGCTAAAAAAATGATCTGTTTTAAGTTTAGCTCACTTTCATCCTGTCTACAAGGTTACAGCTTTGACCGCTGGAAAGATCAAGGCTTGAGCAAAGAGAGCTAGTGAGAGGTTTGTAAGGAGTCTGGCACTAGCAGTCGGTCCCAGACCCCTTACATGGTTCTCGTCGGCTACTCTAAATAGAAAAGGCAGAATACACACCGTCTTCTGAGGTAGAGCGCATATCCTGGTGTAATGAGATTGCAAGATGCTAGCGGACAGGAAGTGGGTCAACTATATCCTACATGCAATGTGAAAATGAAAATTTGTTTGCTTTGAACATCAGCAAAGAAACTTTCTCAACGCTGCATGTTAAGAAGAAATTTCCAAAATAGAATTTCTCCTGACAAAAAGCCTTTTCAAATCCAGCATTTTGTTTCCCAATACACTGGCAAATTTCTTCCCTAACAAGCCCCTTTTATTCCAAAAAAAATTTAGCTTGTCACCATCCATCTATATTTAAACTGTCGAGGAAACTTTTCTTCGTGATGAATAACGTTAAATTTTACCAATATCTTTGCACGACGTAGCATCGTCATAAGCTTTTGCTTTTTTATCCGCGTCACTTTCCCAGCGACGGTCCACAGAGTGCGCGTAAGCACTCGCGGGACTCGCGTGTGTAATCCGCGTGGTCGTGACCAGACCAGTTGACATTCCAGCTAACTCTGCGAGTGACAAGATCGAAATCACTTCACGTTCTTTTTTTGCAGATGCGCATCGGCCCCATTCGACGTTTTCATCCATTCCAACAACACCTGAAAAGTGCATAGAATCAGTTATACTCATATGTCCATAAATGGCGCACTGCCCGCTTCCCTCTGAGAGAGGAGGTACGGTTTCCGATTTCGGCATAGGAATGCGCGTAGTCCTGGATTGTCTATTGTGCCGTGTCTCTGGATACACAATTACCGTGCGTATCGCCGCCCGGTATCAACATGTATAAAAATTGCGTAGCTATGAAACATTGGGCGGCGGAGCCGCTAAACGAATGGCAAAACTGCTACAGGCTTGGAAGCGGAGTTAATCGAAGTTCTACTTCTCGTTTATCCTGGTCCGTCGCCCTTATTTCCATAGAGTTTATCCTTTAAAAACGCTTCTTATTTTGCTTTTACCGAGATCTATTCCACCCATCGCAAGATTTTGTGCTGAGTGATTTCTCCTAAACTAGGGATACAAAATAAACCAACCACCCCAGCAAGCATCGGTTACCCAGTATCAGAAGGATAAAATTTTCGGGGAACGTGCTAAGTGCTAAGGGTGACCTGCAATGCTTTAACATTCCATCCAAGTGGATTGGCAATACTCTCAGTCCGCTAACCATACCACAAGGCTTGTTGGTAACTTTCAAAAGGTAAAGTACTAAAGCAATGTTCAATTGATTTTCGAAAGTAATCTGGGATCGCTTTCAGTTTTGCTTTACTTCGCTCTGCGATTGCTCCAGAAAATCACGCCATCCTCTCAGTCAACCAGATTAAAAACTAAAACAAATCCTGCCACTTAATCATATGCGTTCTCCCGCACTTGAAACAGTTTGCTTGTTTTTACTTTTCGTCCTCACTGCCTACTTGCAATGTTTTCATTTCTTCTAGTTGGACGTTGCGATCAATTTTCTTTTGGTTTTACGACTCTCAGTCAAAATGCGCTTTATTTATAATCAGTCGATATCTTTTTTACTTACCCTGGTCTGTTTTCACTCCAGACAGAAACGCCGTGGCAGAGCTTGCAGAATCTGGACCCTGTTGATCGACAGCATAAGTCTTGACCAGAGCTGTCCAGGGAAACTCCTCCCAGCTCAACACATTCTCTTCACCAGTTTTCCCCTTCAGCTGTCCGTCTAAGATGCGTGAGGAGGTAACAGTCGTAATACCCATTCCATCTCCCATGAAGAGGATGGCGTTCTTAGCAGTGTTCGTGTTTGGTTTAACTCTTAAGTTGTCTTGGATTAGCTTCATGCCATCTTTGTACCACTTGTTGTTGTCTTGATTTTTTGGAATGTTGCCAACGACGACTAAGGAGTTAAGGATACTTAGTTACCTCATGCAATCTAGACTACGAGCGGTCTTTCCCTTACAGCGAAGTCCGTCTCCCGAGTAAAAAGTAAAAACAGCGATAAAAAAAGTTTAATGCAAGCACGCCGCGTGGAACCCTAGGAGTAAAGAGGGTTTGGCGTGCTAAAATCAATGTTTTTCTTTCGTCGCTGAATTTTTTTGACTTGCGCTACGGATTTCGCCAAATGCAGGGACTTCTCGTAGTCTACATACAATCCTGTAACCTTGTTAAAATAGTGTTACGAAGAAGATGCACATCTATATATACTCCTTATTCGATTGTTTCACCTGTCAGGAATACGGACGGGTATTTTGCGCGTTGAGATACTTTTTCGAGTCCCGTAAGGGCGAGGAAAAATAAGAGTAGTGTGCAAAATTTCGGCCGTGTTCTTAGTTAAATAATCGAATATGGGATTTGCTGTTCTTCTATTATTTAATTTCAGTTTGTGATATTTTGGCTTCTCAATATACAGTGTGCAGTCGAACCTGTATAAAGCGGCACCCTGTGCAAAGGGGCGGTAGCCAAAGTCCCGAATTTGTTTCCCCTTCTTAACACTGTAGTTTTTTGGTCGCGGTCACCTTCGAGTGAAACCCAACGACCTGTTTCTATTGTTTACCACCTGTACTGAACGGTCACTTAAATCGGAATGCAAATCAAACTAAGAATAATCTTTCAGGTAAAATTTAATCCATATTTCTCTCCCGAAATCAATATTAGTAATATGTTTGAGCGCATTTTTGTACATTAATGGTCTACTATGACATAAAATGGCGTTTTTTATGATGTTTTTTATTACACCCCTATTCTGTGGAACCTGTATTTAACGGTCAACATTCCTATGGGTGACTGCTTAATACAGAATTGACTGCATTTAGGTCTTGGTTATTTTTCAAACGTTAATTTATTTTCCGTATTAACTTATTTGTCCAATTGAATCATTGGTTAATAAGGTTAAGTCTGAGCAAGAAATCACATTTACAGCTACTTCACATTAAATCATGTAGCTATCAGACAGTCTCGTGAAGCATTAATAGATTGTCGGAATCCGTGATTAGTACTTGCGCTATTCGACACCATCAGTTTATCGGTGGCCGGATACATCAGAAATTAGAACACCAAGTCTTTTAATTTGTTTATGAATTACTATGATCACATGCACGACAGAGCGTACGTGTCAAAAAGGTGCTACTTTCACGTCTTTTAGAACAATTGCCTTCTCTTTTAATGGCGGTTGCTTTTAGTTTATAACATAGTGATGTCGGTGATGAACACTGTAGCTTTTTATTTGTTTATGTGAGCGGTGCGAACACGCGAGACCAGCAAAGAGCATAAATTAATCAAATCAAATATCACGGAATGGGATCTGCTTACCGGGTGCCGCATAGAAATCTTCAGTGTAAAAATCTCTAAGCTTATAACTTTCTCTACATGCAAGGCGTACCGCTGTGCAAACGTCGTTAAGATACAACCACATGGTTATCAACAATTACATATGGCAGGAACCTACGTCTTCCATTGTGAAAATTTAGGTCTTACATTTCTCTTCCAGCCATGGAAATATACTGGTTTTCATTATCGACTGCAATAACTTCCGAATGCAGTTTTCAAGAATTTTCATAGTTTTGCAGCGCATAACATGAATTAAAACGTTACGCTATTGACGCCGTACTTGAGTGACGCAAATCTACGGCCTACTATGATTGAATTGTGGTGTTAAGAGCAATTTTCAAACTGAAACTTACCCAGTATGAAGCAAAGTATCAAATGTAAACGCAGCATATTCTTTTTAAGCTGTAACAATACTTGGTTGAGCATTTGACACAGTATAAAAGTGCATGCGGTGCCATTCAACGCCCCCTTTTTAATCAACAAAGGGAATAAGACGAGTAATAAGTTAAATATTTCATCCACCCGGGTAGGCGACGCTGGAAAATGGATTGCACGCGCTGACCGCAGGTAGCCCAAAGTCGCACAATAAGCTTTGTTAATGTTCGATCCGCTTAGCCGTACCGGAAATGGCATTAGGGACCTTAACCAAACCACGACGGCGACGGCAACGAGGACATGGAAAAACAAAGATCTAATTATCAGAACAATAGCTCAGCACGTGCGTTTTAAAACTTTGTACATTTCTTAGCCGTCCTATGCAAAACAACAACGTGAAATCACCACAATTTGCATCGTTTGCGAACCGAAACCGCGACGGCAAATTATTTTAATTTCCATTTGGAACTCAACGCTTCTTTTATGCGTAATACTGAAGTTGAAGTATAGTGCCTTATGAGACGGTAAACAAATGCAGGCATTCTAATTAAAGGCAGAAATTAATTTTTTAATCAAAGTCTTCCTTGGCGTTGCCGTCCTGAACACCATTTAAGGTCATACATACGATAAGGTCGTACATACGATCGACCCTTAAGGCCAATTTTTTTTTTTTTACACTTTTTCCAAGTCGAGCTTAACTTCACCGTTTTAAAAATAGTTTTCATGAACTAATTTTGTAAAATATTTAAATACGCGCCAGTTATTCGCAAAAGCGTATTTTCGAACTGAATTCTTCAGTCTGCCGAAGTGTGAAGAGCCAATTATAACGTGTTACCATTATGACTCCGAAGATGTATTTGGCGGCAAAACATCCTTGTTCGTGACTTTCAATAGCACAAGAATTTGATTTCAGTTGCACATGGTGAACTTCCCCATAATTTCTTGGTATCTAACCAGACTTTGAATAGGGAAGGATAAAAGAAGAACAATCCTTCTTTCAAACCCTAGAAGAAGCATGCTTGAAAGAGCCAGACATTTAATAGATTCGACGACAAATGGCGTAAAAATCTCTGCGAAACAGAGAAGGGCTCGTATCGCTGCTGCTACTGATCAGCGACCATCAACGGGCTCAAGACACTTAAACCTCGAAATCAAAATTGCCGGCAAGTGGAACTGAACTAACGACTGTCACGCACACCTCCTAAATTGCTTCCCGCGACCCATGTTTTTGTTGATAATCTCCCTCGATAAATCGTGTGGGGGAATTTCCGTTTTTCGCGATTAATCTCCTGTATTGGGCTCCGACGAAGGGCGTATCGGCTAAACTTGACAGGAAAATTGCAAACCAATCAATAGGAAATCGGTTGGCATGTACTAAAACAGAGACAATAGACGATTTTGTGACGGAACGTAATCACGAAATGTAGAATGTTCCGGATGTTCCGTCACAAAATCCGTCGTCCACCATCTACACGATAGTCTGCTATTGCAGCTGGGATGCTTGTCTGCGATGCAACCTCGTAGCTTATCATGAATGAGTAATTCTCCTTACTGTCTGCCATACAGTTCTTGTGATTTTACTTTGGAGAATTTGGTATTAGATCAACTTACAATCTCCTGATTAATATTTTTCTTTACATAACGAGCTTTGCGTCGGGAAAAAAGTTTATGCAAATTAGTTGGCTGCACATTGAATGTGAAGCCAACTAATTTGTATAAGTAATTCAAGCCAAGGTTCGACGCCTCTTGGTGGCATGAGTTGTTCGATAAACATTCCAGGACATCCGATAATCGCTTCAAAAAAAATGTAATTATGCTCCCCTCGAATGAAATGGAAAAAACCGCAACTTCCGATGATTACAATTCTAATCATTTTCAAGATGCAACTCTACTTTGTTCACTCATTTTCCAGAAACAAGAGTCCAGAGAAATGTCTCATACAAACTTAACGGGTGTAATTCGAAAAAATTTAAAGGGCGGTACGCTAAGCTTATTTTCTCTGTAGGGAAAATTCATGCCTTAAAGAAGACAACAGTAAATCGTTAACACAAGGTCCACGAATATTCTTGACCAAATGTTACAGAAACATAACAGGAACAATTTAAAACACGTAAAACGAAGAAACTCAAAAATAGCCTAAAAAGCGGCTAAAAAGCCGGTTTAGCCTAAAAAGCGGCTAAAGCCGGTAAAGCTGATTTCACCTCCATAATCGAAGATCTAGACCTACGTAAGGTTAACTCCAACAAAACCTTCTTTATACAGGTCATGGTTTTAACTTTTAAAGTCCAGAAATTGTGTTGATTAGATAATCCAGAGAATACACATCGCTTTCAACTGATGGTCTCCACGTTCGGTCTTCAAGCTTCGGCGCAATGCAATTATTTTTATAATTACCTTTTATGTGCGAAGGTTTCAGTTTGGAACGGCATTTTTAGCTTTTCCGAAGACATCAGTCTTGCCAAAATCGACTATAACAGGGGAGAAGCGGGTCTAAAACATCGTTATTGTATTTTAGGTCATTGGGAACAAATTCACACGTATGAATATCGTCTCACGCGACTGCCGAGTTAGGAGGGATAAGAAAAGGTTAAAAATAACCCTCAGGTATACGCTACTCAAGAGGGTATAAAAGAGATTAAAACTAACCCTCACGTATACACTACCCAAGAGGGTATAGAAGAGATTAAAAAATAACCCTCAGGTAAACACTACCCAAGAGGCTATGCAAGAGATTAAAATAACCCTCAGGTATACACTTCCCAAGAGGGTATAGGGGAGATTAGGAATAACCCTCAGGTATACACTACCCAAGAGGGTATGCAAGAGATTAAAAATAACCCTCAGGTATACACTGCCCAAGGTATATACTACCCAAGAGGGTTTAGGAGAGATTAGGAATAACCCTCAGGTATACACTACCCAAGAGGGTATGCAAGAGATTAAAAATAACCCTCAGGTATACTCTACCCAAGAGGGTATGCAAGAGATTAAAAATAACCCTCAGGTATACTCTACCCAAGAGGGTATGCAAGAGATTAAAAATAACCCTCAGGTATACGCTACCCAAGAGGGTATAGGAGAGATTAGGAATAACCCTCAGGTATACACTACCCAAGAGGGTATGCAAGAGATTAAAAAT